AGCGTGGCGTAAGTTCTCACCCAAACCTCAACAGCATTGGTAACCGGTATACTAACAGCGTAAAATTGAATAGCCAGTACAGACTCCAATAGTCGACCCACTCCCCGAGCCATCACCGAACGTCTTGTCAAGATGCGCCAGATGGTGAAGGCAGCCAACAACGGTGCCGATGGCCACTTCAGTATCGGAAAGGGAGCCAGTGCCAACCCCAGCAGCGCAACGGCGACTCCCCGTAAGAGAGGCAAGAATGCGACGGCCGTTCCTAAGACTCCTACTTCTGGGAAGCGTAAGAATATCTCCAAGTCTGATGACGTTTTTGGTGATGATAGAGATGTGCATGTTAAGGAGGAAGGCGAAGGGACTCCGCGAAAGGAGCCGCTCAGTCCTGCTTCTGCTGGTGTGAACCGGGGCTACGCTGGTGTTCCGCTTAAAACCGAGCCAGCGGATGATGATGATGATGATGATGATGATGATGATGTCCTTATGGATGAGGAGTCTCCTTCGAAGCGTGTCCGTAGGGCCAGCGTTCTTCCTCCTGGTATGGTTAGTACCTATGGTGAGGAGGAGGATAGCCAGACTGAGTTGGACAGTGAGATCTCGGAGTATTTCCCTGAAGAATCGAATAAGGTGGAGGAGGATTTCTTGATGGCGTGATCATTTCATTGATTTATTTCTATCCTTGCGGGCGCTTAATGCGTGGCCGAGATTCATTGTCGATAGTTTTGCAGATCAAGCACGGGAGTTGAATTACTTTGCGGGGGTTGATAGTTACAATAACAATTACCACGGGAATGTTAAGCATTGCTTGGCTCCCTGTCCAAGGTGCAAGAAGTAGAAAATGCAGGTATAACACTGCAAAAGCCATAACCTACTAACAGAGGGGAGAAAAGAAAAGAACCAGCAGGCACACAACCAGGAATATCCTTCGATTTCAACGGAGCAAACTACCAAGAGTTGCTACCAAACTACCTATCCGCAAAGCATTAGAGTCAATGGCCGCGTTCACAAAACCCCTCTGTTTGCATCCCCAAATAACCACGAGATCACCCCCAATCCTAAGTAGAATCATTCTCAATGCTAGCCTTCTGCTTCTTAGAAGGAGACCCTTTTGCGCCTCGCTTCGCCGGTCTTCCTCTCTTGGGCTTTGTGGGAGACGAATCGGGAGCACTGCCTTCTTCCTGCTGGGGAGCAGAGCCAGGAGAAGCACCGGCGGCAGTACCTTCCGCAGGAGATCCATTACGGAGTTTTTCCTTAATACGCTGGACTCTGTGCTGAATGGCACTGGCTGTGCAGCCTGCATTTTGGCTTAGTCCTGTGTTCTTTGACGGGTTTGGGGAAATATAATAACAAACCTTGACCCATGAATTCGGCTAAGGCTTTGTGGTCGAGCTTCACATTATGGATAGTGATGATACCGACTAGAAGCTATATATAGCGTTCGGTTAGTGTATCTAGAAGCTTTGCGGGGAGAGGGATGGGAAATCGGTAGGCTTACTTTGGCAACAGCCTGCGGATCAGTCCAGTCCATAGGCATTTTGATTGGCAGTAAGCACTAAGGTTGATTTGATCAGAGTAGATAGTAGCTCAGATGGCAAGTCGCTGTTTGGCTGGTTGCTTTGCATGCGAAGATGTAGCCGGACGGCGTAAATGTTGCAGAGGTGAGGAGGGAACGGGGGGTAGAATAGAGGGTGTTGTAGAGACGAGGAGGCGGTTGAAGTCAAGAGACAGGTTGTGAGGAGAGAATGAGGGTGTTTTTTTCATTCACTTTCAGTCAGATTGAAGTGCTACTGTTTCTCGTGGTATTGCAGAACAAAGACAAGCAGTTGCTCGATGACCTTCCAAGTGTAGACTCGACGTTGCCTGTGGGAGTCCAAATGACCGATTTGTTCTAGTATCTTCAGGGATTGTGTTGTTCTTTTCCCAATTATCCAACTTACCAGTGTGGTGCAAGAATACTTAATATGACTTTCTATGATTTGAAGGGAAAGCAGATAATCGCCTGCTGGAAAGGATAGAGAATCCTGTATATAACAAACTCATATCTACATTCCAGTTGGTTTTGATATAGAGACCATGACACTGATAGACATTACTTTTCAACTGGAACATAACATTGCTCAATGCGACTTCGGTACGAAGTCAACGCAGGAGTCTCTGTGAGCAGCAATATCCATACACCTAATAGGATTTAATGGAGTTAACGATACGGCCTCTCTCAAGACCCTCTCATATCCTCAAAGCTGCCGGAAGAATTCTATTATAAATTGTCAGGGCGAAAAGAGGTCAATGTAACTATACCAACGGAACCTGTTTGGTGATGATATCCATGTATGTAGGTCCAATAGTCCATGAAGCTCAGGCTAGAGTCATGTTAGAGCTGCGCAACTGTGTAAAACCTTTCGAATACATGTCTAGACTATTCACTACCATGAAATGGATAGACAGCTTCTTTCTACCTAGAGTGTGTAAGGAGAATAGTGAATGCTGGATACGAATATCGAAACTATTACTTTCCCCCTCCCTTCTGCTCCATTTTGGACATATCGTTCCGTTTGAGAATTAGCATGGTAAGTATCATGTGACGGTGACAAGTATATGTCAGATAAGGTGTCTATGGAGCACCAAATGTGCACTACCTACCAATATGCATCAAGCTTAGTGTATTGTAGCAGTGATCTTTTCTTTCATGGATGTCTACTGTTTATGGGCTACTATTCGATTCCAATATGCAAGAAGCTGCTTTGGACAAGAGAGAAGTTTATCTTATGTCGATCCAATACCACCACTGGTAGTGCAATTCACTACTGGCACAGACACCACAGGCATGGCAGAACCATCACAGCCGTCACAGATACTCCAGATACTCCAGATACTCCAGAGGCGTAAAGTAACATCAGCATGTGATCGCCATAAGATTTCCTAAACGAGATCTTGCTGCATGAGACAAAGGCCCTGATTAGCCAAGCTACTAGCAATGTTGAAACTGTCTGATCTGTTCCCTTCAAGTACGGCGCATATATCTATCCAAGCAGCTTTTGCTAGAGCCCCACTGTACGTCTTTATCCATGAACACGGAAAACGCAAATCAACGCGTGGCCATGATAGCGTTAGCAGTCTTTGGCTTCCAACATATTAATGTTTCGTTATTTCCTTCCTCGGCAATACCTGTTAATAAACTCAGAATTTACATTAAGTTATGCAGTGATGAAAAGCTGTTGGCTCAGTCCGGTCTCCTGGTATATAGCGGAGCGTAAGCGATCTAGTAGTAGGAGCCGAGCTGTTAGGCTTAACGACTACCCCGCCAATCTGAGGGGAGCCGTTGACCATTGCCCCGCCAAAGGTCCTCACGTCGAATTGGAGACAATGACTCGAGTCAATTAGACTTAGAATCTGGTATTTATGCGTCGCATTTTATTCCATGTCGCACTATCTTTTTGGAGATAGCACCTGTTGAATCGTCATACACCCGCACCACATTGCGCTGCATGCAGCTGAGCAGTTGCCCTGTCCGCCAACCACACGGTAGCTTGGATTAAATGCAACTTGTACATACGCGACGTGATACGTTTCCAATGACACTTCAAGCCGCTACTTACAGCCAGTAGATCAATTCCTGGGTTCGAAGCGAGACTAAAGTCGACCTGTCGGAGCGCCTATGTAAAGTTTATCTCGGGTAAATCGAACCTACTCATACATCTACTCGTATTTCTTTTGGTTGTAACATAAATATTACAATGATCCTCATCCTTTGGGTCCGAAATGCACTATCGCAAAAGGATACTCTGACGCGGCAACACGGCGTTTACGAGAAATGGGCGTACTCCACCCAAATAGCAACATAATTACTTACTTATATTAGATACTAGCCTATCAAACAAGCGCCTATACCGGCCGAAATGCCCGGAAGTGATAGGAGGGGTAGTTGTACAATGTCCAGCGCGGCAAGTGGGTGCTTTCCATAGGATCTCCCAGAGTCCCAGATGCACTGGGCGGAGGATCGATGTTTCAGATTGTATAGCGTACATACTGCGTCCGAGGGTTGCGCCAGAAAATAACGTAATGAATGGTCAATCAGAATCCTTAGGTACCGTGGACAACATTTTGACCATGGAGATGCGCTGATGGCTTTGCCACAGAGTTCCAGCCTGATTGTTTATGTCGGCGCCACCGTCGCAGAACTACATAATTGCGACACAAGGTTATATTTGGTGACGCTATAAGGTACTACTATGTATCCCAAGTGGGTCCAGCGGGTTTACTGTGAAGTCGGTGAGAAATTTGAAACGGGAGGGGGCAAAAATAACAGAAGACGAGGGAAAGAAAAAGAAAAAGAAATCTTAAGAAACCGCGCAAAAATAGATAGTGCTGGTATATTAAAACCATTTTGAAGCTGAATTTCAGGGATTCGATCTTTTACCAAAACAGGTAAGGTAGCGCTTCCCTAACGTACGGCTAAATTTTTGGGGAAAAAAAAAAAAAAAAAACAAAGAATTGCATTATCAGACAAGGAAGGATCTCGGTTCTGCACTCCAATTCACCCATCCGGGGGCAATCGACCAGCCTTATACCCCTCACGCCATTATCGATACGGTCTTCCAGCTCTTCTTCCCAGGTCTTTTATTGGTTATAGGCATCATTATCTGCGACATCTATGGATGTGGCTTTCCCAATGTAGAGAAAACGAAATACGGAATACCCATCAATGACAAGCATTTTCCATGAAGCAAAAGGATTAAAGATCCCAAATTAATTGCCTCGGAGCAAACAAGCACGATCTGAGTGAGGTCTTGCAGCAATTGGCGTCCGACAGCTGCTGATCACTACTCCTCTAGGGCCCACTGCTGAAGTGTCTGCCAAGAGACCCCATATCATCGCACTAGGTGGGGGAGTCTCTCACCATTTCTTGATGGGCCAATCTGATACGGTTTCCTCTCGCTGCAAGGATCCATCAGAACTGTTGCCTGAGGGAATAGGAGAATGGTACCGTGGGAAGGGGTCAGAGCTAATCCTGTTGTAGTGCAACAAAGTCAAATCAATACCTCAGCTCCCCACCGACGTCAATCATAGGCGGAATTCAACAAATGATTGGAAGCCATGTGTTATTGTGTATAGCATTAACGAGATTGACTTGACATATGGGGGAGAGGTCCTACCCGTGAGAGACTCAGATATAAATACCAGCTGCTTGTCCTGCTAAATCTGTTTTCCGGTCTTCTTCCTCAATTCATCATAACACAGTCACAACAAGTATCCTCAACAAACAATTCCTTAGCCAACATGGATTTCCAATCGAGTGCTCAAAACATTCGCGTTGAGGGAAAGAATATCTTGGTTGCTGAACTCCGATGCGAGGACGGTGAATGGCGCGAGGCGAGAGTTGATCTGGATGAGCATCTCGGAAACGACGATGGTACTTTCCTGACATTTTCCAAAATGAATGACTAGCTCTAATTTGTATCATAGGCCACTTTCAATGGGGCGGTCGGAACTTCTCCGACACTGCTGAAGATGTCCATTTCGCGATCGAGGGCGGTTCAAATGTCCCTGTTCTCCGCGCCCAATTGCGCGATCGGAACGGTAACTATCAACCACGCGATGTCAACCTTGGTGAACGTGTCTCCAATGCAAATGGATACTTTCATTTCCAGTACTGATTGTATGTGGATGTGGCCTTGAGTGAGATGGCGTTGCTAACGAGGCTGTAGCGATCCCTATATTATGATATTATTTGACTATGGTTGGAAGGACACCTGCGAGGCACATTATGCTCTAGCATACAGCTGCAAAGTGCCGTTACGATTTATAAATACTTGTTGTACCTAGTATAGCTCTTCGGTGTATGCGATACCTTTGAACGCGAATCCCTCCTGGAATTATGTCTCTACTGCAAGAGTCATACATCAAGTACTATCAGTACAGGCACATGAGTACCCTGAAACGAAACAACAGGTCATTACCAGCAAGATGATAAAGGGAATCTGCCAACCCATACACCTCCATATAGCCATCCGTGTCCGATCAACCTGTAACTCTAACCCGAACTCCTTAAAAGCATCATAGACCCCCGGGTGTATCACATGGTAAAGAAAGCCTGGCAATGAAAAACAATACTGACAGAAGAACAAAGCAAAAAGCAGGTAACCGATGATGGAAAGCACTCCATGGCAGCTTCATGACAGCAGACTCGCATAATGCATATATATATAAATAAACAAGCAGAAAGAGAAGGGAAAAAAAAGAGAAGAAATGGATTCTCCTTTTACCAGGCGTGAGTTGTATCGCCCGCATCCATGTCGTATCCGTTCCAGTCCTCATCACCACTCACTTCATCATCAAGGAAATCTTCCTCATTGAATTGGGTTTCACTTGGACGTTGATTGTCGATGCGAACCATAACCACGTCACACATGCCTTGTACAGCTAGCGGCTTTTGATTATCGTCACTGTCAGGCGTTGCGCGGTGAGATGCACTCAAGCCAGCATCATCCTCAATCTCAGAAAGCTTTTGTTGAGCGAGGCGGGCGCTTTTTCGTTTCGAGGGTGTCGAAAGTCCACTACCGAGAGGATCTGGCTGAGTAGCTTTATTGTCTCCAACTACACTACCAGTTGAGCTACCAGGTGCTGGCGGCCGGGAGGCAGGAGGAATAGTGCTAAGGGTGGCATCTGGAGGTGCACTTCGCCTTAAAAAGACCTTCTCGAGCTTGCCAATCCATTTTTCTCGAAAAGATGCACGATCGCGCCACCCAATCTTGAGAATCGCGCTAATCACTAACCGCCGCAAGTTCCGCAATTCAGGAGCTGCATCAAGAAGGGATGTGAAGAATACATCCGCCGTCGTATCGTCCCATTTGCGTAGCTGTACCAACTCAATGTCTTGTAGAGTAGATGGCCACGTTGGGACCTCCGAGCTATTGAGAAGCTCCCTGAAGTGAGGTTCGACGTCATGATAACTAGACAAGTCATGTATTGAGATGTCCATCTTAAATTTCTCCAGACTTCGACAAGACTGCGCCAGGCCTACTATGAAAGACAGACTCAAATGGCGATTGTGACTTAGAGCCAAGTCCCGAAGATGCTGGCCGTGGGATACGAGAAAGGCACTAAAGTTTGCCGTAGTTACTTCATCGCAGTTGTTTATCGTGAGCGACGTCAACGCTGGAGGTAAGTTGGGCAAAAGATGCTCATTCACAATCGAACACTCCAGGAACTCCAAGCGATGTAGCTCTGGGAGTTCTTTAAGCGCTGTCGCAAGGACAACTTCCCTCTCGTTTGACAGATCGGTAGGATCATCCACGTCAGAATCTTCCGAGGCAATATGCAGCAGCCTGAGCTCCCGTAGGCCGCTGAATGAAGCTTGAAGATGTTTTTCCATCATGTACGGAAGTAGCGCCCTTGTTTCCATGAAGCGGCTGTTCCAATCCCAACTGCGCAGACGGATCGAGCCTGATATGAGTGACGTGAAAAGACTTTCAGGATAAACCCATTTCGTCCTCTGCCAGAGAGGAAGACCGACAACATAGTCATCACTATGATAGAGGCGCAACGTTTTCAATTGTGGTGCTCTCTCTACCAACCTTGGCAGTTCAAAGTATCCCAGGGTCGGACCACTTTTGTAAGATAGAAGGATCTCTGCGTCGATATGTAATTCTCTAATCTTGTTAACGTAATTGGTCGAAAGAGACTCCTGCGGTTTGGATAACAGATTGAGCAGTCCGTGTGCTTTAGCGGCGGGTATCAGAGGGGGGCAATGGTATAGAGCAGCCATCGCAGGCTCGTGGAAAGTGCGACAAAGCAGAGAGACATTCACAAGCCATTGTACTGAGCTGTTTCTGGTTGCAGTTTTTTCATCCACTAGAGGATATGCAGCGCTATAGAATATATCAAACAGTATGTGGTAAGGAAGAGCTTGCCAAGGGGGGATAACACCAGAGCCCACGAGGGGGCCAATATCCTCTTCCACTTTCCTTCGTTTATAAACAGGCCTACCCAATTCCCAGCGCTTATTATTAGAGGTTCTCTTCGATTGCTTAGTTCGAGACCTCGTTTCCACAATCCGTTTACGTTGGGGTCTATGTGAATTGCGGCGACTTGTTGGTTCGGTAAGCGGATACGTTCGAGTCAAGGATTCAACGGGCACTGAGGTCTCTGGCTCCTCACCGCTCGCACCTCCTTCAAAGTTGTCGTCCGTGGATTCTTCGCGATATGACACGGGCACGCGATTCAAATCGCGAGGGCGCAAAGAAAGAGAGAGACGTCTGGCTTGTTCGTCGTCAGAATCGGGGTCTTCATTAAGTCGATCTTCTGAGCTGCTCTCTTCATGGTACGATTGAACTCGCGTGCGGCTGGAGCGAACAGGACGAGACTGATTGAACGGGCGACGGTGAGATGAGCCTATAGAAGGAGCCATAGCGAGTGGGCTGGATCGCCCTACGAACAATGAGGGGCGAAGCAGAGAGGTACTAAATTGCACATGATCTGCGAAATGCGACAGCGCTCGACCAAGAGCTCAAAAGGGAGGCACTGGTTAAAGGTCTACTGCAGTTCGAGGTTTGACGTCAGAACCAAGAAAAATGAAGACTCTGTGACTTTGCAGCGACCGTATGATGGAGGTGAAAAAAGCCGAGGACTGATGAAGTCAATCAACCGTGAATGCTGCTCTGGAAGGGGTGGAGTTCATGGGCAGGTTTATCGATAAGAAAATCAGAATCCGTCATTGAATGATGATGAATGGATTGCCTGATCGTCCAGGCGCGGTGAAGTAACCCCAATCAGAGATAGCGGAGCATGTGACTGGGGCCAAAGACCAAGCAAGGCATTGACAGGCATCAACTCCCCCGCCCTGAGGCCACAACGCTAGGCCGGGATGGGCATCGAGGGGAATCCCGAAATAGAAACAGTCAGCTCCTCCCAGTCCATCATCGGCCTTCTTTAAAGCGCCGCCGTTCTTCCAGCCACCTTCTCCTCTTTTCCCCCCCCGTCGATTCCGTGGTGATGATGGCGCTCTGTTTCCTCCAAGGCTTCTGCCCACATGGATTGCAATTTCCGACATTGATTGTGTATGCGCTACCTACTATATAAATACTTGTCAATTCATGCGCTCGATTGGGCTGGTCCCTAAGCTAAGCGCGCCCATTTCGATCTAATTATAGCCTACTGTCTATACGCGCTCAAATTCGAAATCTTTGCTTTTGTCTTTACCCATACCTATGATACCCAGCTATCTACTCAGCACGCACCAATCGTCCTTATCTTGTTGCGCCATTGTTTACTTGAGGGAGTCTTAGCTCGTTGACTCATGATGGAAAGCTCGTTTCCGAATGTCATGAACCCTTCGGAGAGGAGCGACTTAGGGGCACCGCCGATGGTTGTCCAGCAGTATGCAAGGTATCCACCTACGTTGGAACCTGGATTACATAGCGCTTCTTCCCTAGGCAGTGCTCGCAGCCGGATGGCGGCCTCCAAATCGCCCCCACTTCATCGCAAAGCAACTCCACGCAGTATTCAATCCTCGCCGACAGTTCCGCGACCGGCCATTCCCCCATCATCTGCTGCACGCTCGGGACCATCGATGTCCCCTCCAGTGTACGATCCTCTCCGCCAGAGGCAACCACCTAGAGAGTCCTTAGACCAAGCAGAGTCCCGATCACTGCCATCCCGTGACATTACAGATGAAACCATTGATGACGCTTACGTGATGTTCATTTTCTATTGTAATCCAAATGTGCCTCTGTCTGTAGACACTAGCGAGTTGCGAAAGACTTTCCGGTGTCCCCCACGGAGTGACGGCAAAAGCTTTAGTATCTTCACACTCTGGGAACTTATTCGGAAACTAGACAGCAAAGAGTTGAAAACATGGATATCTTTGGCAACCGAGCTAGGAGTGGAACCGCCTGATTTGGAGCAGGGGCAAAGCACGCAAAAGGTCCAGCAATATGCTGTTCGCCTAAAGGTCGGTCGAGTGTATTATCTTGTTGTAGGATCCTTACTAAATTATTATAGCGTTGGATGCGAGCGATGCATGTTGATGCTTTCTTTGAATACTGTCTGGGCCATCCTCATCCTTATTATACTCAACTTCCCGCCAACAATGCAGTGGTCAGCGAGAGCCGCGACGGAGTGCCTTTAGAGGAGGACCTTGCGTTACGCGCCCTCGTCCCTCAGTGGAAACCCAAGCGAGGTAGAAAGCGAGCGGAAGAGAGGGAGAGTATGAATGATAGATTATCCAAAAGGCCGCAGCTCGATACCTCTGTGGGCATCTTACACACGAGTACATTCCCAGCTCACTCGACGACTTTCCCTCAAAGTGCAATTCCATTTAGTGCCTTCCCTGACGAGATCGAGCCAAACGATCCGTGGATAGCAGCCACATCCTCATTTGGGGCGAATGGTCCGTCAGGGAACCCGGTTGCTCAGCACGGCCAGGATCTTCGGTGGAGATCAGTTGAACGAGAGGCTTCACCTTCAAATTACCCGCACTCTGCAATTCTTCCTAGGGGTCACCATCCATCCGACGTATTTATTCCTCCTACGGAGCCTCGGTCAGCGGTTACGCCATCGTCCGAGAAGTCGCGCCCTAAACGGCGTCATGGCCCAGCTGTTTCATCTGCCTGGCCGACCAACAATGGATCGTCTACTGGGAAAACTCGGGGACGACCTCCCGGTCGCGGGACAACATCCGGCCCCTTTTCCTCCTTTCCAGTGAACCCTAGTCGCTCCGAGCCATCCCATTTACATAGCTCCAACGCAAGACCCCCTTCTTTTGTATTAGACCAGGATCCTTCCGGTCGCTATTCCAACGCTCAATACCAACAATCTCCTACACCTTTTCATGGCGGTAATAGACCAAACAAACTTCAGCTGCAAGTCCCTCAGCACCCAGGCGCGCCAGTCCGTCTCGCGACACCGCCAACACTAATGGTGAACGGTGTCAACAATGCATCTTTTAAAATTGAGGGACAACGTCGTAACAGCGCTTCAGCTCCCCCGCACGACACTCCCGGTGCAGCAACGAACGCGCCAACTGGTGCTCATCGCAGTACCAACCCAAATGCGGACATTTCGTCCGATGAGCTCGTTCGTGTGCTTTCCAGTGACTTGCTGCGTGGAAAAGTGACTGGTCGCTCCACCCCTTTAAGTGCTGAAGAGGCCCGAACACTCTCTTTGGCTATGATCGCTAATCTGACTGCTTCGTATTCTCAATTGCCTTTGGGGATGCCAGTTCTTTTGTCAGCTCTGCATCTTGGGCTAGGGCACCATTTTGGCTACCCTGGTGTAACAGAGAGTGCGATGGCAATAGATATTAGAACAGCGACTGCGCCTTCCATCGATGCACCAGCGGCATCCAGCAATGAGGAACGCTCATCAAAATTTACCTATACTATCTTCCAGGAATATAAGCATGGACTTCGTTTCTCGACGAAGGTCACTTACGGTGATTTCAATATCAACAATCTGGAAAACAACAAGACCGGAAATGCGCCCGGAGTGACAGAGGACCTGGACAATAGTGTCGCAGAAGTGAATAGCTCGACAGATGGCGAATTCGAAGTGGATGGTGCAGAGAATGCTGTTCCTGAGATGACTTGGAGACAACGGTATATAAAGCTTCGTTCCCAGATGCAGAAAAAGGAGCGTGCCTTGTCCCAGTACAAGCGCAAGATTCTGGAGTCTGTAATGGCAGACATCTAAGCCATTGCTACAGTGGTAGAATTCAGTGCGCTGGAAGACTGACTACCAGCTGCTTTGTTGTGTTGAGCATGTTATCTCATTTGCTTGCTTGATAGCAAGCTTCGTTCTTTAACTGATGTGATCTAGACATGATCTTCCATCTGTTTGCCTGGAAGCATTCTGTTCTGTGTTTAGTTTAGGTTTCCTACAGATACCCCTTGAGCGGCCTCGTTTCTTGTCTAAATTAAAGCATGTTTATAGAGCAATACCTAAGACGGCACTGAGTGCTCTTTGCACATACTTCCATGCGTGCTCCTTTACTTGAAGTAAACCTTGGCCTTTGTACTTCGTAGATTCTTAATAAAATAGGAGGACCCCTTCGACGTGCTAAAGCAAGTCCCCTGTCTTCACAACACTGGAAGCATATGAACCCATCTCCAACCGCAGCGAGGGAAATTCAAAGCAAAAAGCCTAGCTTGAACACACCCAATCACCAAGCCAACAAGCCATTCTCAATAGTCTTCCTTCAGCTTGAGAGGCTTTCAAGCATCCGCGTCACAACCCTCCCCTTCAACCTGCACATACCCATGCCCACCATCAGTCAGCATTACAGAATTGATCAAATAAAGCATCATCACTAACCCCAAGCGCAGCCTCGTCGATCTCAGTATCCTCTCCAGAGGAATGCTCTTCAACCTTTGCCAAGTCAGTCCTTTGCTTAACCAGAATTTCTGCGAGGGCAACGGCAACCACCTTCATCGCTTTTCCCTTCTTAGCAGCTGCCTTCTTTGGCACTGCTATCTTCGGTGCAGTCTTGCGCTTTGCCACCGATGACTTAGTAGCCTTTCTTGGGCTTGGGCTTGGGGTGTCAGCTGCGGATCCACCGCCAGGAGCGTTGTTGCGGCCTTTTGAGAGACGCTCGTAGCGTTTCGCGCTAGTTTATCACTCAGAACTACTTTAGACGAGAAAAGTTGGGGAAACGGAGAAGCAGAAGGGACTTACGCAGCTCCTCTAGAGACTATGCTGCATTCTTTCGCAACTTCTCCGAAATCAACCTGTGATTGATGCAAAATTGCGTGTAATCAGTTCTGAGTGCTCTAAGTGGAGAGGTTTTGGACGGAGTGTGTCGGCTGTGTAAACAAGTATCTCTGCGTGTGTGCTCTCTTACCTTGCCGTTGTTCGCGTGACGGACGCAGCTAAGCAGGAACTCAATCTGCTCCGAGTCGGTGATGGTGGGCATGTTGATTGTTTTTTTTTTTTTTTTTCTCGAGTTTGATGTTACCCTTCTAAGGTGATAAACAACTGAAAAGAGTCTTTGAGAGTACGCTTCGGTAAGCTTGTTGGGGGAGGTAGTTGAGTATAGAGAAGGTGGATGATACTGAAAGGGAAGAGGTTTGAAGGAGAATAAAAAGCGAAACAACACTGGGGTTGCATAGACGGAAGACAGGTAGTTGCAATGACATGCGCGGTGCAGTGAATAAATCCAGTACAGCGGCGATGCGTAAGTTCATTTGTCGACGCTTCTTGTCTTGAATGAAGCGCGTGAGATGTGCTTCACTTTCTAGACTTAGTGTTGAGCCATACAAAACGTTAAATAGAAAGTGGCTCCTTTGATCTACTCACACTAAATTTAAATCCTACTGAATGGCTTACGGATGTTATTTTCACTACAATGTCAGTGGAAGTCGGCTCTCTTAGCTGGGCCTTATGTAGTTTCGAGAATCAACCGGTGGCTCTTATTCTCAATATGTAACAACTCGGTTGCTTGTCCAATAACCTCAGTATCAAACCGAGGGTGTAGATAAACTGCTGTACGAATAAAGCACGAAACCAAACCTCCTTCCACATGCTACTTAAGAGTCCGTCAGAATCATAAGCAGGACCCCACCGACCATCTGAAGCCCTTCAATGGAGAGAATGAAGTCAAAGCGACGCAGCATTCACTAAGAAAGATTATTCGTAGGCACCGTAAGTCGAATGACGCTGGACTCGCAAAAGGACAAATTTCCGGCAGATGCAGAACACCCATCTACGCCATTTCAAAGCTCTTGCGATCCTCATATATCTCCATCGCGTCATTGACCGCGTTAAGAAGATTAACGTCAATGCTCTCATCCTTCACAATTTCAGCCTTAACCTTCGACTCTGAATTTGCCTTAGAATGCTTGCTTCCCCTAGGAGCTCCAAGCTCAGTAGCTGAGATAGGAGTAGAAGTCACTTTGGCTCCCTTCCTGACCCCCTTCTTAGGGGCTGCCTTGACCTTGGGTACTTCAATTGTGATAATGGTTTCGGCCTCGGAATTGTCGGTGATGAAAGGGTCTTTGGGTTCTTCGGTCTTAGTCATGCTTTTCTTTCTTCCACCACTGGGGCCCTTGCGCTTCCCTTGTCCGGGGGGAGTGATGAGTACAGAAGCAGCCGAGGTAGTGTTCGCATTTGATGGCTTAGTGGTAGCCTCGAGATTGGGGAAGCCGTACCGCTTGCGAATGGCACGGAATCTGTTGCCGACAGATGCAGTGTTGGTATAGCCCATCGCGGCTCCAACATTGGTCAAGTTGACCTGAATAGATATCAGCGATGCCAGTTCCATTGGTAGTAGGGCGTATTCGTGGAGTATTTGCTTACAGTCCTGCTTTCATCAATGTTTCGCAGACACTCGATAATAAACCGGCCATCTTGCTGGCTCAAAAATTCGCCCTCTTCGGGAGTAGCACTCTGGTCGGATGCCATGGTCTCAGATGGCTCGTCGTGGGGATTAGCTCGATGGTGGGAAAATTTAGCTGGAGGCAATAATATGATAGATAGTCACCAATATATTTAGTTAACCATGGAAATGATGTGAAAATGGCACGTGGGAGTGAAGATGAATGGATGTTGAACTACAGGTGAGAAACACACTGGAAGAGATGAGAATATCAGTGGTGTACTTTCTCACACAAGGGATTGAGTGATTAGGGAATAGTATTTGAGGCTTCCTCCAGTTTGATGGATATTGGCGCAGTGTCCTACGATTGTGTCATTGGTTTGGTGAATTGAGATGACAGTCGTAACGGCGATAGGGAGTTGTTGTTAGAGAGACAATATGATACGACCTAATCACTTTCTATGCAATAAAGAAACACATGTAGGATTTCAACTGAAGTGTTACATGTGAGATCAAGTAGAGAACATTATGTACTATTGCCCACCAGGCACCATGTCTCTTGCCAACAAATCCTGTGGTGTCTCTTCGGGTAATGAACGTCCAGATCTACTCTAAAGGACATAGTAGCCATCTCTAACATAATTCTGTAGCATCCAAGACAAATTTTCTCAATAGACGAGTACAAAAACTATTACAAACCCGTATAGAAGGACACCAAAGACCTCAACAATCCTTAGGCTCTTCAACAATTTTCAATCCAGGCTCAAACATTCCACAAAATTCCACCTCGCTGCAGCTTGCATTCACCACCTCCATTTGTGGTTCTTCCACCTTGACAAAAACGTCGCTCAACATATGATCCTCATCCGGCTCTAACTTTGTAGGAGGCCAGGAATAAGCTGGACTCAGTTGATGCTCGAAACCAATTGTAGGGCTCAAGAAGCTCGGTGTCGCACTGTACGTTGTCAAATCTGTGGGAGACACTGTCATTTGAGAGTAAGGAGGGGTGATTGTCCGGGCGGGCGAATCCGATATTATATGATATGTGACGCTGGGAATATCGGCTAAAGCAGGAAATCCTTGGGCATGTGGATCGGTCTTGATGTAAGGAGTTGATTCGCTTGAAGATGCCCGAGGTTCTTGTTTGAGAACCGGTTTCATATCAGAAGAATCGGCTTCTTTCAGCAAGTCTGCCTTGCAAGGGTTTAATTTAGACCTATTCGGGCTTTTCTTGGTACGAGCCGCTCGGGGTGTTGATGTGATGCCTTCCATCTGCTGTCTGAAGCGAGAGTAACGCATTCGGGCGGCATGACCGTTGGAAATTTCGAGTTGGTTTGCAACGAGGCCCCAGTCAATCTGTTCAACTTCTTAGCCGGCTCATTTGTTTTAACTCTAGAAGTCAACTTACTGATTTAAGATCAAGCTGTTTGATGATGGTATATAAGAACTTGACTGTCGGGCCATCAGTCGGCATGGCTTTGCTACGTCTGGCGGTGGACATGGCTGCAAATTCGAACGGGAGGGGGCCCACAGTTGAATGAGTAGATTAGCTATGCTAATGAAGCGCTTAGTAGATGCTCAGGATGTGCTGGGAAATTGAAAACCTGAAGTTGGCAGAAGAACATGCACTCTGGCGCACAGAAGGTAATATATATACACCATTTCCTCCCATATATTGAAAGCACCCCTTAGTGTTAATAAGAACGGTAATTAAGAACAAATATATGTTGGCATACTACTCTTACACTTAACTAAGAGAAGTAAAAGCCCTTTGCCATCCACAAAGAGTGAACGGATAGCTTTGTAGTTCCAGAGACGCCACCTGCATGTCTTATCTCCTACGTCCTGGCAAATAAAGAAATACTTTACCAGGCAAGATACATTGAGTTCTGGCCCATTTATTTCACTGCAAGTAGAGCACGACAAATGCAGGGTCCCTTTGTGACTTTGTGTACGAGTATCACGTGGATTTGTTTGCCCTGGGTCAACTATAAACTTAAACTTGCAGGCAAATAGCAGATATTGTTGATCTTGGATTGTCTTGTAGAGAATATTATTCTAGTTAGTAAAGGATGAATGAAACAGAAATACATCTAAGCGGGGTAGAATAACTGTGACCGCATAAATATACACGTTCTTATTAGTTTCTTATCAAAATACTCTGTTTACCTTAATCCTTCATGAATGTAGTGGAAATAGCACCTATATTCAATAAACATTGTTCTTTGTAGGTTGAGTACTAGCTCCTGAATGTGTTTGTTTCAGGAGACCAAAAATTAGTCTCTCATTCCGAGCCATACCTGCGTGATTAGGGTAATGCAAACTATAGAGCAGACTATTGACCATTCTCTGTCTTCAGCTCTGCACTTATCCTATATTGTATTCTACGGTAAGGGGCAATAGCATTTCCTTCATGCCTACAACGGTAACTTGATGTCTAATAACACTTATTTGTGTATGGTAGCTTAAACTACAAGATGGTTCTATTATATTTGCTGATATTGTTCTAGAAAAACAGAACAATTTCCTGTACCTCAAAAGGTAGGGTTTTATATGGCTGTAGAGGGTGGGTCATGACTAATCCTATCAACGACTGCCCCTCCTCCCCACATACTCACAAACGCTCATACATCTGCGTATCCAGTAATTGCCGCAAGAGGTTTTGTAAGAAAATTGACCACTCTACTGTCAAAATGTCGTTAGTCGCCATAGGTGCATGCTATGTTGATACTATCTTAACGTTGGTTGGCACCACGTTCACCCGGCGCTTAAGTCCACACTAGCTCATTATGTTTGCCCAGAACCCCTCATTACCCTGGCGAAGATGAAAAGCTACGGGCTACCAATATCTCACGGCGACGAGGAGGCAATTGCCCTAATACTCTGGAAGTACTCCAACAATTGACAGTGCATAGCCCGTCGCAGACAGGGGTATCGCTGAATCTTATTGCCGTTCTGCCAGCAAAATCTTCTATTGCGTCTCAGCAAATCCGGTCTGCCTTTGAGCCTCGTGTTCAGCTCGTCCATTGTATCTATCGAGAGCAATATGCAGAGCCAGCTTCAAGTTATATCATCAAAAGCCAGTCCTCTGGGAGCAGGACTATTGTTAACTACAATGAGCTCCCCGAGATGACAGTGGATGAGTTTAAGCGAATCGCAGACGACCTAGGCTCAAAGGCCACATGGTTTCATTTTGAAGTCAGTCAACCCTTCTCATATTCCTTGGCCTCATCATACTTATGAATCGTAAATCTAGGGTCGCATACCTGATGTCACGCTGGCCTGTATACAATATCTTCGGCAACAGTTTCCATCTTTGAGAATCAGTGTCGAAGTAGAAAAGCCAGGACGAGAAGGCCTACAAGAGCTGGCTATGGAAGCCGACGTTGTCTTCTACTCGAAGAGCTGGGCTCAGGTAACCTCGCTCGCGCTTACAATGTTAGACTTTTGACTAAGAATTAAACAGGGAAATGGTTACACGTCAGCCAAAGAGTGCCTCCGGAAGCAATCTCTACTTACACGCAAAGCGTAAGTGTCAGGGTTTCTTTGCGCCGTCGCCCAGAGGCTGACTCGAAGTATCAGGCAACTTCTCTTCTGCACATGGGGTGAGGATGGGGCTGTAGCGTTAGAGACAAGTTCTGGTGACGTGATTCACAGCCCAGCTTATACTGCACCAGACTTTACGGTTGTTGAGTAAGTGACTGAGAAAAGTGCGCTACTGAACCAATCTCGCTAACACTATGTAAGTACTATTGGTGCTGGAGACACATTTATAGCCGGTATGCTCCATGCATTAATCTATCGAGGCGATGCTTGGAGCCTTTCACAAAAGCTAGGTTTTGCAAATCGGGTAGCAGGCATGAAAGTAACGCAAGAGGGCTTCTCCGGTTTGGAAAGGGCGTTGAACTCATATCCTTAAATCAGGGCTTTAACACATGTATGTAACATACTGTTCCATATCAAAAACAGCTTGAGGCTCCCTGTGGGGTACAAATTTATGAAAATACAAAATTGGATTCACAAAATGTAGTGAGAGATCAACACAGGTTACGAGTATATATATTTGATAGAGTAAGCTATACTTGCACTTAGCCGGACTTCCTTATGCAATATTATTCAACCATCTATCTAGAATCAACAAATACTTGCAGTAAATATAATCTGACCACAAATACATGACTACCTGCTAGGATGTGGGTTTGCTGGTGCTTTGATAGTAGTAGATACTTATCATGAATTGCCATTTTCGGTAGTATCACGTGAGAGATAAACTACGGCACAGAGATTTGGAAGGCGGTAAGGCCCAGAAAAATATTCTGCCCCCAACTTTTTTGGAAGCTTTTCGCTGCGCCGATCAACAACTTAGATTTTCTCTAAATCAGTTTATTCCCCAATTCACAATGGCGGCAGTATATAAGTCAGTGTCTAAGAAGCAGGCTAAGCAGCTTGCCAGAGAGCAAGAGCAGGACGACTCAGACGCAGAAATGGCCGAGATGGCTGACCTTCTCGCCGACGCCGACGATACAAGCGACAGCGAAGACGAGGAGGAAGAAGATTTGGAATCAGCCAAGAAGCAACTTGCTGCTGGATATATGCCAAAGACTCGGGTTCTTATGTTGACTTCCAGGGGTGTCACATCTCGGTATGTTCATATTGTCTTGGTCCTAATTGAACAAAAGGAGCGGTATTGCTGATCGGTTTTGATACTAGCCATCGGCACTTGCTTGCAGACCTTACTGGTTTACTCCCTCATACCCACAAAGAAAGCAAACTCGATACCAAAAAGAAGACCGCAGGATATAACTTACTTCTGAACGATCTCGCCGACCTTCATTCCTGCAACGTTATTTTCTTCCTTGAGGCTCGCAAGCGTGGTCAAGATTTGTACCTCTGGCTCGCTCGTCCCCCGAACGGACCTACACTCAAATTCCACGTTAACAACTTACACACTATGGGCGAACTGAATGCTGGTTTCAGCGGCAACTGCTTGAAGGGTGGCCGTGGTGTTGTGGTTTTTGATCGCTCATTCGACGAACAAGGCCCGGTTATGAGCCAGCCAGGCAACGAGTACCGTGGACTGATTCGGGAGATGCTGCGGGGTGTCTTCTCCGTCCCTAAGCGTGGTGTCAAGGGAATGAAGCCTTTCATTGACCGTATCATTGGTGTGTTTGGCGTCGACGGCAAGATCTGGATTCGCGTGTACGAGATCAGAGAGTCCGAAGGTGGAGGCAAGAAGAAGTCTGAGGATGGTGAGGAAACCGTGAAGCCTGTACCTAAGGGCAAGGATGGTCTACCAGAAGTTTCGCTTGTCGAGGTCGGACCTCGTTTCGTTTTGACGCCGATTGTCATCCTGGAGGGCAGCTTCGGCGGTCCTGTTATCTACGAGAACAAGGAATACGTGAGCCCGAACCAGGTCCGTCACGATATTCGGATTAGCAAGGCAGCGCGCCACGCGAAGCGCAGAGACGTGCAAACCGACCGTTTCGCTAAGCGGACAAATTTGGGATTGGGAGAAGGCCAGCGCAAACCAGATGCATTGGACAACAGGCATTTGTTCGCATGATTGCTTGCTTTATTCCGTTTACTTTTCATTCATTTTGTCTCTTCTTGTTAGTGCTATTAGACTCGATATCCTAAGGGGATGTACATGTGTTTGAGATGCAAGGGGCACCTTATCATGGTCTAAAAGGCGTCTGGTGTGAAACAACATAATAAAAGTTCAAATGTCATGATGAATTCCAATCCAAGTCCTTCTACCGGCTAGTAGAAGTCGCTCAATTTTTTAGGCTGAACTATCGCATTAGGGCATCGTGCTGCAGAAACCGTGCGCATTTGACTGAAGATGGTACCATAGCAACCAGATATTGAGCTTTGTTTATCCTTAGAAGTTCGTACATACTTCATAAACTATGAATGATGTGAGATTTATGTATGTAGATGTAAGGGCGGAGATTAGATAAGCGCTGCTATATAAGAGTCATAACATCCGCTTGGGGCTTGACTCCATCCCTCCGTCAACCACCATGGCACTATTCTTGCCGTTTAGCCCTCTGCGGCTGTCTGGGCTTGACTTCCATATCACCATGTGTTCTTGTTTCTCTAGGGACCAGATTTGTTTTGTTTTGGACAGCCCCAAGGGCGGGGTCTCGACTTAGTCCAACTTGCGATCGCGACGGCAGCGCTGGCTTGGGCAGCGACTGTCCACTATATTACACAAAATCCACTATCCAGCTGTGTTATCTAAACTACCTACCTTTTGCGTTTCCATAGTCAGCAAGGTTCGGGTCTCAAGTTATGTTTGGCGGTGACCACAGCTAACGAGTGTAGCGCAAAACATATAACAACGATGACATTGAATCAACTAGCTACGGAGCTATTGCTCCATGTATTTCGTTCCTGTCAAACAATATCCGACATTTTAAATCTCGCATCAACTTGTCGACGACTTCGTACTGTCTTTAGCAGATCCAATAAGCTCCAAATTCTCACCGATATTGCCGAGCGCGAATTCGGACCAATAGAGGAGATCATCCAAATCGTAACGCAAAACGCAAGCCAACCAGCTCACTTAATACGCAAGCCTCCCATGACCAACCCCCTCTTCAAACAAATAGTCCAAGTCGGACGCGTAGCTCGGAAATGGGAGACAATCTATCCCGTCAAAAAATGGAAGGTGGATTATGAAAACCGACGATCATTGACAGATGACGAGCGATTCCGCCTCCGCCGAGCTATCTATCGCCTATGGCTTTACCATCGCGCATTCCATACGCGTACGCATGATCGCTTCAGCCGTAAGCTCCCACATATCGTCACCGAGCGCGCGCTACTCCTGCATAACTGGTCTACGCAGGAGCTGGGTGATATCGAGGACGTGCGTCTCATTATCGCCGATGTCGTCCAGAATCATATTTGTCCTAGTAATGGAACGATTCAGCGAAAGTTTCGCAAACGGTTCCCGGAAAGTCACCACCAGTTGGCATTCAACATCCATCTGAATTACCCAGCGCCCAGCCCTCTAGGGCCTTCCGGGCTCTTTGATAGCCCGAATTCGGTCGACCAATACTGTCATATCGCACATGTTGCCAACTTTACTGAGTCGCCGGCGAAATATAGATCTAGGTTCCGGAATGACTTTTTTCATGACCCCGGCGCCGAAGGCTGGGGCGATGAGATCCCTCACTACTACGTGGTCCAGGACATGATGAAGCTTGATCCAGGTCAGGTGCTCTGGCTGCGCGAACATGCGCCCCTGAAAGAACAGGTAGAGGGCTATGTGCACTCCCTGGGAGATTGGTTTCGCGACAATGGAGAGACATTCGGGGATACACTCGAATGGGTGATGAAACAGAGAGGCGACGATATCGAAGAGTTCAAGGCGGCCATTTCAGACCGGGAGGTGGGGATCGTGTGGGATTAATGCATAGCATATCTGCGCTATGCACTACTCAAATGTATTACGAAGCTACCAATGTACCTATGTAGTGTCCATGAATAACCTTTCCATAAGCAAGCAAGGGTACAACACAACATCCATCTAAAAATCAGGGTTCCACCAAATAAATCCCGCATAACAAAGTCACCGCATGAACAGCTCACCTCCCTATAGTAATTTCCAATCCTCCCAAAAATAGAAAACGTCAATATAATCCAATCTCCCATCCACAAGTTCGAACTTCGGCCGTTATCCAAACGTTCTGGAATCCAAATACTAACCTAATTAAACCCTCCCCCCAAGACGCCCCTGATCGGCCCACCCTAAACCACACTGGGGGTCGAGAATCCGACGCTGTCGACTGGGGCTCTGGGGCGCGAACGGCAAAACGCAGAGAGCTAAAGAACTAAGAACCAATGGGGGAGTTTGCGGTGGGTTTGCGGACTCCAGCGTGGAATTTAGGTACTAGGGCTAGTGTGCTTAGTGCGCGCTGTCCTGTGGGGACTTTTTTTTCTCTTGTCACAGAATATTCCGTATAAATATCTGGTATGGAAAAGATACGTAGGATTATAGGGAATGTCATGTAAAGATGATGGTGCAGGCAGGGAACAAGTGAGGCGAGTTGTTGCTGACTCTGACCATGGATCTGGTTTAGCCTAATTTTTTGGTTTGCTTATGGTACGTGGGCAAATCCCCTTCGAATTTCATGGACCTCGCGCCTTTTTGACGTGGGGCTCCCGCTGTTTGGTCAGTGGGCCTTTCGAGACCACCGAGGTGTTGATGCTCATTATATTCCGCTTGCGATGATACTTTTAGGTGCTAGTTGATATTAGTATCTGCGACATATGCATGCGCCGCATTAATAATTGCTAGTAAATAGGCTGGTGGTGAAACGGGACCATTGCCACTGGACTTAGTGATTGCTCATGCTGTAATTCGTAATTGCCAACCCATGATAGCCTCATACACGAACTGCTTTGGCACTCTCCTACGTAGGCACCGACAAAAACAAACCCAAACTTCGTTTCGATAATTGACCAGAGTGTGAGAAGGGTACATGGGATGAGGTAGGAAAAAGACAGAGAAGGCCAAAGAAGTGTGCCAAGGCGAACACAGGTCCGTAGAAGACAGAGAATAGGAAAATTGTCAATTCCATAAAGGGATAAGAACGAACCAGATAAAGGAAAAGAAAGGGAAGGGGAAGAAAATCAACAAAATGATGTCTAGGATGTGATGTCCCACAAGCATCACCATACAATGACCGTGTCCCTGGATGCCGTTCCCAACGTTCCTCTTGTGTATCATCTCCGCGGAGGCTAAGTAACAGACAAAAAGAAAGATCAAGACCATTCGATTATCACATCACAGAATAAAAAAAAATCGTGGCGGTAGGCGTGTCATCCCCTAACAGTAAGAAATCATCTAACAGCAACCCTGCTTCGTCTCAGGATCCTGCGAAGGGTTGATATCCACCACCGGACGACGGTCACCAAGACCGGCCTGGCTCGAGTCGCCACTGTCAAGAGCCTTGCTGGACACAATCCGGTAGATTTCTAAGCGCGCGTCAGCATAACGAAAAGAAAAGTTGGGTAAAGACGTATATTGCTAACCTGTGAGGATGTTCTGGAAAGCAAGCTCAACGTTGCTCGCATCAAGGGCAGATGTCTCTATGAAGGAGAGGTTGTTCTCGCCTGAAAGCAAGTTAGCGAGCCAAGGATAAAGGCAACTCACGCATCAAGTATGTGCCCGAAACTTACTGGCAAACTGCTTAGCTTCCTCGGTTGGCACAGCGCGCAGGTGTCTCAAATCACTCTTATTTCCCACAAGCATGATGACAATGTTGGAATCTGCGTGATCTCTGAGTTCTTTCAACCACCGGTTAACATTATCGTAGGTTTGATGCTTGCTGATGTCGTAAACGAGAAGGGCACCGACGGCACCACGATAGTAGGCAGAGGTAATGGCGCGGTAACGCTCCTGACCAGCAGTATCCCAGATCTGCGCCTTGATCGTCTTAGAATCGACCTGAATAGAACGGGTTGCGAACTCCACGCCAATGGTCGACTTGGAGTCCAGGTTGAACTCATTGCGGGTGAAACGACTCAAAAGGTTGGACTTTCCAACACCAGAGTCTCCAATAAGTACCACTGTATGATAAGTACCGCAAGTTAGTGGTGTCATTCAGCGAGTGGAAAGTCTCTATATGCGTGGATCTTTCGGCGCTTCTGCCGGGGGGGGGGGGATGTGGCAACTTTACCCTTGAAGAGAAACTACCGAATCACTCAATTAGTTATACAAGACAAGCACGTAGCGAAAGGATGGATAGAAAAATGACGTACATCATACTCGTCGTTAGCCATACTGAATGGTTGTGAGAGCTTGTTAAGCCCTAAAAGTGGTGGGGTTTGAAATTTGGGGGGACCTTGACGTGGCCGAGTTGAATAGTGATTAGAGCAAAACCGACAACAGTGGGAACGTTGATCCTGTGGGTGGCGGCGTCTCGTCAGTTGACTGTGGAAAGTTGCAAGATAAATAGCAGCCTGAGGCGAACTAAGGCCACCAGCGAAACAATAGTCAAATAAGAACTTACGGCGGTGGTATGTTTTTTATGGTAAGGGGAAGACGGCGAGGCAGAAAGATAGGAGGTTATCCAGATGTCTTTCGCTCCCCTGCCACTCCCGTGCTTCGTCGCGCTGCCGAGCGGACATTCCCGATTTGGGAATAGTGGCTGGTCACGTGTACCTCTCGTTCGTCAGTAGGCACTGGACCTTCAATGAAAATCATATGACAGAGCGCGACGACAAGAATCGCTAGGATTACTGTCTCCTAATGATGGTCATGGCTTACTTTTGATGTATATTATGTCCATGATTTATTTCACATGTTCAATGTCGGCCTTTGCCGAGAGCGGGATTCACTGATTATCGGGCGGGCATACAACTGGTTTTTCTACTATCTCTGGTGGTAGCGATCATACTAGTAGTTTGACCCATATCTTTGCCCTTTCTATTTGACAAGCCACTTCCTTTGGCTCTGTTCATCAAAGTCGATCTATACACAGGCTTCCTGCTGCACCCCTGCTACCTCAGACACTGCTGCTCTGATAGCGGTGCTCTTTTGTTGCAATGACTGAGGTCAGTGATGATGATGATGATATCTCTCTCACCTCAACTGTCCCTAGCCCACCGAAGGAGAATTACTATGTGGATACCATTCACGCCGAGCGTGAAACTTCCGAGGGAACCGAATTTCTCGTAGGATGGGAAGATTATCCTATTGAGAGGAGCAGTTGGGAGACAGCTGCCCAGTTTGATGATGAGCAGACTCTGCTCGACTGGGAGGAGAAAAAGAGAGAGATTGCAGCGGGAAGGCTGCAAGAGTTTGATCTCACTGATTTCAACAGACGCCTGCATGAAGCTGAACTGGCCTGCCAAAAACGAAAGCACAAGCGACATTTGAAGAGAGAAAAGCTTGCGAAAGGCCAGCTGGTACCATCAAAAACTAGCTTGTTCAGCTCCACGTCAAATGGCCCTGGCTTTACAAATTCCGATGTAACGCTAAATCCTTGCACTGATACCGCAAATGTATACTCGAGTAGAGCCACAAACCAGTCTCAGGTCGGCCCTGCTCGTTCTCAATCTATCCGTGGTGGGTTAACAAGACCGCCTCTAGTTGGATTTGGGACTGGCCGTGGTGGTATAATTCGCTCCCGTCCTCGGAGATCCTATGATGCTGATCCTTCCGCTCCCCCCAAGATGTTCAAGTATTTATCAACGAAACACAGATATGAGAAGGCAAGGGGTTATGAACCTGCTCCAGATGTCAGCCAACTTAAGCTTATGAGGCCATCGGAGTGGTTATCTGCCCCCGCCGCCTATTCATCCAACCCTGGACCGCAGCATAACACCAACATGAGGGGGCAGGAGCCAGATGAAAGCCCAAGAAGGGCGATTAGCGATGTTCCTAACATAGACACTTTCATCTCGCAGCCGCAAACATCCCGCTCTAATGATTCAAAGGCCTCAAACCATTCTTCGCCTGTTTCTGACAGGCCTCGCCGTTTATCTGACCGATCACGGGACCTCTATCTCCCACGACGAAGGCCTGGTCGCGAGGCTAAGTGGATTAAAGGGGAAAGGGGAAGTTATTTTGTTAACCCAGGAGAACTTCTATGTACCTTGTATTATGGACCCGATAAGAGGGAGATTGGTGAAGCTAGGATGTGCGGTTTGGACAGTATCAGGAGAAACCGATTTCTTAGGACTAAGAAAAATCACGTCCTTGAAATCTGGTTTCAACATCTCTGTAACCTTACAGACTACAATAGTCTGTGCAGAAGTGTGAGTAGTACATGCAAAAGCTGGCTTACCTGGTTACTTAAAATGAATTAAGTCGCTAATAGACATCATTTACCAGACAACAAATGAAAGATATTGGAACGGCTGGGTTGAGGGGTTTGACGACTCTGAACCAGATATCTATCGCTTTGGGCAGGAACTCACCCGAAGAAATCTTGTGGCTATATGTATTCCTGAAATACAGGGCCATGATGTATTACTTGCGTATCCACCAAATTCCGAGGATTTTGGTTTCTTGGATGGAGACTTTAGAGGTCCTCGTGACGTCTTTCTTCATACTGCCGTGAGGAGTGCTTTGGGGCCCATTGAGCGACTGGCCTTTGGTAGTCTACAGGGACAGCGTGGTCACCTGACAGAAACAACTACTGGGGCAGTGAATTCTTCACAAATTAACACTATTGTTGCAAACAAGCAAGCTTCTGAGGCACAAAGAGAGCTGGTTTCTTTAAATCAAGACAATCGCCCTTCAATTATCGAGTTTCCTAACGCACGCATAGGCCTGGAACCGAGGCCACACACAAAAACAGTTACATCACTGACGAATCGTCGCACTTCTAGTGATTCAATACCAGGTCTGCAGAGGAGGTCACCTGGAATCGATCATATGGGTATTGACCAGGGTCCTAAAGACCCCACAACGGTTGCCAATAGCGACAACAGGCAGCCATCACTGAGCATTCCACTTCCGTTTGACTTGTGCTATGAATTTGAGAAGAGGTTCGGGGTGACATTCCAGACGTTGGCAACAGTGGCAGAGAAACGTTTAGCAGGGTCCTTCTGTGTACTGTTTCCACAGGGCTCAACAGGTATTGAAGAAGAATGTCAAGCCATTGTTGAATTTCTCAAAGCCCACAATAGTGACAAATACAAGGCTATTGTTTACTCGAACCGCACTCCTGAAGATTGGGAAAAGTTCACTCAAGCGAAGAATGGAGTCACCTTGGTATGTGTCACCACCAGTACCATTATCAAAAAGCGGATACGCTGACGTTAGTCAGATTCATGAAAGCTTTCTGGACTTCTACAAGTTGCAGGGCCTTAATAACTTATGTCGCCAGTCAACATTCAACTTTTGGTCTTTCACTTTAAGCAAAGAATTTGGTGATAACGGACCGTATTTCCGTCGCATGCTTCAAACGGGTGGGGTTATTTTAATTACTGAAGACTACATGCTGAGCGATCTGAGAGGTACTATCGTTGTACTATCTTGGTTCGAAGACTATGCAAAGGGCAGGTATCCTGGAACATGGAAATTAATGCTCCGTCCGGGTGTATTGGATTGGGTGCAAAAGCAGATTGAGGTCACCGTGAACTCAAGATCTTTGTAGGTCATTGTGTATCACCAGGCTTGATTATACGGTCTAATAACAATCTCAGATGGCTCGCAATGTACCATCTCATTATGCAGATTACCGCCATCGGAGATGCGAATTCCCGGGATATCCTCACTGGCGCAGAGGTCGGCTATACACCAAACACGCTCATCTCTCCTTCAAAACTCCCAGGGTATGGTTTTCGTACAGACGACGAAATTCCGGATATCCCTAAGGATAGAACCCTGACACAAGAACAACGAAATGCTGATCACCTCATTGAGTTTTACGCTGGTTGGGCCCTGGTCAATTGTTACCAGTTCCGAAAGTTCTTTGTGCTCACAGCCTCCACGCTTCCGCGATGGGACGAGTGGCAACATCTGCAAATTCGCGTGGGCTCCCCAGCAATCATGAAATGTTTTGAAATCAACTATAAGTGGTACTGGGAAAAACTTAAGCATCCTGCGGCGAGATCAGCATCCCATTCAGAGAGGAGCTCTCAGACCCCTTTTACACCCCAAACTCCTAGGGCTGGCTCGAGCGAGTCAGCTATTTCTAGACCGACGCCGTCCTATATCCCTCCCCTTTCGCACCACTATCCCCAACCATATCAGTGATTGGAAAGTGAGTGATCTGTTGGTAATTGAGAAGTGTATGCTCGACCCGGGGTTTCAATTGCGTTCTATACATTCGCGCTTGTTACATATCTTTAAGATACCACTGTAATATACAACGATCCCACGATTAATGGCTATTATGCATCGAGGAGAACGAGGCAATGATTGGATATAAATAACGCAACTCCAATGGCTGAGTATAATGGCTGAGTATAAGGAACCGTCACAAGAAACCAAGCAAAGCTGATAGCCGAAACGCCATACGTAAAACGGAGAATTCACGGAGACTGGTATACTAAAAAAAGCAAAACATCAAAACATCGCTGAAGGCCAAGCATGCACGTCACATACACGAAATGCGCAATGTTTACTGAAATCGATTGATAGGTGTCAACTAGAAGCCTGCTGCTCTAGTCCGGTACTCACGGAAGTTTGAGATAGAAGGGTGCTCCTCCGAAGCGGCCTGCGCTCTAGCTTTCAGGGCCCTCTGCTTCTTCTCTCGCCGTTGCTTTTCTTCCCATTGGCTCTCCTCAGCTGCGATCATGGCATGGAAACGTCCGCCTTGTCCACGAGAAAGGTAAATAGGTTTCTCTTTACGAGCAGCCACAGATTCTGTTATGAGAACAAACTTCACGCTTGAACCTGGGGTTTCATACATGGCGTCGCTAAGAATAGTTTCCATTTCTGTTCGAAGGGCACGTGCCCCCGTGCCCATTGTGAAGGCGTTGGCAGCTATTTTATGCAAGGCTGGAGTTGTGAAGCGGAGCTCAATTCCTGACAGGGAGAATAAGGTTGTGTACTGTGCCAGCAGTGAGTTGCGGGGCTCCGTGAGGATCCGTACAAGCAAAGGTTGCGTCAGCGCGGAGAGCGCAGCGGTGACTGGAACACGGCCAACTAACTCAGGAATGAATCCATAATTTTGTAGGTCGGTAGGGTTGATGAGATCGAGTGCATTGAAGTAAGTTGGCTCACCATCAGGTGATTCGGGGCTAGCAGAGGTGAAAAAAGGAAGATGTTTCTTGTACAAAGCTTCCTCTTCCGACCCTGGCACTATAGGCACAGGCTGATTGTTTGCAGTTGCTGACTGTCCAGGCCTCTCGCCTGAGTTGGATGGTGTCCGAACAGGCTGGCCGAAGCCGATGGAGCCACGCGATATCCGATCCATCACCACCTTGTGTAGCCCGACAAAAGCACCAGAGAAGATAAACAGAATGTTATCCGTACGTACGTTGTAGACCTCTCCTTTCTGGGACATGCCCCCACTGTTAGAAGGTGGATACGGCGGGTTCCCCAATGGACTGTTTGATGGATATGTATTGGGGGTTCCACCTGTGCGAGGAGCGTTCTTCTCCTGTTTCGCTTGCACCTGCACCGTCGTACCTTCTATAATCTTTAGAAGGGCCTGCTGGACTCCCTCGCCACCGACATCTTTGCCATGACTGACTTTAGCGGCGGCAATTTTATCAACCTCATCCAGAACAATTATGCCGCGTTCTGCCTGTTCGACATCGTAGTTGGCTGCAGCTAGGAGCCTGTGAACGCAGACCTCGGCATCTTCTCCAATGTACCCAGCCTGCGTGAACGGTGTGCAATCTGAAATGCTAAACGGTACTGATAGTACTTTAGCTAATGTTTTGGCCATGAGCGTCTTCCCAACGCCGGAAGGTCCCAGGAGCAGTATGTTGGATTTCTCCAGTTGTGTTGCCGATGAGTCTGTGAGCTCGGTTTGGTTCAACGACGAACACGGATCAAGTGGTGGGCGGCTAGTCCGTTGTTGCCCTGGAAATTCATCTGTTACATGTGTTAGTATATCACTAAGATGACCATGCAGTTCCAGTTCTTGTCGGGCCCGTGAACAACCTACCCTCTACAGGATGGCGGTCAACAGATTCGCGCCGCGCACGCTTCGCCAGCAGCTCGACCGCTTCCTCATCACGTCGCTGTAATTCTTGCACACGTTGATAATGATTGTATACGGCGACACTGAGTATCTTCTTGGCCCGATCCTGTCCAACTACAAACTGATCTAGGTACTGCTTCAACGTTTTGGGCGTAATCCGCGGAGCTCCGAAAGCCGGGGTCGAGCCCAAGGGCCCAGCAGTCGGCAGTCCGGGTTCATAGCTACCGCTCCAGGGCTGATTTGTGAAATCTGATCGATTGAATTGAGATTGTGTCGGGAAAGATGTAGAAGAGTTAGCGAAGCCACGTTGTATGAGACGAGCAATTGAACACGGCGCGCGCCGATAGCGGAGTATGAGGTGGTGCGCCCTGAGAGGTGCACTGGGCCGTAGTAGCAGCCACAGCATGGCCGGGCGGCAAATGACTTGTAAACTGATAGGCGCAAATGATACGCGTAGAAACCGGCTTAAGAAAGAAGACCGAAGGAGAATTAATCAAGATGTGGAGGATTGAGCTGTAGTTGAAGGTACATAGAGATGATGACGCTGCCGATAGTAGATAAGATGGTGTCAGATAGTAGCTTTCCCCGCAGCACGTGATCGATACTTATCCGCCGACGCTATCCGCTCACAGCTGGAGACTACATATAAACATGCTATGGTAACTTATCTAAAGTATCTCGTTCATTATTTGGAATCTATGAAATGGGGGTTTGCTAGCGGTGTAAGACATTAAACTTCCACGAAGCCGCAAAGACTGCAAAGCCCTAGGTCATCTGGAAGTAAGAATATCGACATTCTGCGGCGTAGGCCTAGTATCCATTCTTTGCTCCCATCGTACTTCTTAAACTTGGCAGCTGGTATAAGAGTCTAAGCCCGGCCTAGTAAATCGCGTATGGTCTCTTTTTGAAGGCCTCCAACGCCATAAACAGAAGAGGAGCGATATTTAGGTGACACACTCCTGGACCGTATTCAACATACCGTCTTAGCGGTTAGATCACTATTACTTGCCACGTACAGTCGCTGCGAGTAATACTGGCGGTAGATTTGACGTAGGCAAGGAGGGCTTGTTGTCGAGACATATGAGTTTGGTTCCTCAAAGAGGGGGTGAGTGAACTACTTGGAGGCCGGGACTTTCACTTCGTTGCCTTGAACACGGGTTGCTGCTCCATCGTTTGCGAGATAAAACTGCGCAATGCGGCCCAACGGTTCGACACAGAGCCTGCCTGGTTGTCCGATGCTGTATTTGGTGTAGTAGTCGCCTCGATTGTCGACATCTGTGCCATGTTCTTTGCAAAGCGATCCCTTTCTGTTTGTTCCAATCGCTGCCTACGCTTCATAGCGCCAGGTTTATGCTTCAGCGTTTTCTGTTTAATGACATTCACCTGACTGCTGGGATCATTTATTTCAACCTCGGTTTCTGGAAGGGCATCGGCAAGCGATTCAAGGTTTGCAACGAGTTTCTTTGACGCTCGTCGACGTTTGGTAGTCTTTTGAGAGTTCTTCTCTATTTTGGACATTAGAGCAGCATGTTTAATCTGACGCTTGTCTTTCTTAGATGTCCGAAAATCATCATTGAAAAGACTAGACTTTGTCGAGGGAAGAGCGCCTTTCCCTGAAGCCGGCATTTTCGCAGCGGACTGCTTCTTGGTTGATCTAACAGGAGCCTTCGCAGATGTCAGAAAGCTCGAATTTTCATGTGAGAGGTAAGATGGCTTACCATTATGGGTTTCTAACGCTGGTGCCGAAAAAGTTGATCAAATCGCCGGGCTCTCCGAGAATTCACGATAATAATTCTGCCACTGGTTCCGATGGGTGCGTGCTCCTAAACCTATTCTGGATTAGCCTGAAAGCTAGCTAATCCATGTCCCTGGCAGCCCCTGACCTCACCGCCAACGTGACTACTTACCGACTAAGAGGAGGTTTTTCCTTCTTTGGTATCCCTATCCCTCTAGGTTATTGAGATCAAGAAGTGAGGACTTCCCGTGGTACATACTCCGTAGACTAGAAGTTGGCCGGGAGTCAAAGCACCAAACTAATTTGTTAGTGTGACACATCCGATCACTCACCGAACCTGATCGCCATTTTTTTTTTGTTTTTCCTAAAATCCCTCGTTCTTTCTCCGAATTTCTCGGGACGAAAAGATCCACATTCACGGGTATTCAACCCGCCTTATCGTCTTCCACTTACATCAGCGAACCACATCGAGAGTTCTGGTGACAGTTTTCGTGTCTCATTCGCAGCACTACGTGGATGCTGTCCCCAGTACATCTTTTATCTCGCCGGACTTGCCTTCGTTCAATTGCCACTGCGATTGATCAACCTCGGTCCCCGGTTTTTCCCCAGCAAGAGACACTCTCCACTCCATTTTCGTCGGCTCTAGTCTACTCAAAGGCTTTAAAGTTCTCCAGACCAACCTCAACTCGGCTCATTTCTTGTTCATTTTCACGTCTATATACTATATCTGTGGACGACATTGCCAAAATGAGCTTTCTTACCCCGTACCAGCGCAAACACAAGGTCACGGTGATCGGCTCAGGAAACTGGTAAGTGCGCTCAGAGATAACGGTAACTGGGATAAGACAGCGCTGACATTTGAAAGGGGCACCGCAATTGCCAAGATCGTCGCTGAAAATACCGCTAGCAACCCTGCCATCTTCGAAAAAGATGTTCAGATGTGGGTTTTTGAAGAGAACGTGGAAGTTCCAAAGACATCCCCTCACTATAACCCATCTTCGCCCTTATGCCAGGGTTCCCAGAAATTAACAGAGATCATCAATAAAACACATGAGAACGTCAAGTATTTACCAGGAATTAACCTTCCTACAAATTTGCACGCCAATCCCTCGTTGGAGGACTCCGTTAAGGACAGCACCATCCTTGTTTTCAATTTGCCTCATCAGTTCATTATCAAGACTTGTGAGCAGATCAAGGGCAAGATCCTGCCATATGCGCGTGGTATCTCTTGTATCAAGGGTGTCGATGTGCGGGAGGATGGGATCAGTCTTTTCTCAGAAACCATCGGCAAGATTCTTGGGATCTACTGTGGCGCGCTCTCCGGTGCAAATATCGCCAGCGAGGTTGCACAGGAGAAGTGGTCTGAGTCAAGCATTGCTTACGATCCTCCCCATCTAGATTCGAAAGCCCCCTCGCCTAATCGCTCGCCTTCCTCGTCGACAGTGGATGTGGTTCACTTCACGCACAAGGACGTTTCGGGACAACTATCTCAGGTTAAACTGCAGGCGTTACCCTCCGAATATCCTCCCATTGACCATGCTGTCCTGAAGACACTTTTCCACCGTCCTTACTTCCATATCAGTGTGGTGAGTGACGTTGCAGGCGTTTCCCTTGGTGGTGCGCTCAAAAATGTCGTCGCCATTGCCGCAGGTTGGGTTGAAGGCATGGGATGGGGTGACAACGCCAAAGCTGCCGTCATGCGAGTCGGCCTGTTGGAGATGGTCAAGTTCGGTGAAATGTTCTTCGGCGCGACCATCAACACTCGGACATTCACCGAGGAGAGTGCTGGTGTTGCGGACTTGATCACTAGCTGCAGCGGTGGTCGCAATTTCCGTTGCGCCAAGCTGAGCATTGAAAGAAAGCAGCCGATCGGAAAGGTCGAAGAGACGGAGCTCAACGGCCAGAAGCTTCAGGGCACTTTGACTGCGATTGAAGTGAATAAATTCTTGAAGAACCAAGGCGTTGAAGAGGAATACCCCTTGTTAACGGCCGTCTATAGTAAGTGCCAATCTTTTTGTGTGTTGGGGAGATGTCACTAATTTGTCGTAGGAATCCTAGAAGGCACTATGTCTGTTGAGGATATCCCTTCTTATATTGAGCGGTAAATATGACCTGATGCTTTGTCTCCCATGATTTCTCATTTCGGTTATTAATTCACGGGTATCTGTTTTCTTTTCATTACAGCAAGCCGGAATCTGTTTCGCATGAATCGCAAGGAGTGAATGGTGGTGGCGCGAGCCAGGCAGTCTTGGCCAAATTGTGAGGTGGCAGGATGCGATGATGTCTGCTCACAAAAATATTTGTTTTTATATTTATTTACGTCTTGGGACTTGTCGGTAGGTCTTTCTCATGTTTTTTTTGGGTATGGATATTATAAACGCACATAGACTAGTGACCATAGAGCAATTCTCAGATTTATGTTATTTCTTCTGATGCAAAAAAGATCTGTTCTGATCGTGTGTTTTGGCTTTGCCGGATTGACTTCTGCTACTAAAATTGGGTTCCTTGGACACGTTAGTACGGAGGTCCAAGGTTACTTCTGCGGTCGAGGCCTTTGCACCTTCCCATGATGTCAGACCTCCTGCGGGGTTCAAATGCGCCCAGGAACATAAATGACGAACTTGAAAAGCTGGCTTTGTTTGCTTTTGTCCGTGTTTGATTTTTGTTTTCTTCCTCCCTCAATATTCCACCCTTCGTTCTCCTGCACATCGGCTGGATCAGCGTAAATCTACCGATCACCAACAGCTCCATCGGCCGGGCCGATACTTTCTTATTTATCCCCGCACTCAACTGGGGTCAAGCATCCAGGGTCACGTCACAGCCTTTCCTCTGGATACCCTGATCAGCTGTACGAACAAACCGGCAATAACAATGCCTGTTCCACGCCAGGTTTATCTGCTGCCATTGAGAGACGATGGCTCCCCAGACGTGCCCGGGGGTTATATCTACCTTCCTCCTCCCACCAGTCCTCCGTACTTTCTTCGCTTCGTGGTCGAGGGGAGCAGCTCGATCTGCAGGGAAGGAAGGTTGTGGGTGAATATCCCTGAGGATGGGAAGCCCTTCAATCGCTCGGTATTCCGGAGTTTTAGGTAACGCGATCCCTCTCTTTTCTGGCTTATTGGCTTTTCAGTTATTGACGCAGAGATAGGTTACATCCAGACTTCAATAAGAACATCCAGATCGATATTCCAATCACTTCTCCAGGATCTTTCGCGTTTTACACTGCCTACTCCCCGCTTCCGGACTTCTCCGTTGCTCCGGTTGAGACGTCCGAACCGGTCAAGACCCCAACACATTACATTGATGTTGCACCGAGACTAACTCTTGGTGGCCGTGACCTTCCTCTCAATGCTCTCTCAATATTCTCCGTGATCTCTAAGTTCATGGGTAGATACCCAACGGATTGGGAGAATCATTTGAATGGAATCAGCCAGCGCAACTACAATATGGTTCATTTTACGCCCTTGATGAAACGCGGAGCCTCGAATTCGCCCTACAGTATTTTTGATCAACTAGAGTTTGATGAGGCTCTATTCCCCAACGGGGAGGATGATGTAAATCAAATGGTTAAGAATATGGAAGAAAATCACGGGCTCCTGTCGCTAACGGATGTTGTATGGAACCACACTGCTAATAACAGCAAATGGCTTGAGGAGCACCCTGAGGCTGGTTATAGTGTCGAGACAGCACCATGGCTTGAGGCAGCATTGGAACTAGACACTGCTTTATTACAGTTCGGGGAAGACCTCCAAACTTTGGGTCTTCCAACGGAATTCAAGACTGCTGACGACCTGATTGTTGTGATGAACGTACTCCGTGAACAGGTCATAGGCGACTTGAGGCTATGGGAGTACTATGTGGTTAATGTTAAAGCGGACACTCGAAGGATCGTTGACAACTGGACCAAGTCTCCAGAGATCGATTTGGAAAGCGATCAATGGTCACGGTTTGCTCTCAAAGGCTTCAAAAACCTAAGGTTTAAAGAGCAGGCGAGCTTCATCCGTGAGCACGCGATACCAACGTCCAAAAGGATACTTGGAAGGTTTACTCGGGCAGTTGATGACCACCTCGGTGCGGCCATTTTAACTGCGCTGCTTGGTCCTGCAGGTTCCAACCATGATGAAGCAGAGAGTAGATTCACTCAATTGCTCGATGAGGTGAATCTGCCTTTTTACACAGAATACGATGCAGACGTATCCGAAATAATGGAACAAGTCTTCAATCGCATCAAATACCTGAGAATAGATGATCATGGTCCCAAGCTTGGTCCTGTTACTAAAGAGAGCCCACTTATTGAGACATATTTCACAAGACTGCCCGTCAACGAAATTACTAAGCAGCACAAGTCGACGGCACTTGCACTTGTGAATAATGGGTGGATATGGAATGCCGACGCGTTGCGGGATAACGCTGGACCGGACTCGAAAGCCTATTTGCGACGGGAAGTAATTGTGTGGGGTGATTGTGTGAAGCTAAGATATGGCAACTGCCCTGAGGACAGTCCATTTCTTTGGGAGTTCATGACTAAATACACTCGTTTGATGGCTAAGTATTTTTCGGGATTTCGGATTGACAATTGTCACTCAACGCCGTTGGGGATCGCAGAGTACCTGCTGGATGAGGCACGAAAAGTTCGACCCAATTTGACGGTTTTCGCTGAGCTCTTCACGGGCTCCGAAGAAGCTGATTATGTTTTTGTCAAGCGACTAGGCATCAACGCACTCATCCGGGAGGCCATGCAGGCCTGGAGCACTGGTGAACTAAGTCGTCTTGTACACCGCCATGGAGGACGCCCTATTGGCAGTTTTGACCTTGACTTGCCCACTGCAGGGAGCAGCCATGCTATAGCCTCTGCAGGCACTGATAATCAGGAAGAAGCTATCTCTCACATACGCCCGTGTCCTGTCCAAGCACTCTTCATGGATTGTACACACGATAACGAGATGCCGGCCCAAAAGCGAACAGCGGTAGATACATTACCTAATGCTGCATTAGTTTCGATGTGCGCCTCGGCTATTGGCAGCGTCATGGGCTATGATGAAGTATATCCAAAGTTGGTTGATCTCGTCCACGAGACACGGCTGTATTCCTCAGCGTTTTCAGGACCCTCGAAGGGGGAGCTGGGTTCTGACGGTGGCATCGGGAGTATCAAGAAGATCCTGAATGAGCTTCACACTATGATGGGAGCTGATGGATACGATGAGACACATATTCACCATGATGGAGAATATATAACTGTTCATAGAGTTCACCCAAAGACACGAAAGGGTATATTCTTGATTGCACATACTTCTTTCCCCGACCGGGATGGTCATCCCATCCTAGCACCAACTCATCTCACCGGGACACGAGTCAAACCACTTGGGGCATGGAGGTTGGAAGTTGAATCCGGGGAAAACGCCAGAGCAGAAGTCTTGGCCGATAAAGACTACTTACGGGGATTGCCTAGCGCAGTCCGAGAGACTAACGCAATTAAGGTAGAGGAACGCGGGGATGATACCATCATTTCTGTTTTAGAATCCTTCGTGGCGGGGTCAATTGCTCTCTTCGAAACGTCCATCCCGACAGCCGAGCATTCCACAGGGCTGGACCGTTACATTACTGAAGGTGCAGATCAGGCATTCTCAAAACTCAGTCTGGTTGACCTTAATTTTGTACTCTACCGCTGTGAAGCCGAAGAAAGGGATTCTAGTGACGGTCAGGATGGAGTATATGCTATACCCAATTATGGGCCGTTGGTTTATGCAGGTCTTCAGGGATGGTGGAGCGTTCTGGAGAACATCATTCGATACAACGAACTGGGACATCCGCTCTGTGATCATCTCCGGCAAGGCCAGTGGGCCCTTGATTATATCATAGACCGTTTGGAGAAGGTGGCACAAAAAGACGGATACAATGCTCTGAACGATCCGGCATCCTGGCTACGGGACAAATTCAATGCCGTTCGTGAGCTACCCAGCTTTCTCCTACCGCGGTATTTTGCCATTATTCTCCAAGTCGCGTACAACGCTGCCTGGAAGCAGGGCATCCGGCTTCTTGGAGGGAGTATACAGAAGGGACAAGAATTTGTTCATCAACTAGGCATGGTCAGCGTCCAACAAACTGGTTACGTAAAATCCGCATCCCTATGGCCTACGAAAAGAGTATCAAGCCTTGCGGCTGGTCTTCCCCATTTTGCTGTGGACTGGGCTAGATGTTGGGGTAGAGACGTTTTCATATCTCTTCGAGGCTTGCTTCTCTGTACTGGCCGGTTTGATGATGCCAAAGAGCATATTCTCGCATTTGCTAGCGTCCTCAAACATGGGATGATCCCTAATCTATTGAGCAGCGGAAAGCTTCCTCGTTACAATTCTCGAGATTCTGTATGGTTCTTTCTCCAGGCCATTCAAGATTACACCACAATGGTTCCAAATGGTATAGAGCTCCTCGGCGAGAAAGTTTCCAGGAGGTTCCTGCCGTACGATGATACATGGTTCCCCTTCGACGATCCTCGTGCGTATTCTCAGCATTCAACAATAACGGAGGTCATCCAGGAGGTTCTTCAACGACATGCCCAAGGACTGTCATTCCGAGAGTATAACGCTGGCCCTGAGCTCGATATGCAAATGAAGCCTGAGGGTTTTCAAATCGATGTCAATGTTGACTGGGAGACAGGTCTGCTATTTGGAGGTAGCCAATTCAATTGTGGGACCTGGCAAGACAAGATGGGGGAAAGTGAGAAAGCCGGGAACAAAGGATTTCCTGGCACACCTCGAGATGGCGCAGCCATTGAAATCACTGGGCTTCTCTACAGTGCTTTGACTTGGGTTGGAACTTTATATGAACGGGGACTTTACCCGCACGAAGGAGTAGATATTGGGGATGGCAAATCAGTCACGTTCGGAGATTGGGCTGCCAAAATTAAGAACAACTTCGAGCGTTGCTATTACATTCCCGTGAGTCCCAATGAAGACAGGCGATATGATGTTGATACAAAGGTTGTCAACCGCCGTGGTATCTACAAGGATTTATATAAATCCAGCAAGCCCTATGAAGACTACCAACTTCGGTCCAACTTTCCCATTGCTATGACAGTGTCGCCGGATCTCTTTGATCCCTCCAAGGCTCTAACAGCGCTTGCCCTTGCGGACACAGTTCTTCTTGGCCCCGTTGGTATGGCTACTCTCGACCCATCTGATCTCAACTATCGTCCCAACTATAACAACTCAGAGGACTCTACGGACTTTACCACTTCCAAGGGAAGAAACTATCATCAGGGGCCCGAATGGGTGTGGCAGCGAGGATACTTCCTTCGTGCCTTCTTGCACTTTGACCTAGCTCGCAGGACAACGCCAGAAGGACAGACAGAAACTTATCAGCAGGTCACTCGTCGCTTAGAAGGGTGCAAGCGAGCACTCAGAGAAAGCCCTTGGAAAGGCCTCACAGAGTTGACAAATAAAGCCGGTGCACACTGCTCTGACTCGGTATATTATCCCTTTCCCTTTCGAGTATAAGCATGACCCGGACTGCTAACGATGCATTCATTAATGACAGTCGCCCACGCAAGCATGGTCGGCGGGGTGCTTGTTAGATCTTTACTACGATGCTTCAAGATATGCCTCGAAAACAGCGTAGAAGCGAGGTTTTTCATTGAGCAATGGAATTATAGATGGGTATACACATATATACTAGTGCAAGGTGTTCGTTGAAGATATGACTTGCCGTAGAATTAATATATCTCTTTTTTCTTGTCTAATATCTTCATGGGTTTGTTATCATACTGTGTACAACTGCATGGTGCTTGCCCAAGGAAGCATAACTTCCGGCTTAGTCAGCCGTTTGCACAACTCATCTTTTTGACTTACCGTTTTTGGAATCGCCAAAGAGCTTATTGAAGTTTGAGCACAATTAAGTCCGCAGAATTTACCGCACACTTTTCTGAGGTATTAGACGGAAGCGTCTCTCAGTTGCGAAACTTACTAGGACAGATCTCATATAAAGAAGGTTATCTGGCCTGCGACGCGGTGTGTCCATCACGCGATAACCCACCCTGACGTCAGTTGTTTTGGCTTGCGCATCTTTACCGTGAAAGTGCCGAACGCTTCCCATATGCATTGACGAAAACTGTGTCGCCCAAGAGACATCACAACGGGACCTTACTCTTCAACACATGTCTGTGACAGAGTCTGCTGCGGCAGCCATAATAACGGCTGCAGTTAAAAATGACAAGTTTGGGGGCGGGCATGAGCCAACATGGGGCGACCAAGCAAAAGGGCAACGTGATCTCTATACCCAGCTCATCATTAGTTTAACATTGGGACTAAGTGCCTTCTTGTCTTTCTGTGTATGCCTCGCATCTCATGAGTTATACATGCAATGATTCCTAACGAAGCTATTTTGTGTAGGTCCTGCGACCGAAATGGACGGAGCTGTACGCCGCACGAAGACGACAACGTTGCGCAGCTTCGCACTTACCGGAGCTTCCTGATAGCTTTTTTGGATGGATACCAGTGCTCTACAGGATAACTGAAGAGGAAGTATTACACTCTGCTGGCTTAGATGCGTTCGTTGTAAGTTTCATTCCATTCCATGTACAAGTGAGACAAACAAGCACCAACACTAACGTCCGATGATGTAGTTATTGTCGTTTTTCAAGTTTGCGATCCGATTTTTGTCAGCCGTCTTCATGTTCGCCGTAGTTATCATACTTCCGATTCATTACAAGTATACCGGGAAAAGGGGGATCCCCGGCTGGGATGACAACAATGATAATGCTCTCGGTGGGAACAAGGACAAGATGCCCGTGACTGACCCAGACTATTTGTGGATGTACGTGGTATTCACATATATATTCAGCGGACTAGCGGTCTATATGCTACTTCAGGAGACGAACAAAATCATTCGTATCAGACAGAAGTATCTCGGCAGTCAGACTAGCACCACCGACCGGACTATCCGCCTTTCAGGTATCCCCCAGGACATGGCATCTGAAGAGAAGATTATTGAATTCGTGGAGGGCCTTCAGGTTGGAAAAGTTGAGAATGTCACTTTATGCCGGGATTGGCGCGAATTAGACCGCCTCGTCGACGAGCGATTGCAAATACTACGGAATCTTGAACGAGCGTGGACTAAGCACCTCGGATACAAACGACAGACCGAAGATGATAGCACGTTGCCGCTGACACATCATCAGCCGCGTGGTTCGAGCTTGTTCTCTGAGGATGACAGCGAGCGCATACAGCTTCTTTCAGAGAGTGGACGAGACCACATTGCGGACTATGCGCACCGACGTCCTACAATTCGCTTATGGTACGGACCGTTAAAGCTACGGTACAAGAACGTTGATGCGATAGACTATTATGAAGAAAAGTTGCGAAGGATTGATGAAGAGATCAGAGTGGCGCGCCTAAAGCAGTACCCCCCTACCGAACTAGCATTTGTGACCATGGAGTCCATCTTTGCATCCCAGATGGTGGTTCAAGCTATCCTCGATCCTCATCCTATGCAGTTGCTTGCCCGGTTGGCGCCGGCGCCGGCTGATGTCGTGTGGAAGAACACATACTTGCCGCGTTCACGACGAATGATGCAATCCTGGTCCATCACGGGAGCTATTGGCTTCTTAACCGTGTTCTGGTCCGTACTCCTCGTGCCTCTAGCGTATCTTCTCGAACTGGAGACGCTACACAAGGTGTTCCCACAACTAGCCGAGGCGCTGGCTCGCAACCCCATTGCGAAGTCCCTCGTCCAAACCGGTCTTCCAACTTTGGTTCTCTCGCTGATGACTGTTGCTGTCCCTTATCTATATAACTGTAAGCCAGGCCAACTGAAAACTAGTCATGGATAATGTGCTAACTTTTTGTCCAATTAGGGCTCTCAAACCTTCAGGGAATGACATCGCGTGGCGATGTTGAATTATCCGTCATTTCCAAAAACTTCTTCTTCTCTTTCTTCAACCTTTTTCTTGTTTTCACGGTCTTCGGAACGGCAACGACATTCTACGAACTGTTCAAGCATCTTCGCGATGCGTTTCAGGATGCCACAACCATTGCATTTGCGCTGGCCAACTCGCTTGAAAACTTTGCACCATTTTACATCAATCTTATAATTCTGCAAGGTGTGGGCATGTTTCCCTTCCGGCTGTTGGAGTTTGGAAGCGTTGCAATGTATCCCATCAATTTCTTCAAGGCGAAAACACCACGAGAGTATGCCGAACTATCTACGCCACCTACTTTCAGTTACGGGTATTCGATCCCACAGACAATCCTCATCTTAATCATATGCGTGGTTTATAGTGTTTTCCCGAGCTCTTGGTTAATCTGTCTGTTTGGACTGGTGTACTTTGCCATCGGGAACTTCATTTACAAGTACCAGCTCCTGTATGCGATGGACCATCAGCAGCATTCTACCGGGCGTGCATGGCCAATGATATGCAGTCGAGTTCTGGTAGGCTTGATGGTGTTTCAAGTCGCGATGATAGGCGTGTTTGCACTGCGCAAAGCTATCACACGTTCCTTGATCCTTGTGCCCCTCTTGGGTGCAACGGTGTGGTTCAGCTATTTCTTCTCTCGGAGTTATGAGCCACTGATGAAATTCATTGCTTTGAAGAGTATTGATCGTGAGGGCGGTGGAAATTCTTCCCCTTCACCGTCAACCTTTTCTTCTCCATCCGGCCTCGACCGTGACGCCCTACCAATCCAAATCGGTAGGCACGGAGTAGAAGTCAGGCTGAACAAGTATGTCAATCCCAGCCTCATTATGCCTCTCGATGGCGCCTGGCTTCCAGGCCGCAGCGTTGGCGAATGCCCTGGGTCTATATGAAATACATGAAACACCGGCCCATGCTTTGCGTGGTCCAGGGTATCCAATCAGTCTACAACCCCCGTCTCATCTCTTTCTTCCTGCGTCCCTTCCACTACTCGCTATTATTTGCTTTTCTTATTTTCATTCATCATAGATATTATACCCTTTGTTAATATCAATGCTTCCAATGCCCCCAGTATATTATGATATACGATGCCATGCCATGCCCACCTACTATTAATATCACCTATGTCTTGTTCTTGTTTTGCTTATACTTCCCTGCCTATTAACCCACCATATACGCCTGCATCTATTTAAATTTACCGCTCACAGGTCAATCACCAATACCTGATTATTACTGTTAGGAGTGAGAATGTATATTCAACAGTTGATGCATCTTTAGGTTTTTTTTTTTATTTTTTTTGTACAATGTCGGATAATGCTTATACATTCATTACGTACAGTTTTTCAATGTTGCACTTATTATTTTCTTTATATATAAATTAATTTAGATTGTGGAATTCTACATATCCCCTTCTTTATGCTGTAGATTACTAGTAGTTAAAAGACCGATTTACTGCATCCGCCGATGACGTTGTGTGGCGCCCCTCACGTTGATTGGCGCGTGGTTGCGATCGACTTTCTTGTTCTTATTCTATTCATGAGTTGAAGTAGAGCTACTTTGAAATAGAACCATGAGGAAGAAGATCGACTATTTCCTCACATTACGATTACTTCCGTGAATGCCAAGTGAGATATGCAACGGCTTCATCATCGTGCAGCCTTACACAAGAGATCAACAGTCGACAGCTCGAGAATTGTCGCCATTCTTATGAGACCCGCTTAAGATCTTCGCTTTGCTTCTCCGCCCCGGAATGCCGTCGATGTTCTAACTTCTGACTCGTTCACGGAGTCTGTTCATCTCCACTCGCTACAGCGCTCAGTCAGCGGCACCGCCGGCTTATCCTCGCAAGCTTCCATGGGCGATGGCAATCTTCATGAACCCAATCCATAATCACGCAGAAAGGTTCTGCTCCCTCGCCCCTCGCTATGGCTGACTGTTGCGGAGTTCTCATCACATTCGTCAACTATGTGGAGCTTCCGCAATATTTGGCCCACTCTTCGTCGCCGCTCTTGGTTGAGGAGGTTCAATGCCGGAGGATGCACCCTATATCGACGTCAAGACGGCTATTACGGGGGATATAAATTCCACCCCTGGAGTCTCAGGAGACGATAAAAAATGGAATAGAATCCTTATGGCTTTCCTTTAGGTGTCCTGAGTTGTCAACGGCTCTCTTCCATACATTCCTCGGTTTCCCGTTTTGTCCACAGCTATAAGACAATCCGGCATTTTCTCCTTACTCCTCTTGTATTAGTGCATTCATTGCCTACTTCGTGTGTAGCTCGTTTGGAAAGAATTGTACACCTATGGATTAGAAAAGAAGCGCTAGCCATAACGAAAACCTGGCATAGCTGGCCAACGGTGCAGGTCCGCAGTTGATAGCGCATGATCATCGGCGAGCAAACTTCAAAGGAGCAGCTCGGTCGCTGGTCACGGTGAAAGCCGACCTTAACTGATTTGATATAGTTTCCAAACCCTTGGCGCAGGGGTAGTCTTATTTTTCTACTTCTAAGTATCATTCGTCTTTACTTCCACTCAGACGCCAGTGGTGTTGGAACTATTTTCGTTCATTTAAACTGCACGCATCTATACATCCCGGCGAAAGTGCTTAGAGCTTCTTGCATTACAAGCCATCAAAGCATCGTTATTAGCTCTGTCAGAGATGGCCCCTCATTTGATGTCTGGGAATGGCTTCCACGGTGATGCTCGCGCCGTCGATAGAATTGCATCAGGCTCAATGAATGCTTCGCATATGGATTCGGTATTTTGCTCTGATTGGAGGCCAGAAAATAGTCTCAAACCCCAGAGTGTCTCACAGGGGCCTATATTTCCGCGAATCGTGACTAGAAGGTTGCTCGATTTTATCTCTCGTGAAACCCGTCACTCTTTACGCCTAACCTGCAGATCTTGGTCTCGAACCATTGACAAGGCAATGCCCGTTTCTCGCCCTGCCGCAAATATTGTACCGCCTGAAATTTTGCTGCAGATATTCTTCTTGCTGAGCCCTCGTGATTTTGATAATGCTCGACGGACGTGCTCTCAATGGATGAAAGTGAGCCTAAATGAGCGACTTCTGGAAAGCATGCTCAGACGAGCGGGCTGGTGGAATACCTGGCAGCGGGACTGCCAGATGCAACGTCGTTATTCAGAACACTACAAAGAGAGCACTATGTGGAAGATGAGCCGGCGTTTCGCCACAGAATGTATCCTATCCGGTCGAAAGGTGAACGTGGAGAAGGCCGGCTTCTTAACAACAGCGGTCGTTAACTTTATGAAACTATCCCCAGAGCACAATTCCACAGAGGCGTCATCATATTCGTTTTCCACGAATTTTAGCGGCCATCAGAATGGTACCGCAGCCGTATCCAAGTTCCATGTCAGTCACTGTGGCAATTATTTACTAGTAACTACGGGATGCAAAATCTACGTTTATCATCTGCTTAGCCGGAACCATGAGAACTCCCTCCCTTCATCTGCGAATAAAAATGCGGATGTTGCACCGATTACAAGCATTGCTTGTCCTGCTGAAGTGATGTCTGCTACGATTGATACTAGTACGCCCAGATTTGTAATTGCGGCGCTACTCCGTAACCGTTCAGGGTTGATGTGCGACTTAGTACCTTCTGGCGCTGCTCGACCTAATACCTTCGAATCCGCTGGTTTCACCTCTGATATATTGGATGGCTCTATACAACCCATGGAAATTACCTCCCTTTCTTACTATCAAGACATATGTTCTCCTGAAGACCTACCGCGCAGTGTGTCGGTCTGTCCCGGACGCCAATGCGTGGCATTCGGCTCTAGTTCTAGTATTGAGCTACGTTGGATTGACAAAAAGACGAAGCAAGAAAATAAAAAACGTCTTGCTATGTCGCAGCCATCGGAAATCCTGCACTTCCTGCCTCATCGATCCGAGACGCCTACAGAGCTGCGGCTCATCTCATCCCTTGCTGGTCCGGGATTACCAGGTTGTATATGCCACAATATACAGCCTAGTGAACTGCGTTCGGCTTGCTCTTTCCATCTTCTGGCCGATATCCAATCTTTCGCTCAATGGAGTTCCGGAGAAACTAGCAATCTCGGGTTAGTGAGGGCTACTCATTGCCACCACTACCGAGCTGTTCCTATCAACGATGGCCTACATTTCCTGTTCATCGAACCGCGCACTAGTCTGCTTTGTATAGGTTCCGATGCTCCTTTCGGTGGTCCTACCAGTCTGACGAGGGCTCTTATCTGTATCCCACCGTTTGGAAAAAGCCCGTTGGAAGCTGCAAAACAAGGATTAGCGCCTACTATCTTCGCAGCCGGTTCGGACTTGGATTGGGGTCTGCGAGTGGTAGCTACCTATCGGGACCGGATTGTCTTATACTCCGTTCCACTGGATGTCTTCAATGTGGTTCGAAGGGAACGTGAAAGACAAGGAGATAATGTCATGGGTGATAGTGATCTAGCACGAGACTGGTTTCTCGACAGCGAGAGGTCGCTAAAGGGTCGTGGAAGTCTCGCCCCGAACCAGAACGGTGACTGGGAATTCCTCCTTAGTGTGAGCTACAGGTCAACAGCTATGATGTGGCCATTCAAAATCTATGGAAAGGAAATTGGGCGGATGGACAACGTGGTCGAGTTGGCTCTGCAAACTGCCTATGGTAGCGCTCGAGTTTGGGCGTTCGGTGCATCGGGTGAAATGAACATCTTTGACGTAGACACCCTCACGTCTAGCGCCCAGCAAGCCGCCGATATCCCGTACAAGTCGTCGTGCATTGGAGCCGATGGCAGCGTCGCTTCAGTGGAGATGGTCACGAGAAGTGATACCAACTTGCCATCTTCATTATCGTCGCGCAAACGAAAGCATATCGAGACATTAGAAGATTTCGGTGGACAAAAGCCTACCACTTACCGACTTCACGATGCGATGCGTGAGGGGGATAATACATCTAGTTCCCAGAATATTCACCAGACTATCACCACCAATGCAGCCACCAAACGGCGGATATCTTTCGCTGCGCGCATTATCGACTTCAATATCCCAGAATCAGGCGACACATTGATAGAGAGCAAATATGCTTATTCTTAAAATAACTAGCACAAATGTGTCTGTTTCCTTTGGAAGGGATGTATATAGTCAGCTCGATACAATTTTGTGAAGACTGGTTTAATTTGCTTCTTGGACTCTATTTACACTTACTACTACACTGATAGACAGGAATGATAGCTATCAATATGCTATTTGCTACTATTAACATTTATACTACAGAACACAAATATGCTTAACCATAGAAAATATTGTTTTAAAATCTCCATATTTCGTCAAGTACATCTACAGAACCATGCTACTAGAAAAGCACACATCCAGGACTCTATACCCCCGGATGAAAACGCAGAGTACAGTAGCCTTCTAGGAAAGGTGGATGAAGCCGCCTGTTCCCCCCTTTTTTTTTAATTTTGGGTTAGGTTAAGTTTGGGGTGTTAGGGTGTACGTACAGAGGACAAACCAGAGAATGGTTAGGAGGTCAGATTTAAAGATTTGGGGGCGTTTGGTGAGGACTAGTTTATAAGTTATAGTTAGTAATATGGTGCAGGTGAGGGCGAAGATCAAGACTAGTTCGAGCGTTCCTTTGTCGTTGGGGATGTAGTTAAGGATCTCCGCTGTGGGAGGATAATAGGGGTGTGTGGCCATTGCTATGGCGTTGAGATATGTGGAGTTTTGTACATAGGGGAATTGTGCAAGGATGGAGTGGAGAGTATGGAGTATAAGGTGGTTGTTTTGGTTTCTAGGGTATCCCAGGAGTAATCTTGGGCACTTAGCATCCGGGATCGTCAGACTAATTATGCTTATTCTTGCGGGGCCGATGGAGTCGTGGTTGATTTACAGTGGAAGAGTGTTGGTTCAATGGTAAAATACATCCCCTGTATTGAAACCGAATCGTACTTTTATTCACAGAACGCTATCATGGCCCAACCCATTTTCCAACACCGGAAGATTATGGCTCAAAATATAAGCTTTGCTCGGACAATCAAGCAGTTGAAAAGATTAAGTCGAAAGTTTTAGTTTTTTTTTTTGCGTGGATCTAGTTGGCCAGTTTCTCCTTCCGAGTACGGACGGCCTGGGCGAGGTTCTCGAGCACAGCTTCCGTGTCCTCCCAGTGGATACAAGCATCGGTGATACTGACACCGTACTTGAGACCGGCCTTGCCCTCAGGCGGGACCTTCTGGTTACCTGTAAGACAACAATTAGCAATAGGATTCCAACACTCGTAAAGTAAATGGAAAGTATACCCTCATTGATGTTGCTCTCAATCATGACACCCATGATCGCGGTCTCACCCGCAGCGATCTGCTCCGCGAGCACAGCAGCCACCTTGGGCTGGTTCTTATGGTTCTTCTGCGAGTTACCATGGCTGCAGTCCACCATGAGACGGGGCTCCATGCCCTGCGCAGAAAGTTTGGCCTTGGCCTCAGCGATGCTCTGAGCATCGTAGTTGGGGCCCTTCTTTCCACCACGGAGGATGACGAAGCAGTCGGGGTTACCCACGGTGCCGACGATAGAGACAACACCGGGCTTCGTGACGGAGAGGAAGTGGTGGGGGTGCTTCACCGAGCCAATGGCATCCACTGCAACATCCAAAGATCCATCGGTGCCGTTCTTGAATCCAACGGGGAAGGAAAGACCAGAAGCCAGCTCACGGTGGACCTGGGACTCAGTTGTCCGCGCGCCAACCGCACCAACGGAGAGACAGTCAGCCAGGAACTGCGGGGAGATGGTGTCCAGCATCTCGCTAGCAATGGGCATGCCCTTGTTGGTCAGGTCGACGAAAAGTTGGCGAGAGGTACGCAGACCCTTGTTGATCTTGAAGCTGTTGTCGATATCGGGGTCGTTGATGAGACCCTTCCAGCCAACGGTGGTACGGGGCTTCTCCAGGTAGGCGCGCATGACAATCAAAAGCTCATCCTTGTATTTCTCCTTGAGTTTTAAGAGACGGTCACAGTATTCAAGGGCCATTTCGGGATCGTGAATCGAGCAGGGTCCCACTACGACCAGCAAACGGCGCTTGTCGGTGTCGGTACCATGAACAACTGCGCTAGCCTCTTGACGGGCTTGCAATACCGTCTGTCTGGAGGTCTCTGTCATCGCAATCTCATGTTGGAGAAGGTTGGGGGGTGTCAGAGGGTTGTATCCTCGAACTGCGTCCGTTTAGCGATCGACCATCCGCGAATTCATAATGCGTAATCAGGAGATTGACTTACTTCTCGAGTCCTCCAAATGATTGGTATCCCCTACATTAGGGTTTTCAATGAAGAACTGTGCAATGGATTGAGTAACTGTTCAGGCAATTGATATGATCGTGGCGGAGAATTGACTCACAGACATATTGGGCGGCGGGGGAGATTTGCAGAGATCAATTGATAAATGCTGCGAGGGGTAGAGGGGCAGGTATTAATATCTCGGAGCAATTGAGGACAAGTAAGAAGAGTCCGAAGCAATAAAACTCCGACCGGGGTATCTTAGAAGGGTATGACAACAAAAATAGGTGAGTTCAGATGGGTTAGAAAATATTTTTTTTTCCATAAAGGAGATCTTACGATCCTTCATTTTTTGCTTGGGTGACGAACTCCTATGTCGGCGCCCGTGACGAGTCATACCTGCCTCATCGGTCACTGTCTCGCACGTGAATCCGGTCGATCGGACCCTTGTGCATGCCTCAGGTTGGTAAACCCCATTGGCTGGATTGTCATTCGTTGTTGGGCTCCGCCCACATTAACTCTAATTCCGTAAACCCAGCGGACAATCAACGGGTGGAGCATCTATAGCATCGATCACCCGGAATTAAATCCGCAAGTCCTTCACTGTATACCTCATCTCATCGACATTATTACTTGCAAGAGAGTATATTAGAATGATACTTCTACCACTGAATCCATTCTAGACTTCTCTCAGACATCGCACAGTACGACCTATGTGGAATCCAGAGCTCTCATTTGTGTTCATAATCTTTGTTCAGGTAGCAATAAGGGCTAGCATGAATTGAGGTTATCAATGATCTACACCGTTCTCTTTCCAATATAATGATAAAATAGCCAATCTAGCGAGCAGTAACAAGGTCTTCGGAGTGTAATTGACATCCTGCAGACCATGAGAAGACAGCCAGCTTCAAGCGCTTTTGTGCTTTTTCCCTTTCCTTTCTTCTGAGCTTAGGAGTGAGTTTGCCCTCTTCCGAGCATACCGCTCGGTCTCTTCCAAGCGTTGAATTATCTCTTGACAGACGTTTGTATGGTGGTCTCTGATTACGTCCATCTGCTGCTTACATAGGTTTATTCGTTCTTCTTGTGCTTCGAAAAGTTGATCGAGCACGCCGTGGCACTGTCGGCGATATGTTTCCAAGACACCATTGACTGTTTGCTTCTCAGTCTCTAATTCGCGCATAAGACGCTTCACCTAATTAGCAAATGTGCTAGGTCTATTATCTATCATGTACAATTTGTCTCACCTTACGAGATTCAAGTAACATGCCCTGCGTATACCTTTGAAGTGTCTGTAGTGTTGTAACCCCTTTGGTCTGTTTGAAGTTTTTGCCATGAGTGCTTGATGTTATTGCTGTATTCTGGGAGGAATCGATAGAGGCCAGCTCTCCTTGCGACGGAGATTGGTATGGACCCTGGTCCGCAATATCGATTCGCCTGTGTTGCCTATGGAGGGCTGAGACTGCTCTAAAATGATCTCGGCGCACGCTTCTTGTCTGGCCTTCACAGCCCCTTGGTAAACTGGGTCCTTGTGCAAACGGATTTTCTATACGCACGCCAGAGCTCTGACCACACGCAGTGGGAACCAGCGTATCTCTAGCATCGGACACTTCAACGAAACTCTCTTCGATACCTCCATCATAGCCAGACTCATCATCAATGCTTCCAGCTGGACTTTGCTTTTCATCCTGTGTAAGCTGTCCAGATTGGCCTTTGCAATGTACCGTACCATCAGAAATCATAAGTTTATGCTCCGTATGCAAAACATGTCGTGGGCTTCCATTTGGATCGACAATGCTCTTTCTTGGCGTTGTCCTTTGATGCTCCGCGGTGTGCTCTTGCGCCTGTTGGCTATCGTGGCGCAGAAGAGATTTGGCGGAAACTGGGCCACCATGTTCTAATATAGCTGCTCTTATTACACAAGAGCTCTCAGGACCGGGATCGGGCTGGTCGCTTCCACTGCACGGCCTATTATTAGCCGCCTTACTAGTGCTAATTGAACTGCTGTGGTCAGATCGGATAATCGGGGTATCTCCGTGACATGGTTGAGCATGTCGGCCTTGTGTCGAGTTGGTAGGAGACATGGACCCATCTGCTGCTGTTTCTGTTTCCCATCGCCCGTCACCCAACAGCTCAGTAGCTACTGTTTCTATGCTAGCCGATATCATCTCGGTATCTCCTAAGACTCCCTGACAGTTGTTTTGCCTTGTTTCTCGTACTTCGTCCGGGCGTTTCTGGCCTATACAAAGGTCCAGTAACCTATCCGTATCTGAGCTTCGTGAGAGCGCATAGTCACCATCTTCGTCCTCAGAATTCCCTAATAGATACAGTTTATCAAATAGATCTTCTCGAGCAAGTTTTTCAATTGATGGGGCCGGTGATGCCGTTGTTTCAGGGTTGCTCTGACTCTTATGATCAGGAGGTGCATCGTTTTCCTGATTATGATATCGTTTACATTGTGATGATACCTCCTCTAGTTGGAAAGCTGCAGCGAGTTTTTCTCCAATACCTTGGCCTCTCCCTATATGCTTTGCCCCTAGCAACCGAGGTTTGGGGGGAGCTTTTGATGGCCCAGAAGCATTAGCATCTGTGACATAAGGGCGTGCATCATCCTCATGATCACCCCCGCTGCTAATGCTTTGTACTAGTGGCCTCCGGCGATTCCCGGTAAAGGAGCTTGCCTCGCCGAATTCATTTCCCCTGTTAAGTTCAGACTCGCCGCTCGGACGCAGGTCTTCATCCCAGTCGACAGCTGCCTTACGATGGGCGGCATATACCCTTCTATAGGCTCTCTGAGGATGGAAAATCAACGATTCCTGCGTATTAGACAACTGGGGCTTATTTCTTTTGTTAAGTGACAAGGTGCTTCGATTACGTCTGCTCATTAGTTGTCTATTTTGATTTGCAGTTGCAGCTGTTTCGTTGGAACGAAATTGCTGTGGCTCAGTAGACCTCTTGGCTTGCGAGATAGTATGAGCCCCACCATCCTGATCAGAGCCTTTTTCCGATGCCATTGAATTGTCGTATACTCTGTTAGGTTTATGCTCTTTGTTCTGGAAGAGACTGTCCAGTTGTGGATTATTCATGTCCTTGTCGGTAACATTTAACAAGCATCCATCACCTCCGCCAATAGGCTCATGTTCTCCATTTCCTTTCTGAGAGCCATCAGAACTGACAGTGTTTGATACCGTAGCTGCTAGGAAATGCGTGCCTGAAGCTGGTGACATACTTGGTGACATACTTGGTGGCAATGTATGCTTAACAGTATCTGCCTCCTTTCGGGCCCTCGCCTCAGAAAGGCGCTTAGACTTCCTTACTACCACCTCTGCCGTGTCCAGAGACACCACGGCCGATGAGGATCTTTGGGATTTAGATTTTATTGTTGAAGCGCTCATTTTGATCTCTCCGCCAGCCTTAATGAGTGCCTTACGCAGCTCGGGAAGGTCTTCTATGGACTGTAAGATATCCTGTGATTTCAATAACAGAGCACCTTCCTCCCCTGGTCCGAGCATTAGCTCTGCGAGTAATTTTCCAGTCTGTTGTGCTGTCAGTATCACTGGGATTGAGGTTATGAGCGAAACAGCCGGGCTCACCAGTCTCCTAAGCTCATCGTTCCGGTGTCCATCGATAAATATGCGATACAATACGTTCAATAAGCGTTCCTGTATCAAGCGCGAGTAATCTGTCGGTAATACAGCTGCCGATTCATCTTTGGCGCATGATCGAGGCCCATCCTATTTGGCAACCTGATATTAGGATTGTCGTGGTTTCTATAGTAGTGTGAATATGTGCAGACAAACCAGCAGAAGATAAAGCCCTCGCTCCTGGCCAGCCTGAGTTCCCGAATTGAGCAATAGATATGCCAGACATTGTAGTGATGTCGCATCTAATGATTGGATGATCTGGGAGGCATTCTTGTCCAGTGCTGAAAGAATATCGTTGACGTTGCTGGTCTTCAGAGGAGTTTCGTCACGTAACAAGCACTCAACCATATCACCCGACAAACTGCATGCTGTCAACCATGAAATAGAAAGATACACTTGGGCACTTGAAACTGACAGTGTTCCTACATCTCCTTCGGTTTTCGTAGCTGCACTTCTCAGTTGAGTGATCAAGTTTAGCTCTACCATATCACAGGGGTTTTGATCATCGCAATTTGTGCCTGAACGCGTTTCAGACATTTTGTGCTTATGAGCTGATAGCAGGTCATGAAAAGTCCTTCACTTAAAGGTGAGTTTCATGGAGAGCACTGGGGTAAGAGTGCGTAAATGAGTGTGCCATCACATGATCCTGCCAATCGATCAGGAAACAGAGTCTACAAACCTAACAACTTCGGGAAAGTCCAATGAGAGTTCCCCAGGGTATCAACCCTCACGCCAGGCCACATCCACTCATTGTTCATCTGTGAGATTCCCAAGGAAGGTCCAAAAGAGCTTGGCTTGTCGCAGGTATCATTATGAACTTGAAAGACATGAGTTTATACATCTTGACTTATATATCTTCCAAAGCTACTACAATATTAAAGAAGAATCAGACGCTGTCAAAAAGCCCATATCTTACCAAGAACGTCTTTCGCCCGAACTGCTATATAGTACTCCTCAATTTCTAGAGCGTCAATGTCTGACGAAACGTGACTGGTGTGCCCTGAAATTTATGGGCACAGTTATTGACCACAATCTTCATTGAAAGCTTTAAATGAGAGTAATAGGAAAGAAACATATAAAAAGAGAAGTGCTTGATGTACTGAATGATTATTCTTTCGTCCTAAATAGGTTAAAAGTGCCAGGCCCCTATGCCAAGAGCCTTCGCAAGCGTCAGGTGCAACACACCTTAAGCCAAAAAGCCCGAGATTTTGACATAGTAGCGCAGATGGCACCATCGCAGCTTATTGGAAGTTGCATACTATTTAAGCTGTCGTCTATTCAGTTCGACATCCTTTACTTACGGACTGTTCGCAACTGCTATCCATACTAATTCTTTCAAAGAACAGTTTAACAAGGCATGAGCTTGATTACCAACATATTCTGTCTGGTATTGTAATCAAGCACGGTCCTTGAAAGATCCGATCCGGGTCGGCAATCGTTCGCTCCGCGTCCCGACTCTAAAATCCATCTATGGAAACAAAACAGGCGATTAAGTGTTTACGTGGAAGGAGAAGCAGGATGGTCAGACGGCATGATGATTGGTCTGCTTATACTCCGACACGAGGTTGACTAACCCATAAATTCTAGCGGACACGCTGTGCAGCTGAGGTTTCCTATAGTTATCTCAATTTCTCTATTCAACCGATTATTAACAGGTTATCTTGAAATGGGTGTATCATATCCTGAAAATCAACTCAAGGAAGACGATTCTGATGTCGTCCTTTCATCCGCCCCACCAACACGTGGAATGTTCGAGCGGTTATGGGAGTTGATTCCTGGGGGCCGCAGCAAGAATACAACATCCGAAGCGACGAGTTGTGACCTCCCCGAGACAACGTCAAACAGACGGCGAGCATCAGTCGCGGAGCATTCCCTCGAGAGAGACGAACACCTTTCCGAACACCTGCCTAAAGTTTCCAGCCGACGCGATGACCAAAGCGGACCATATTCTTCGCAGGAAACCGTCCTATACCTAGCCTACGGCTCAAACTTGGCTTCGAAGACGTTCTTGGGAATGCGAGGCATTAAACCCCTCTCTCAAATCAACGTCATTGTTCCTGAATTACGATTAACCTTCGATCTTCCTGGACTGCCGTACCTCGAGCCTTGCTTCGCAGCGAGTCAATTCCGTGACGCCTCATGCAAGGGAACGGATACAGACCATATGACTGATAGTGAATTGGAAGGAGATTTGACATCAGAAAAGGCAGTGCTCATCTCACAACCAAAGCACAATTATCTACCCGACGATCCTCTCCTCGGTGTCGTGTACGAGGTCACTCTTACCGATTACGCTCGCATTATAGCGACAGAAGGAGGCGGGAATGGATACAAGGACATTGTTATCGACTGCTATCCATTCGCCGAATCTTACGACCCAACCCAGCCCATTCCTGACTGTCCAGAATCAAAATCTTTCAAGGCACATACCCTTCTCGCTCCTGTCACGAACCTAGACGAGGTATCTCGGCGCGCTTATGCGCAGCGAACACACTCCTTCGTCCGGCGATCTGGGCCCGCTGTACGGAAGCCTGGCTACTCCCAGCCATCCGCTCGCTACCTCAATTTGATCCTCACAGGGGCAGCCGAGCATAATCTCCCTATCTCTTATCGGGCGCATCTCTCTCGGGTACCAACATATCGTATCACAACCGTTCGTCAAAAGATAGGCAAGTTGATATTTCTAGTAACGTGGGGTCCACTTATGCTTCTGATGCTCAGACTCTCAAGGATACTTGCTGGTCCGGATGGTCGCAGTCCGCAATGGTTGATGAAGCTGTCGAATATCATAATAACCGCAATGTGGGGTTCTTACGAAATCATATTTCGTCCGCTTTTTGGAGATGGTGAACGAACTATAGAGTAGGAAAGATGGTTTAGTTTTCAATTTATATATATAATCAAGACCAATCCAAGAGCTGAATACATTAGATTTTTAAGTACAATTCCCGACCTCCTTTGTTTCGTAAATGCCTTAGAACTGTTCGACTATCGTTGAAATGCAATAATGGAAACTGCCGAGGCGATGCCAGCATCGGCAGATTGCCTCGCTCTAGGCAAAGAGTCTACCCGCGTAATGAAGAATGTTCATATATGAAAGTAGACAAAGGAAATAGTGACATTGGGTCTTCAAACAAGATTTTCAAAGGAGAAAAATATCTAGGGTACAGATACAGGTGTCCTGAATAACATCTAACAAAACAAGCAGAGGCCAGACCATACATAAAGCGACTGATGAAGGGACGGCGACGTGACCAAACCTAATAAGGTTGAGGTCGATTATTCGAGGTTCTCTGGCCGTCGATCCCTCACTTTTTGCAATTCATATAGTCCGTTGTATCATTCAGCGCCGGGAGACAGGGGGGCTGTACACAATCTTCCTTGTCTTGATCGGAGACCACTTGTAACGCTTAACCCAGACGCTGACAGCGAAGAGACCGGTAAGGAGGGCAATGGCCTTGACACCCATCTTCTTACGGTCGTCCATCTCAGGCTCGGCAGCCCAGTTGAGGAACTCAACAACGTCCTTAGCCATCTGGGAGGTGGTGGCAGGAGTGCCGTCCTCATACTCAACAACACCATCGAAGAGGACACGACCCATGGCAATAGCTACAACGGAATTAGACTAATCAAAGATTATAGGGAATTTGACAAAACATACCGGTTCCAGGGAAGTAGGGGTTGAAGTTCATGCCCTCCTGGACAGTGGCACCAGCTGGGGGCTCGTCAGGGTAACCAGTCAACAGACTGAAAATGTAGTTGCAGCCACCGTGACGGCCCTTGACGATCAAGCTAAGGTCAGGGGGCAGAGCACCACCGTTGGCAGCACGGGCAGCCTCCTCGTTCTTGTAGGGAGCAGGGATGTAGTCCGACAGCTTTCCGGGACGCTTCTCGATCTCACCCTGGTCGTTGGGCTCGGTGTCGTATTCGTTCTCCTCAGCCATGGCCTTCATCTCATCGACGGTGTGCATGACACCAACGAACGAACGCCAGGGAACACGAGTCAAGGAGTGGCAGGAAGCGCAGACTTCACGGTAGACCTGGAAACCACGACGGAGACTGAGAGAGAATATGTAAGCAAGAACTTCCTTTTGTTTAAAAAGGAGGGTCGATCCAGTTCTAGGAGTACTCACGCCGCATGGTCGAAGGTCTTGTTCCACTTGGCGTGTTCCCAAGGGTAGTTGGTAGGGTGCAACCTTTAATTCAGATGTGTCAGCCATATACAGTCTCGGCTGCTAAGATGACGATTCGGTCGGAGCAACGGAGAGGACAAATGGGTGTTCAAGCCCGACCAATATCATAACCAATCCACTCACCCTTCCTCAGCAGGGGTCGATGCAAAAGCTTCCTGTCCATAGAGATAGGCGGCGGATCCGACGGCGACGGCGGTTGCGACGGACGCAGTGACTGTGAGGTGGAAGGGGGAGCTGGCGGATTCGGCACCTGCGGCGGAAGAAGACGCACGCTGGACAATTCATTAGCGGTGAGCCCTTGCAAAATCCTCCAGGGCAAATTCCAAAGCAATTGCCCTCGTATCTTGAGCCCAATGGACGTCAGATATCGGAGAAGTGCGTACCGTGGATGCTCTGTTCAAGGACTGCCGTGCGATACCCCGGAAGGGCACGCTGCGCGAGACAGTACGTGCCAGCATACTGATTATATCAAGAACCCTCTGATCAACGGATAATCAGGAAGGCACAATAGCCAGGAAGAAGGAGAGGGGAGGGGGAGGGGGTCGTGGTGCGCACTGGAGAATGTGCTTTTGGAGGTGAAGTTGAGGTTGTCGGACGGTCAAGTTTCTCTTGGGTTTGGAATTGGCTAAACCCTCCCGTTGATTGGCTGGCACCACGGCTCTAACTGCCTTCGGTGAAAACCGCGACTTTTCGGAACAACAAAATTCGATCCATAAATCAGCAGCCACATGATGACAGCCAAACAAACCCGACAACTACAATGATGCCATTAACTGTTCGGAATTCGTTCTCTCTTTCTAGTACTACATACCTGAAAATCTTACTGACCCATGCCCTACGCCAATTGCTCATATGAGAATCTCACACTCCCGTCCGCTCCCACGTCCTCTTCTGTGTGTTCTTGCCCTTCATTGTGCTTCCGCCTTGGCTTGAATTTCCGACATAATCCCCATACGCAAAGCATGGACGGCCTCCCGAGTATTACATCGGGCACTCTTACCATACAACACTAAAGACAAAGCGGGTAGTCGTCGAACAGTCCGCCCACTGAGGTTCTTATGAGAGCGTTAGAAGTGATTTTCTGTATCGTATCCAGTAATTATTGTGCAAAAAGGAAATGGAAAAGGAAAAAGGAAAAAAGAGCATTACTCACCATGCTCTCCAATGCTGCGTCACCAAGCTGTTTGGGAACAGCGTCCGGAAACATCTGATAATTGAGGATCATCTCATCAAAAGTGGGCAGCAGTAGAGTTTCCGTAGCTTGCTCCACATACTGCAGTGCAGTCTGGGGATTCTCGGGATTCACTTGAACGATATCAAATGAGGTTCCTTCAATGATCCCACACCGACTCAACTCTTCCAGGCATTCTTTGTATATTCCGTATATAGCTCTGTTTGATAGGTACGGAATGAACTGCTTGATATCGACCCGATCGAGGAAAGCTTGGTCCTGCGCAATTGCGATGCATATCAGCTTCTCGGATCCAGAACGTACGTGCATTGTTGATTGATCTGACGGAATACTTACCAGAGCTGTGACCAAGTTGCTCGTACAGATTACAACAACATTGGCATGGGTTTTCAATCTATCCAAGCCTGTGAGAAGTGCATTAACTGCACGTACAGCGTCGAATGGCTCATTCCCGCCCAGCGCGCGTTCTCTTCGAGCTGCAAGTGTTTCTATCTCGTCGATGACTACGGCGACAAAGGTATCCTCTTCCTCTTCAAGCAACGACTCAATATTCTCAAAGGTCTTGCTTACCAGCTTCCCGCTTTCACCAAAGAACTTGCTGCCAAGTGAGTGAGCGTTTATTTCAACCAGCTTACTCTGGGGATAATGTTTTCCAATGCGTATTGCAAGTTTCTGCGAGAGGCCACGACTAAACTATCTTAGCTTCGAATAACCCGGGACTGCTTTGATTAGCGCACCATAGGCTTGTTTTTCCTGTTCCCGGCGGTCCCCACAAAAGAATCAATCTATTCCAGTTGATCGTCCATCTGTTGAGTTTTCGAGAAGCGTATGATACTGAAAGGGATAGTTAGCCATGGTTACTATGCCACTAGCACTGTCAAAAGTGCCTACCCATCCTGGTGATTGCACAAAGCAACATAGACTTAAGCGGCTGGTCAAACTGCAATCTATGACACGTTTGGGTTAATATCATGCAGATATCAAGTCATCGAATTTATCATACGACTCCCATAGCCCATCCAGCTCTCTGCTTGGTAAGTTCAGTATCCTTGCTTTTGAATCTTCGTCCTTGCCGTCTATGGATTCCTCCAAAAGTTGGGTGTGTTGAGAGCTTTCTTGCTCGAATGGTGCACGAAGCTGATACGCCTGGACATCAAGTTCAACCTGTTGGACTCTATATGCTCCGGACCCTATGTCTTGCCCCGAGCACTCGGTGACGACCACAGAGTCTATGACTTGAGAATGCGAGTCGCTCAGGCCTTCTAATATATTATTAGTAACTGTGTGTAAGTTTTCGTCTTGAGGAGGCACTCGTACCAAAGGAGGATATTTCCTGACCGAGGTTGAGAACGACGAAATTGGCAACTAGCCATTTTGTGACCTCTTCCCTAATCTGCCAATTTAAGCCTTGCAACCCCCCAAAGGACTATGGTAGGTACAACCAAGGGCAATGTACCATGTCAGTGCGAATGATGATGCCATCTCCGTTGTTTTTGACACGCACTTCGACATGTAGGATTGGCAGCTGAAAGACTTCCATGGTGTATAGGAAACAGCGAGCAAAGATTATGTTGCGTGGGAGTTACCGTAAGGCAGGATTAAACCAGGGGAGTGGGAGTGTGCATTAGGGTAATATGGAGAAGAAACATCGTTGGCTTTGATCAACTGTAATCATGGAGATTGTAGCTCAGTAGGCCTTTTCGCGTGACATACACAGTATACCAGCATCCCACCGCCCAGATCTATCTCTATATGACCCAGCAAATTGGTACTAGAACTTTAAGTTCATTCAATATCACTAAGGACTAAGTTGACCTACTGAGGTTTCCGTAATATTGCTTAGAGAGCATACAGTATGTATGCACAATCTTATCCAAACTCTCACATGCCATTGATAAAGCAGCGAGCAGTACTCCGTAGCCGCCGAAGCAGATGGATAAAATTAAAAAAAAAGCCTGCCACCTTCCAAGGTTACTGCCATGCTATTTTCATTCCGGAAAGCCTGACACTTTTTCTGAAATTGCCGCACCAAGGTTCATTATACGAAGAGAGATGCAAAGTCACCGTGGCAAAGTTATCTACTAAGTAGAGATGAATACTCCTCGTTGCTAATTAAGTGCCGTTCTCATCTGTCATCATCACAATACCATGCATTGAATTTTACCTTCTTTAAGGAACTGACCTTCAATCATTGTTCATATTTAAGCATACGAACCGGAACTGATGTTTCCAGTTGTTATATAGATCAACAATTTCTGATATTTCTTGTTTTGACCCCTCGATCACGTGTGAGTTGGTCCCTTATGGCTGGCACACCGGAAAGGGAAAGCCTCCGGCCGATCCATTGGAAACTCTGGGGTCCATTTTAAGTGCCACCATAGTCATGGCTGTGCAAGTCATCAATGGTCCGTACATTGGGCCTGGACGCATTTTTTTCACGATGAGTCATTTTAGCTATAAACATATACACTAGTTGTTGTTATTCAGAACAATAGTATCAGTTCAAACCCCAATCGTGTGCATTGCCCCGCGGAGCCAACTAGTCGGTGGGAACTGCTTTGGCCGTCCGAGCTTTCGGCAATACCCATTCGATCGAGAACCCAAGGATCTTTCCTTTCCTCCGATGCATAACTATAGAAGCCAAGATGCCACCGAAAGTGAGCAATGGGACAGGAGTCGGTGGGAAACCACGCAGGGACGTGCTGGCTTCGGTCAGAATGGCCTCCATGGACGAAGTCTCCAGGGCTGCTCTCCCAGCTGGTATGCTCGACCTTGGCCGAAGGAAAAGCGATATCCAGTATAGCTAACGAATGGCAGAGATTATGTCCTCAGTCCTAGATTACCTTTCCCCAGTCGACCTGATTCGAGTAGCACGATCGTCAAAACTTTTGCGCGAGATCGCTTACGATGACACAAGATGGGTACAGTGGCTGAAACGCATGGGCTGCTGGAACGAGCTAGAAGCTAGGAAACATGTTGAAGAAACATTTGGGACCATTGCGGATGTTGAGAGTGTTAGACAAAAAGAAGCCGCCGAGCAATCTCAGCGATCATCTCTCGTGGGCGCAGACACAGAAAATAAACCTCAAATAAGTCTCAAATCACTGTCCGATGGTTTCGATCAAATAACGCTGTCTACACCTGCTACCACCGGAAATGTGAATGAACTGGAAGACGATCCAGTCTTGGGGGCGTTACAGCAGGTTAAATCAGTGCGCGGGGAAGCTCGCAATGAGTACGGCAAAGTTCATGCTGCTCTTGCGCCTTTTTACAACGATATCACCACTGCAGGAGCCTCTCCAGATAATTTGTTGTTTAAGAAATATACCAACCCACAACACCAAGCTCAGATTCTATTCCAATTGCAAGCTTTCGCCAAATGTGACTTGACGGAGGGCTGGCGTGAGAGGTTGTCATACCTGCAGGAAGCTATCTCAATGTTTGAAACAGCCGCTATCAAGGAATTCAGACACGGTTACGAAACCGAAGATATCGACAATAGAATGCGGCAGTATGCCCACGTACTCTACAAGTTGAACGGTGGGGCTGCAGCTGTCGAGCTCTTCATCCACCATAACCATCTTGTCACACGAAGGTCGGATTACGGTAAGCCAGGGGACTGCATCGATGCATCATCTCAACGCGTGAAGCTTGACCAGACGCAGGCATTCTTTACCCGTCTGAGTGTTGCTTACAATGAAGAAGTCGCAATCATCAATCGCGCCTTTCCCCCGTCGTTGAAGGTTGCATTGCCGTTCATTGCGAAGGTCGGCCAAGATGTGCTGTACCCTTTTTTGACCGCGATCTTCGATGAATTGCACCGCATCAACATAGAATCTTACTTAACCGCAGTTTCGAGCACATTCGCCCAATGCATGAATCTCTCTGATACCCTGTTACCAATTCAAAGTTCAGCTGTTAATTTCGAGGAGTTTTTGGATCATGTCATTGCTAAAGTATATGAGCCGCATATGGACTTATACCTTGCGGAGGAATTGGACCATTTTCGGAAATGCTCTGAAGCCGCAGTGGATGAGTGGGATAGACAGCTTTCTGAACAGGCTGCCTCGACGGAGTCATTTCTCATGTCCAATATAAATAGACAAGCCGATAAGAAGGATTTCCTAACTTCCTTCAAGAAGGTCATCATGGCCCCTGTCAATCTTCTTCCGAGCTTTTCAGGGACCAAGGCAAATGAGTCAAAGTCGGACGAGGAGTCTTCTGCTGGCGACGCTTCGACTTTGAAGGGCCAGAACCGATTTTCGACCATTTCCATGCCTGCCACTCCTGTAGCCGAAGCCCCTACAACTGAACTTGCAGCCAAGGCCGCTATCATGAAATCAAAAATGGAAGGTATCCGTTCCCTTTTCAGCATCGAAGTCGCCTTGAGTCTAGTCCATGCTGCAAAGTCGGGCCTGGAGAGAGCTGCTCAATTTGTTCGGATCGGAGGGGACACCGGTGCCCTTGCGAAGCAGCAATGTGAGGCGATATTTGTTACCCTGGTACGCATTCTAGGGCATCGCCATCTTATCCTCGGCTTTGACAAAGCAGTCGACCATCTATCTAACTACCGACCTCGCGAACAAGGAGAGCGCGATCAATCGGGTGTTGAACCCTTAGTGACCTTTTTGGAGCTCGTGAATGTTGGCGATCTCATTCTCCAGATGATCGATGTCTTTTATGAACAAGAACTCATTGGCAAGAAGCTGACTGATCGTAATGACTTTGTTGATCCCGCTGTAAAAGAGAAGAAGAAATTTGAACAGAATCTCGATGAAAGAGTTGCTGCAGGGCTCAACAAAGGAATTGATGTTCTTATGGAAGAGGTAGACTACATTCTGGCAACACGACAATTAGCGACAGACTTCAACCCGAGTGTGTCCACAGACCCATACCGGCAGACTATGGATGTAAGCGTGTCTGAAGCGGCAGTTGCGGTGGTTGATGTGGTTTCCTCGCATACCCAAATGCTCGTTGGGAGTACGGATAAGAGCACACTTGACGTGTTCAACCAAGAGGTGGGGCTGCGCCTTTTTACTGCCCTGTGCAAGCATCTGAAACGTCAAAGAATCAGCGTTGAGGGATCCTTGAAGCTCATCAGGTAAGGTTTCTTTTCTTAGGTCTTAATGGCATTGCCTCGCTGACATAGCCTAGTGATATGAACCACTACTTCAAATTTATTCAGAGATTCAAAAACAATGAGCTTCTTGTCTACTTCAAAGCTTTCCGTGAACTCTCTCAGATCTATCTTATCGACCCTTCGGACGCCAAGGAGCTCGCTACTATCATTGCAGATTCGGACCGGTTTCAAGGAATCTGGACGGTTGAAGATGTGTGCGAATTCGCCGAACGACGAGCAGATTGGTATCAGGTGAAACGAGACGTGGAACGAGCCATGTATGGGATCGGATGCAATCTTATGTGATGAACGGGACTTTCAAATATACCCACGGCATTACGACATGTAGATTTAAAGGAGAATACCCCCATTTACGCGTTGCATATATACATATATACATCATTGGGCAGCTGGATATGTTACTATAAGGCTCCGGAACGCCCGGAAACTACGATTTGAACGACACTGTCAATGATATGGCCAATATAATTTTCTCCTAGACCTAGACTCGAGTTATTTTCTACCTGGAAATATGTTCACTTTTTCTCCTCGTAAATATTGGCGCCTGAAAAAAGCCTGACGTCAGTGAGCGGCTGTGGAAGCAGTTTATTTGGTGACCAAACAAAACACCCCTCAGCCACTCGTTTCTCGAGTCTCCATCTTACCTGCAGCAACTTTTTGCCTATAAAAAGACTAGATTGCAGGGAATATGTGTCACCTCATCGTGGCCTTACCTAAGGTTATTTTTGGTGTTGGTCCAAATTTCCATAATTGAATGAAGTGCAGAGTATTAACCCCAAACTACGAATAAAGCACGTACCCATCTAACTCATCCGATCACAGGCTCGGATCTACTGGTCTTTTCAAAACTGCAAATAAACCTGATCAATCATTTGCCCGCCATAATTGACCTGTCCAGTAGCTCCGTAATTGAGCCATGCCATAGTATATGATCAGCCATACTAGCACTACACCCCGCAACCATCAAATACCTAAAAAAAAGTCGAACAACCAACTCCCCTAAGAACAGGCATACTATAGAATCACAGGATGTTTATCATCCCATCTTACAGGTACAACAATCCCATGGGATGCATAACAGCATGTCTGCAACTCATCCTCATCCTCATCCTCGCCAACCCGGCAAACACCCAACAAACAATCCGGACAACAATCATGGTGACAGCAACGCCAACATCACCACATCCACCCTCTTACACATCGCCTGAAGTATTCAAAGACACAATTCTCTCATCGAGCAATACCTACCGGAAAGAGCACAACGCAAGCGATCTCGTCTGGAACGAGACCTTGACTCGGTATGCGAAAGATTGGGCCGAGGGCTGTAGATGGAAACATTCCGTACGTTCTACTCTCTTTCCTTTATTTATTCACTTATCCATTCCGTGTTATTTATTTGGTCGGGGGTGATACGAAGGAATGGAACTAGTTGAAGGGGTTGGTTGTACTTATGCAAAATGTATATATATATAGCACGGCGCATACGGCGAGAATCTCGCCTTCGGATACCAGAATGCCTCGGCTGCGGTCTTCGCGTGGGGCGACGAACGACGTATGTACGATTTTAAGAAACCGACTGGGTTCAGCGAGGAGACGGGCCATTTTACTCAGTTGGTTTGGAGGACTACGACGGATGTTGGATGCGCGGCTATTGACTGCGGGTACGGCAACGGGACTGATGATAATGAGAAGCGCGGGGGTACGGGGTCCTATACGAGGGCTCAAGGGTGGTATGTTGTTTGTGAGTATTCGCCGCCTGGGAATGTGATGGGGGCTAGTAGGGCCGCTGGTGGTGAGAATGGGCTCTTTAGGGTGAATGTGCAGCCGGCGAGTACGTATTCTGGACCGTATCCGACGGACTCTGGAAGCCCTCCTGCTAGCACAAATGGGGCGAGTGGTGCGGATCGAATGATTGTGACTTGTGGGTCGATTTGGGGCTGGGTTGGGGTATTGATTTTGATGGTGATGGGTTAGGTGATAATATTTTTGTACAGTCAATGATTGATATAGAAGAATTGTTTCTTTGCAAACACCAACTGATGAAAATTTATACAAGAACATCTTACTTCGTTAGCCTTGCATATGCCGGCCTATTGTGGTCATCTCTCATGCTACCAATGTTGCGCACATGACACTCCAGTTGGGAGATACGCAATACACATCTATTCACTTTTTGAAGTTCCAAACGTCCTTGGGCTGGAACAAAGCCAAACGGATCACAGAAACAAGCTCACAGGAGAGGAAGCGGGTGGCGCTTCGAAGAAGAGGGTGAGGATATCGACAGGCAAGATGTAGAAATGAGGAAAATATAATAGAAAGTGACATTAGATACGAAAGACATGACCCAATCAACCGATAACTTCCTCGTTCTCCTCGACAATCTCTTCCACAATCTCTTCGACAACGGCCTCGCCCTGGTCCTCGGAGACCGGGGGAGCATCCTTGGCAGTCTTGGGATCGTCTGCATTTTCGGGGATACCATAGGCATCCTTCTCCTCGGCCATGAGCTCCTTCTCCCGGCGGATCCAGGCAACCCACTCGCTGAGAACACGCTTGCGCTTCTCGACAACGGCGGTGTTGGCAATGTCGACAGCATACTTGTCTTCCTCATCGAACTCCTTGGAGTACTCGCGGAGGTTCTTGCGTACTTGTTTCTGCTCCTCCTTGCTAAGAAGAGTGGGTGGGCGAGGACGCCAGACGAACTGCTTGAATTTATCGGTAGGGTGCTCAGCGAGGGTCTGACCAGCGAAAGTGTGAATGTTCCAGCCGTTTTCCATCTAGCAAGGAGATGTTAGTAACAAATTCTTAGTCAAACTTGGCATGATGTAATGGCCTTACCGAGTGAGTCCACACACTAGCACTGCTAACAACATAACGGCCTGTAGGATCCCAGTCGATATCTGTGACACCGTAGTGCTCCACGGTCTTCATCAATTGGAGGTTGGCGGCCAGATCCTTCTCGCCCTCAGCCTTCTCACCCTCAAAGTCCATATCCCAGAAGTCCAAATCGAAGTTCGATTGAGAGTGAACGGTGGCGACGACGACGAAACGGCCCTTGGGGGACCAGTAGATGGCGTTGCTCGTCTTCTTCTCGATGGTGCGCACAAGCTTGAAGTTACCAGCCTGAGGGCCCTTCTTTTCAGGAGCGAAGAAAGACACAGCGGTCTTGGGGAGAACAGCAGCACCGCTGGGGGTCTCGCCCGTGGTGATCAGGACAAAACGTCCACCGTTGGGTTCCCATGCAAAGTTGATCACGGTATCTTTGAGACTGTCCACAACTTCAACAGGAACACCCTTCTCGCGCACCCGGAAAATCTCAAGGTTGGTAGCCATTGATTTCTTGGACTTAGAGTGGCGATCCACCTTGACACAGACGTAGGTACCTTGAGACTGCCAGTGCAGCTTCACATCAGAGACGTTGAACAGGTTACGGGTTCGTACAATCTCCTTAGATGGGACGCTCATCAAGGCGACTCTTGCGGGGTTGCTGCCAATTTCAGGAGTCCAGAATGAGAGAAGTTGTTCGTATTGCTTGACACCCTCACGGCTGACTGTTGCTGGCGACCATTCGAAGTCCATGACACCATCAATTTTAACAGAGGTCTTACCCAGCAAGTTCATCCGAGGCAACTCGTAGATAGAGATAGACTGGCCCTGGAGCATTCTTGCGACGTACTTCTCATCAGCGGACCACTTGAAAGCGGGCCACTGCACCTTCTTCTTCGGGGCAGCATCGCCTTCAGCAGGGCCGGCGGCGAGATCATGAGAAACGAAGGAACGCAGAGGCTTTCCAGAGACGATGTCCCAAACGATAATGTTCTTTCCATCCTCTTCGAAAGACAAGACAGGGTGACCCTCTTCAACCTGAATGGGGCGAGAAGACCAGGTGGTCAAGTAGCTCTCACCTGGCGAGAACTCGACGAGCTGAACAAATGGATGGGGGAACTGCTTCTGTTTCGAGAAAGCAGGACCGCCCCAGAGCTGCACACCCTGGGGGTGGACGGATGCAAGATATGTACCCTTGGGAGACCACTGAACGAAGAGTTGTGTCCAATGAGCACGATCGACGACGTTCTCTGGCGGGTTGTTCTTGTTGTTCCAGAACACGCCAACCTTGTCATTACGGTAGAGGGCGAACTGGTCACGGGCGTTGGGGTCGGACAGCCATGAGCGGAGGTGCTCCTTCTCCTTGAAAGGTTCGACAGTTGGGGGCTTATATTCCTCATCGATGCGTCCTTCACGACCATAGCGATCAATATCCATCAACTTGTTCACGGCAAGGGTGTGCTTCTTGTCGAGAGGTGTTCCGTGCAGCTGCTTGACTGCGGCAATGGCTTGTTCGGGGGTTTCATATTCAACGAAGGCGAAACTGCACAAAACGAAAAATTAAACCTTTCCTTCGTTCATTTCCAGTATTTCCCCGGTACGTACCCTTCGGACATGTTCTTGTCGTTGGTGGGCATGAAAACGGCATCTTCGGAGGTGTGGCCGACCGCGTTGAGTTTCCTCAGCAAGAACTTGATAAGCTTCTGCCTGCTCTCTTCCGGCACGATCGGAAGTCCATCGATGACGATAAATGTATCCAAACCCTCCTCGAGCTTCACTTCAAATTGCTCCTTGAGATCTAAAAAATCGGAAAAGCGGTATTAGCGAAGAGGGGCACGGGACCTAAAAAGAGACGAATGATAAAGAATCGCACTCACCGGAGAAGTCAATCTCCTCCTCCTCCTCTTCGTGGAGATCCTGCTCGGTCAGGGTATCGAAACTGGGCGCCATGATTGCTTGGGGGCGTTTCGAGGGCGATGGGGGGTGGAGAGGAATCGAGGGTGAGAGAGCCGCTCTGATTTTCTGCTGGTCGTCCCCGTTTTGCCTGGTTTTAGGGCAAAAAGAACAAATCCCAACCACAGCCGCTTCTGTGTGCGAACGTGCTGACTCAGCCGTCCTGCTTTCACGTGACGAGGCCCGACCGACCCCAGTCGCCCGCATAACCTCCAGTGTTAGTAAACCTTACTTTACCGTAACCGACTGTACGGCCTGACTTGACATACAGTTGGAGATCCATAACAGTTCGCGATCCTCGAACACAATTCGTCCCAGATTGCTCTGATATTGCGGGTGCAAGGTGCTGGTCGTTGTGGGCCGGCCATCTCCATTATTTTTCTTTTGTTTTTATCTGATCTATCTTGTGTTCCTGTTCTGTTACACCCTTTTTGGAGATTTCCTTCCTTCTTATGCCCCGCCGGTCCTAAGCGCCAGCGCTACGCCCAGATCTGGACGATCGATCTCCAACAGTACGATTGACTACCACTCCCTCCTACTGCAAAGCCAGCGTTATCGACTCTGTGACTGTACCCTTTCCAGCGATTGACGCAATTACCACTGTATTTTCTACCGACGAGAAGGTAACCCGAGCTACATTGTCAGGATGTCGCGTAAGTTCCGCTGGCTCTAATGTTTCCGGGTCGTGCACAAGCCGCCGAAGTCGCTCTGAACTGACATCATTCGCGATGCACCAGTCTCCCCAGAAGCCCGCGACCAATATGTACCAATCATTGACTCAATCCTGGCTAAGAGTGACCTCAATACTATTTCCGAGAAGCGAATCCGTAAAGGGCTTCAGGAAGAGGTCGGCTATGATCTTACTCCGCAGAAGGTCTGTTCCGCGTCCTGTCACGTCGCAACACCATTGATAACAATATCACTTGATTTCATTGTAACTTTACGCTATGCTAACGTATTTCTCTTGACTAGGCTGTGATTAAGCAGCTTATCATGGAACGGTTCGACATCTTTGCCGAGAATGGTGGTATAGATGCTTCTCCCGAGGCGGCGGTCGCTACTGCTCCTGCGACCAATGGCCACAGCTCTGCGACACCGGTCGAGGCTTCCTCCCCTGCGCAATCCTCCAAGTCACAGAAACGTCAGGCGGATAGTGTGGAACGTGAATCAGACAAGACTCCTCCGGTGAAGAAGAAAAAACCCGATCACGATGTTGATGCGGATGCCCTTTTCGCGGCAAAGTTGCAGGCGGAGGAGAACATGCGTGCCCGTCCCACTCGCGGTGCTAGCGCGCGTAAAGTTCAGCCAGCAAAGAAGAAGACAACCAAGGCTAAAACGTCAAAGAAGGTCAAAGTGGAGGACGACTCAGACGTCGACTCCGGTTCGGACTCCAAGAAAGTCAACCGTTCTGGTGGATTTCATGTATGTACCACTATGCCTTTGGAGGAATGTGCCTGGTATTAACAGTTATACAGAAACCGCTTACTCTTTCACCGGCATTGTCAGCTCTGCTGGGTGGAGAAGAATCGGTATGTATTTTCTTTGGTCTTGCTTAACGCCGTCGCATATCGCCCGTATTCTTGAAACAGAGACAGCTAATTCCCCCCCAGCTTTCGCGACCCCAGACGGTAAAGAAAGTCTGGGCGTATATCCGCGAGCATGAACTTCAAGATCCCAGCGACCGACGTCAAATCCGCTGCGATGAACCGATGCGCGCGGTTTTCAAGCAGGACCGCATACATATGTTTACGATGACAAAGATCCTCAGCCAAAATTTGTACAGCCCCGATGAATAGTCTCCGTATCTGGAGGGAGACCTACACCATACATAACCTTCAGGGAGGGCAAAATATGCGTCGCGCCCATCGCTATACTTCACGAATATTTGCTTTTGTTTGTTTTGCTTTTGCTTTTGCTTTGCAGCACCGCATATGATAACCAGGAGCCGTCATTTTGATTATCGAAATCTTATGTTGTACTCAGTTTACCCTCATTGGCGACATAATTGCCTTACTTTCTTTTGTTATTTTACCTGCTTTTTCTCCAGCGGGAGTTGGTACTGTCTTGCAGATTGGCGCGATGGATGCTGTCGGCTAAAGAGCCGTCGCTGTTTCAGAAGAGTCCTGCAGGGATGTCTTCTGCCATTACATATTACTATTATTATTATGACATAGCATGAGCAATACATAGTATTCAAGTAGACCGCAGGCCCGCGTAGGCAGATTTTCGGGAAATAAAAATAGCCCCCATATACCTCCATTTCGGACGTGAAAATAGCCCACTGCCACAAACCAAACCAGCGACCGGCATGGAAAATTTCATTGAGTCAATCGAGTCAACCGACAATCTGAAAGAATTATTCAAGATGAAATTCCAGACGGTCAAGTCGGGAGACGAAGATATTGTGAGTCGAAATGACGCCGGAGGGAGTCATTTGCGGAAAGCTAATTAATTAGCTGGTTAAATAAATAAATGGGGGGTTTTTTTAGTGATTTAATAAAGCGGCTCACTAAGCACGCCGACAGCCAACATTTTCGCCCGCCGCTCGTCAATTTGTCCCCCTCACTGCCGCCAACCACACTAGGATCATTATCTCCGCAGGGACAGTGTTTGTCGCGCAGTGTCAGAAGGAGCGCCGAGCTCTTCAAATCCCTGGGAGCTGTTATCCGGGCTCGTCCCCTACTTGAAATTGATTCCGTCGTGCCAAATCCCGCCTCCATATCCGCCCTCCATGTCTGACACTCAACCGACCCAAGGCTCCGGATCGCAAGGACCAAAGCGTGGTGGTCGTCGCGGACGAGGACGGGGAGCAGGCCAACCTTCGGCAAGAAGTGAGAACTCGCAGCAGTCGACTGAAGGTGCTGGGAAAGGCTCAAGATCCAGGGGTACTGGGCCCCGCAGAGGAGGGGGTCGCGATAAGCAGAACCGCAGCGCCCCTAATAAGGATTCTGGGCCGGAACCCACTGGACAACCGACTCAAGGACCGACTACAGGGACAGAGGACAAGGGCAAGAAGGCAGCTGCGGCGCCCGCAGACGACGCCGATGAAGGGGAGATTTGCTTCATTTGTGCGTCTAATGTCGAACATACGTCTGTTTCGCCGTGCAATCACCGCACTTGCCATATCTGCGCGTTGAGACTTCGAGCATTGTATAAGAACAAAGCCTGCGCGCATTGTCGGGTACGCCTTTTATTTAAATCCACACACCTTGGGTACCTTGGGGTTGTGCTAATATCTGTCATTCGGGGTAGACTGAATCGAGCTACGTGATCTTCACGAATGACCATGTGAAGCCTTTCCAGGATTTCAAGGACTCGGACTTTTCTCAGAAAGATGACAACCTCGGGATCAAATATGAAAATAACGAGATCTTTGAGGACACAGTCCTCTTGCTCCGATACAATTGCCCGGACACAGATTGCGACGTGGCTTGCTTGGGATGGCCGGATCTACATCGCCACGTTAAGAGCAAGCATGGCAAAGTAATGTGGTACGTGACCCTTCCCTGAAGCGCTTTAAACTGGCATGCCACTCACGTTTGGCTCGTATTGTCTAGCGATCTTTGTACACGAAACAAGAAAGTGTTCACCCATGAGCATGAACTCTTCACTGTGGCGGAGTTGCGCAAACACGAGAAGTACGGAGATCATGTTCCCGGAGCTGTTGAACAGAGCGGCTTTAAGGGTCACCCTGAATGTGGTTTCTGCCGTCAAAGGTTTTACGGTGACGATGAACTATACGCTCACTGTCGCGACCGCCACGAAAGATGTCACATTTGTGATAGACGGTCTGGGAGTCGTCAACAACAGTATTATATTGACTACAATGCGCTCGAGGATCACTTCCAGAAGGATCATTTCCTTTGCCTGGACAAAGAGTGTCTGGAGAAAAAGTTTGTTGTTTTCGAATCTGAAATGGACATGAAAGCTCACCAATTGGAATGTCATCCAAATGGTCTTTCCAAGGATGCGAGACGCGATGCACGAACCGTGGATCTGTCATCTTTCGACTACAGAACGCCGTATCAGCCTCAAAGACAACGCCGTGGCGCTGGTCGTGGGCGCGATCCAAATGCGGAGCCTCTTCCTGTGTCCTCTGCACAACCATTAACAAGAGCCGAAATTGCCTACCAACGACAGATGGCCATTCAAAGTGCGCAGTCAGTATCAACGCGCAGCTTTGGAGGTCAACTGACCCGTAATGATACTCAAACTGTACACGCTCCCCCGCGTACCCCAGCCGCCCGAAACCCCCCAGCTGCGTCCACCCCTATACCTGAACTGCAGGATCTCAGTCTCGGTCATGACTCCGGATCTGCCACGCCTCAGGAACAGGCCCGCCGCCTGCGTCATGTAGCCGTGGTCGAACGCGCCTCTAATCTCCTTGGCAATGACCAAAACAAACTGAATGAGTTCCGCTCTAAAGTGTCCACCTACCGCACCTCCGCGCTAACAGCCACCGAGCTAATCGACGCCTTTTTCTCCCTCTTCGACACATCCACCAACGAGCTAGGCAAACTCGTCAAGGAGCTCGCAGAGATCTACGAAAATGACTCAAAACGAACCGCACTACTCAAAGCCTGGAATGACTGGCGCGCCATCAATGAAGATTACCCAGCCCTACCAGGCCCCGGTGGCATCCTACCAGGCATGTCCCCGAGCACCGTTAACGGCAGCGGTGCCGGAGGCAAACGTGTCCTCCGACTAAAATCCTCAACCGCCCAGTCCTCCCGCTCAGCCGTCGGTAGAAGCGGTGCCTTACCCTCAGGCTCATCCCCAAGCAACCCCTTCCCCCCTCTCTCCTCAACAGTCTCCAAAAAGTCCACCGCCTCTACCTACAACAACATCCCCTGGGCCTCGGCATCCCCTGCCCCATCCTATGCCGGCCCATCTTCCCGTCCTGCCCCGAAACCTACATCTAGTAACGCCCCTCGCCCTGTAAAAACCAGCAACGCCGAAGCGTTCCCGGCGCTTCCCGCCGCCCCTAAACCAAACGTCCTCATGGCCGGTCTCACCCGCGGAACTGTCCGTGTCCGTTGGGATGGACGAGACGCTCCGAGCTCGAATGCCTGGGCTTCAGGTGGATCAGGAACCAGTACCCCTGGCGAACCGGATTCCGACTTCGGGGAGTCCTCTGCAGGTGGTGGTAAGAAGGGCAAGGGGAAGAAGGGAAAACAGACTCTTTTCCATTTTGGCTAAGGAGTTTGATCGCTGTTTTGGTCTACTACTAGACGCTTATGGCCCCGTTCTGTTTAGCTTTTGTTATTAAGCGAGTCATAATAGAACTGTGATACGCAAGTTAAAAAAAATGTTATTGAATGGTGTTGATTTTGATGTAAATGGAATTCAAACGGTCTATCATGGTTATGAATTTTTCAGTTATGAAGTGAAGGATTGGTAACTAGAGGTTCTTATTATAATAGGATATAACTATGATTTCATGATTAGTAGGCATTCGCAGCTGCCATTTCAACAAACAGTGCTCCTCACTCTTCCAGCAGACTAATTCTCGGAAATATCATCTGAAGAGATCTCTATAACGGATCTTTCCTTAACAGACGAGTTGAGAAAGGGTACCAAACTTTCCTCGCGATTTGGCTGATTATCCACAGTATCAGGCGCTGTTCTTTCAACCAGACCTGAAGAGGACCCCTCCTGCTCTTCTCCGTCCTCAGAACCACAACACACAGACTCATCCCCATCAATCGCCGCCATCCGCAACGCAAACTCGTCCTGAAGTCGCTTCAGCCATTTGCGAAGCGCCTCACCTTCCATTTTACCATCTCGAGCCTGTAAGAGCTGCTCCTTAAGCGAGAGAATGAGGTTTCGTTTCCGCGAGACAGCCAGAGCTCTAGTCTTGCTGTGACGACGTTGGGCAATTTGGTTCATTTTCTCCGAGACAGTTTGCGCATACTCCAGCACGCCAGGCGGTAAATCAACGAGTTTAGCAAGAGCAAGGCCATAGAAGCGGTTCGTTTCGGGACCTTCGGCTATTTTGTAGTACATCGTCATCTTGGACGTGTCGGGGGATATCTCCGCTGCGAGATGGAGACTGACGACGCCGTTCCGTTCGGCCAATATCACGGCGAGGTCGTGGAAGTGAGTGACGAACCAGATGAGAGCGTGGCTTTCGACGAGGGCTTCTGCGATGGCGATAGCGATAGCTAGACCATCTGTTGTGCTAGTGCCGCGGCCTAGTTCATCGACGATGACCATGCTCCTTGGCTCAATGTTTCGGAGGATGAAGGCCATTTCGCGCATTTCGGCGGCGAAGGTCGATACGTTTGCTTCTAGGTCGTCGGCGGTTGAAACGCGAGCGAAAAGTTGGTGCACGATGGGGAAGGAGGCGTAGTCTGCTGGAATGAACGAGCCGACTTGGGCCATGATGGTCATTAGGGCTAGGGAGCGGATGTAGGTGGATTTACCGCTCATGTTGCAACCTGTGATGATTTGGAAACGGGACTGCTGGGTTGCGTAGGCGTCGTTCGGGATAAATTTCTTGGTGTGTATTTTCTCGCGGATGGGATGTCGTCCTGACTTGATGGCGAGGACATCTGTTAGTTCTGCTCGGACATAGTCGTGGTTTGTAGCTATCTGTGCGAATGCGGAAAGCATGTCAAGCATGGAAATGGCTTCACTGATCCTGAAGAGGTTGGCGATTTCGGAACGGATATCCTGGATCATTTCATGGACAGTCTGGTCGCTCATGCTGATTACCTCGTTATGTGCATCGATGATTTTCTGATTCAGTTTGACTAAGTCAAGAGTTTGGCATTCTAAACGGTTCTTCTTGCGGTATATGTTGATAAATACTTCAGGGACTGTGTCTACTTCGGTAGCTGGTATACTAATGTAGTATTGGCGTGCTGTGTCAAACTTCAAATCGAGTGATATCCCATGAGACTCTACAGCACATCAGATATGTATGAATCACAACTACTTCTGTCCACTCACCTGAAAGCTTTGTAATGAGATCTGCAGCATCCATATTTGCTTCTTTGTATGTCTGTCTCGCAACATCAAGTAGACTGTTGACTCCGGCCTGTATCGCTATATTATCAGACAGTCGTACTGAAAACATAACAGCTCAAGCGACGGGTACGTACCCTGACACAGTATATACGTTGATTTCTAAGGTCAAGCGGCCTTGTCTGGTATGCTACATACTCATTGATGGTTGACTCGATAAGCTCTTCAACTGCTCGATGACCTGCTGGAGCACATAGCTATAGCATGGTTAGACTTGCAAGCCAGCAGGTCATGAGATTACTACTTCTCTGATTGTCAGTAAAAGGCTGCTTTGAGCCGTCCCAAGCGCTTTGTATACTGATCTGATTGAAGACACGTAAGTCTTGAGCATGATGACGTTGTTGACTGATTGTTCGACGTATTGAAAAGTTCGTTTAGTTGGAACGAGGATGAGCTAGGCTGTTAGAAGTAACAAGCGTCAAAAGGCTTATCGACTCACAGATGTTAAAACTTTGTCTGCGTCGATGAAACCTTTAAGAGCTGTTGGAAGTTCAAAGTGCAACAATTCAGTATAGGGCTAACATGGAAGTCTATGTTTCTGACCTTGTCTAACCGTTACAAACATTTCCCCCTTTGTAGATAAATCCTCCACGGCATCATATCGAGCTAGTAACTTCGAAGCCTCCGTAGAGGGCTGCAGAATATTGGCTCTCAGAAGCCTACCACCCATGGGGGTTAATGTTTCATTCATGAATCCGAAGAGACTATCCTTTGATCTGGCCTTTTGCAGATTTTGGATCAGCTCCAAGGAAACTATGGTGGATAAATCAATCAGCATAGAACCCTGGGAGGGCTCGAAACGGATACGAAGGGAGTGCGAAGTAAACGTCTTATTTAGCTCTAGCTCAACATATTTCAGGACCTATATAACTTCAGTGAAGCCTATATATGTGTTTTTTTGGCACATACTGCAGCGAAACAACAAGCAGCAAAATAATTGCCTCCCAAGGTAATCTTGATAGACTCAATATCCTCAGGAAAAGCTAGTCGGTCCACATACTCATGGCCGGTTTTCTCCGACCAGTCCCTGCGGTCTAAGAAAGTGAATGTGGTTTCTTGGATATTTTCCTGAATGATGTAAAATAGTTTGGAATCTTTGGCTGTATTCATGAAGAGTACCTCTGTGGGCTCAAACACCCCGATCTTGGTAACTGTTTTGACATAAGTCTGGCTGTCACATATCTGACACAGAACTGCTTCTGCCGTTGATAAATTTATAAAAGTGAGGCCAACTGTAGATGAGATACCACGCGACTCGCTGACAGCACATATGATATCCTGAGACGCGACACTTGTTGCTGTCGTAGTAGGCCTTGTCCGGAGGGGTCCACTGCTTTGCCTCGAGAGAGGAACGAAGGAATCGGTGGCCCCCAGAGATGAAGCTCTAGACATCAAGATTGACATTTCAACCATAATATCTTGAAAAAAAGATTTCTTGAAGTAATTGAGAGAGAAGAAATACAGAAAAAGGGACTTAATTGTATACTGTTGATAAAGAGCGGATAACCAAATCCGGTTTAGCGGCGATCCAGTACTCCGCGATAAGTGCGATTTCATGATAGCCGTTGAAATTTTTGTTCAAGACAAGACCGACTTCATTACAAACAAATATTCCCATTCGAGTGGCAAAATGTCAACTCTTGTACCCCCTCCGACCAAGCGTCAGAAGACGGAGATCGCCGAGAAGGCGCGTCTGCAACAGGAGATCGAAAGCATCCCGGATAACCTGGGCAGTGTCCGAGTGCAGTTCTTCGACCAAGCAACAGGATCCGCAACGGGACCTGCAGTGTCCGTTCCAGTGGCCGATGCCAATGTGAAAAATCTTGAGACCCTTCTGAATACATTACAAGGCAATGTAGGTACGCAGTCAAGCTAAAGATCTGATATGTGCCATAGGCTAACTCTCTACTGTTGTGGGTTATAGGAAGATGATGAACGAGTACCGTACCGGTTCACCTACCAATCTCAGGATAAAGACAATCAGACAATCGACATCCTAGCAGATCTCTATCATTCGTTACTCCAGCCTGGACTCAGAACAACCGAAGATACCATCTCCCTATACTTTACCCCGCAGGCAGTATTCCGAGTGAAGGCTGTTTCGCGATGCGCTGCCTCTATAGCCGGACATGGAGAAGCTATTCTTGCGACTGCATTCTCCCCTGTATCCTCTTCAACAATGGTAACCGGAAGCGGCGATTCGACAGCTCGCGTCTGGGATTGCGACACCGGTACACCATTGCACACACTGAAGGGACACACCAGCTGGGTGCTGGCAGTCGCCTACTCCCCCAACGGTGCGATTATCGCGACAGGTAGCATGGACAACAGCGTACGACTGTGGGATGCAAAGAAAGGACAGTCACTGGGAGGCCCTCTCAAGGGACACGCGAAATGGATCACCAGTCTGGCGTGGGAACCGTACCATGCGCAAGAAACCGGTCGGCCGCGACTGGCTTCAGCGTCTAAGGACTCCACTGTTCGTGTCTGGGATGTTGTATCGAAGCGAATTGATATCGTTCTATCTGGTCACAAAGGCTCGGTCACCTGCGTCCGCTGGGGCGGCATGGGCAAAATTTACACAGCTTCCCATGACAAGACCATCAAGGTGTGGGATGCAAAACAGGGTACCCTCATTCAGACATTACAGGCCCATGCTCACCGCGTGAACCACCTCGCCCTTTCGACGGACTTCGTTCTGAGAACCGCCTACCACGACCACACCAAGAAGGTACCTGAAGCCGATTCCGATAAGGTCGCCGCTGCCCGAAAACGCTTCGAACAAGCAGCCACCGTCAACAACACGATCGTTGAGAGACTCGTGTCTGCAAGCGATGACTTCACTATGTACCTGTGGGAACCGGAGAGCTCCAACAAGCCGGTCGCCAGATTGCTGGGCCACCAGAAGGAGGTCAACCATGTGACCTTCTCGCCCGATATGGCGTACATCGCATCCGCTGGATTTGATAACCACGTGAAGCTGTGGAATGGCAGAGATGGAAAGTAAGTATACAACCCAGATCGTCATCGTACGCGTATCTAACCAAGGATAGATTCATCACTACTTTCCGTGGCCACGTCGGTGCCGTCTATCAGTGCTGTTTCTCAGCTGACTCCCGTCTCCTGGTATCCTCATCCAAAGACACCACCCTGAAAGTGTGGAACGTCCGCACTGGCAAATTGGCCATGGATCTCCCAGGACACAAGGACGAGGTCTTCGCCGTCGACTGGAGTCCCGATGGCGAGAAGGTGGGTAGCGGCGGCAAGGACAAAGCCGTGCGGATTTGGAGAAATTAACGTAATTACGGCAATAGAATTACATCAGAATAAAAGTTGCGATACCCTAAGCACTACTGCATTTCAATTGTTGGATATATACAAAAGGCGTGTCATATCTCATGAACAGGAGTAATTTACACAACCATGACAATCACTGCGTTGCGTACCGAGAGCCTCTTCCCATTCCTGATTATCTCTCAAATCAGGATCCCATACTCAAGTGCGGATTTAGGCGTACTGCCAAGCACCAGGGGCTGTAGCATTGGGAGCCAGGGCATTGAAGCCAAGGCATTCATCCACGTTACCCTTGGGAACAGTGGCGTTCTGGACAGCGGCAAACACCTGCCAGCGCTGGTCCTCAGTGGGACAAGCCATGAAGCCGGAAGCACCCCAGCCGTTGAAGGTGTAGTAGCCCCAATCCTCGCCGGGCTTGTAGTTGAAGGGGCCCACAGCGGAGCCCTCGGGGATATAGGCGGAGTGGGCCTGGGTGAAGGACAGAGCGCCGTTGGGGTCAACATAGACCTGCTGGCCGCCAGGGACCACAACGCTCTGGAAGGCACTCGTTAGTAACGGGGAGAAGTGGAGAGAGGAAAGAAGAGGGAAAGAAGAAAGGGCTTACCAAGCCATAGCCGCCAGGGGCGAAAACGGTCTGTTTGCCGGGAGGGCAGCCGTTAGTGAGGGGGCAGTAGGAGGAGGTCTCTCCGCCAAGGTAGAACTTCTGGCCGGAAGCAGTCATGGGGAGGAGGTGAATGGGGGAAGCAGAGCGAGCGGACATGACTCCGAAAGGAGGGTTCTGCGGAGCGGTTGGGGCAGCAGCCGCCAGCAGGGGAAGAAGCAACGAGGGGACCATGGAGAACTTCATCTTGGCGATTTAATAAACGAGAGACTGTAAAGGTGGGTTTGGGAGATGGTCAAAATGATTTCAGGTTGATCTGTTTGGAGAAAGACATGTTGTCGAGTGATCAACCTCGTATTTATATCCGGACGACGAGGAGGCTGAGAGATATCCATGGATAGCAAGAGTCATACAACATTCTGCATCTCGTGGAGCCATGAGGGAGACGTTACATTGCAGTCGGCGCCAACCGCTGCATATTCATATCGAAATCTGGATCATATCCTATCAGGGGACAATGCTAATAATGAGCGGGTGCACTGTTCAACCGCTAAAAGTGAAACCGCATCGAAGCGATGTGATGGCTTGTCACGGGAATCGCGGGACGAAGAAACCGCGGAGTTTTATGACGTTTATGACGTTTATGTGGGGAGGCAGTTGAAGAACCGAGATTGCTATCGTGGATCCTCGAGGTCACTGTCTCACATTTTTTCCGAGACATTTGGAGCTGTCTGTAACGCTGTAAGTATGTGTACGATAATAATAGAAATTAGCCACGCCAGTTTAGCAAACAATGGCCGAGGGTTTGGACAATGCCGACAGCCCATGGCAGACCTCGGAATTTGCGAGGCCCATGGAAGAGAAGCACTCAATGGTATCACGATTCGCACCGCCACATCAGACGGATACGAGACCCATCATTAGGTAGATTATATTTGTTCCAGGGTCCTCGGTGGCAACGCTTTCTATGGATATCCCACGAAGTTAAAATTACTTAATTTAGGGACGATTCAATTGAGTTTTTTTTTTTTTTTTTTTCATTTCTTTCATGCATGGACCTACAAATTCAATCACCTGATAGGGCAATCCACTACTGATGTCACGGTTCTCCACAATATCCATGGATTAGGGCATATTCCATCATGTCGGTTCTTTCAATTCTGTGGCAAAACATACACGAAGCGCCTCGTCTCAAACACCCCTAAGGAATATTGAGGGGTGATCAAGTACTCGGCACGGTTTGGAAAAACAAGTACACATAAAGTGAAAGAAAGAAAAGCAAGGAGATATATGTTTCACGCAGTCCAGACAGCATCCACACAGTAAAACATACATCTTGAGACGATTAAAAAAGATGTGACAAAAAGGGGGATATTATAGAGAAAGCAAAAACAAAAGGGGGTGAATCAACGATTTGCGAAAAAGGCAAAGCAAGAAAAATGAAATAAAATAAAACACCGCGGCACCAATCCTGATAGCAGTACATCCCACCCATTTGAAAGAACCTGTCTTGCCCTGAACACCGCCGACCAAACCTGTCCCCGTGTCTTAACCCGTAAATGCGTAAAAAGATTAGAACAATGAAATTTAAGGGCACTGGAGCGACAATGTCTCGCAACCCAACGTACGGCGTAGTGCAGCAAAGCAACACGGCTTTCTTAGTCGTAATCGTCCCCATCGTCGTCATCGTTGTTCCGGCCGCGTGAGCCCTTCACGCCATCTTTTCGGATGGGAATTTTGATGCCTTGGAGAGCGAAGCATTTACTGAGCGTCGTGCTCTCTATCACTCCGGGGAATTTCTTGGCGGAGAAAACTTGAAATGGCTCGGAGAAGACGGACGCTAGGACGGGTGCGGATCCGTGATTGATCACTGACACACCTCCATTAGGAGAATCACTGGATTGAGTACCCACGTTGACAAAACTCATCTTAAGGCTGAAAAGAAGTTAGTAAAGCTGCATTGCAACAATTTTACGATTGATGCTCACTGACCGGAAAACCCCTTCAGTCCGTACACTCAAATCTTGTAAGATGAACCATACCCCGATTTTATTATCCGGATCGGTCAGACGGAAGGCACTGGCACTGAGACTTCCGATAAGGTTGCGCGTGAACATGCCACCGGGACCCGTGCTAACCGGTTGCGCAGGGGAGATATTGGCTTGTGGCATATGACCGCCGGTTGGGTAGTATGGTTGATAGTAAGAAGTCTGGGGACTGGCGCCGTAAGGATTTTGATACTGTAGCTGAGGGTTTCCGGGGTAATAGCTATTCATTTGCGGGTAGGGGACCGGCTGGCCGTAGGCATTTTGTGGGTATTGCGCATAGGTAGGGGACAGGGTCTGCGGCGGTGGCGGGTACGAAGAGGACATGGCCGTTGATATCGACGGAGATGTTGCCGAATGCTTGACCAAATTCACCTCGTTAGTCCCCTCCGCGTTCCACAAGTCTACCATCAGGACGTAGAAAGAAGTATCAATTTCACTGCAACCAAGGTCAGCGTCGCATCTAAATAACTTGATTCCAAGGTTTACGTACTTGATGTCGATTTCTTTTTCAGTTTGAGCGTCCTTAACTATAAGGCGAATGCACGGGGGAGGGGTAATGGGTCTCCGATCCTAGATCGACGAGGTAAGCAGCCGGTCGATAAAGAGACTATATGGGAACTAACCTTGTCGCCAAAGCCGCACATTCGGGCTCGAATTGGTTGCTGCACAACTTGTAGAGACCAAATGCGACCCTCGTGGACAGTCGAAAGCGGCGCTAGGTGGCTGGACGACGGAATGCCTGCGGAGACCATTCCACCCCCGGAGCCCGGAGTGGGATATGACGAGGAAGGCGGGGGAATTCGATCCATGGAGAGAGGCGGCGGTGGCGGTGGGTGTGCCCTTTCTTCGATAGCATACATGGTGTGCGAGTCGAATAGACGATATTGATAACCGGTACTCCCGTTTCGTAAGTGGATCAAGAGCTAGACCAGCAATATCTTAGGTAGATAAAACTAGCGTCTATGAAGCATGCGAAAAGCGTCCAACGTCACAATTAGACCATTGACTCTAAACGATGGTTGAAGTGCGTGAAAGCCGCGACCGAAGCGAGCACTGGTTGAAAGTTTGTCGGTCCTCGACCTGCGCTGGGACAACTCCAGCTACTGAAGCGAGCTGATTAGAAAATACAGCACACAACGGTACGAGTCACAGTAAATTGTTTGTGGGTAGAGACGCGTGCGGTGGTGAGAGGTATGATCGTTGCGGGGGTGCAATTTCTGAGAGGGCGCCAGGGAAAAAGTGGCGAAAGAGGGGCGTACCCGCTAGGTAGGATGCGCGACTGACCTAAGCTATCGGAGCGATAAGTTGAACGATCACCACGAACACCCAAGTGTTTATATTCTGAATCACGTACAGTTCAGTCAATTCGCAACGCGTGCTACCACTCTGCTGAGACTTTCAAAGGGTAAGTGACGATCGCTGTGGTTGAGCCGTAAGAAGGAGCTGTCAAACTGCGGGAGATTCGCTAGGCCTTCCACGGATCGACCTCAGGACCAAAGGTTCGCACACAGCGTCCACGTTAATCTTCAGGGTCGTAAGAAAGAGGCCACTTGGATATAATCGGTGTGAGTCAGAAGCTGCAGATCGACCCAAGGGTTGATACTGAAGTCGGGACGTGTTGGGTGTGGTGGAGTTTGTGAGGGAAGAGCAAGTGGGAAAAGAGGGAAGAAAAGGTAAGAGAGGACCGAATGACGAAGCGGAGAGCGTGGACAGTCACGAGAGGTCCAGACAAGAGAGAGGAACTCGACTGTGGATGAGCTCATACCCTTAGAAATTTATTCCTCTATTTTTAATCATTTCAATTTTTATTAACTTTAACTTCTGGCGAACATCTTCTTTCCGATACAACCAGCAGCATTATGTTTTCTCACAATTATTTGCATACAATTGATTTCTTTACTCCTGCTCATATACCCTGACAATTGTTGTATTATTTTATCCATCTCTTTCGTACTTTTTTTTTTATTTTATTTTTTTGCCACTTCCTTCTATTTCTTTTCCTATTTTAAATACTAAATTGGGTTCGCCTTTGTTCTTCCCTAAATGACTTACTCTCTGACGAGATGCAGCAACAAGACTCACGGATTAGGCGATGATCAGCCCGCCGCAGGAACCTCGACCCAGACCGTCGGGTTCAGACTTCCTCCCTTCTGGGCGTAGCGCCGGAATGTGAGAAATTAACCGCCAAAGACCGGGCATATCCCGACAATCACACACGATCTATCGACTCGCCAAAAGATACTTGTATATTCGACCTATTCTCATTTTCACAGGCGCTCTTCGTTAATTGTTTTTCCTGTTCTCTTTTTGATTTTTTCTATTTTCTTTTATATATATTATCTCAACCAGTCAGTTTTGAATTTTTGTCTCCACCTTTTGAGCAGCTACGTATTTCAAATTATCTCCCTTCCGTGGGGTTTCCGCATATGTAATGATCAACGACGGAGGGGCTTAGATCAAAATGCCCAGCAGCCCAACAGCGGCAAATCCCTAGTCCAGTGGAGGCCAAAATAATTGCCCCGACCAATCTGTACTGCCATTTTCAGCATCCAATTTATTTTTACGGCTGTCATAAAGATGATCCTCAGAGTAACCATGCGGCCCTCCGGTTTGGGTTAAAGCCAAGCACGGTTGATCCGAGCGCGATCCGTTTTCAGGTTCTGTGGGAAAAGATAACGGAAGATACACCTACCGCATAAGGTACTGTCTCACCTACTCTCTCTCTCTCTTGTTTTCATGTTTCATTCCTTTCCTTTCTCTCCCTTCCATGAGATGAACTCGGTCAATTCTTTTCTTTACCTGGGGCGGTGAGAGCTACATCCGCAGCGCAGGGTCGATCAGCAACTTGTCAGCCCCTAAAGCAGATCCGTCGTCCTTGGCACGCACCAAAGCGAGGCCCGAGAAAAAGTTTGCCAACAAGTCGGGTTACGGGTACAACCACCGGCAGTGCCGCGCAAACTGATGGGAGCGGGGACTGCAGTTCCCCCGTCTGCGGTTCTCCCACTTCGTTCTGCTGTCCATGGTAACCCCTCCATCCTCGACCGGCAGGATGCCTGAATCCTTTTGTCTGCACGCCTAATGTGTCTGTTGACAGACTTTGGCAGTTGGACCTTGTCGCATAATGCATTGTTTGGTTTCGGGTGGGTATCTGTGTTAAGTCTACTCCGACTATAGGTAATTCAAGGCGAGGAAGTGGCTGCCATGGAGAAAAAAATTTGAAAAAAATCAAACAAAATAAATTAATTAATTAAATTAAATTATAATAAATTACTTTTGCAGGCATCGTACCCCCGTTGCTTGCCCACGTCGATAACCGTTCACAATCCCCGCGTCATTGAACTGCTAAAAATTGGGGCGCAGCGACTCCTCATGACCTATATATCGAATGATAACGACAAGGGTTCATAATAAATTTTCTCGGGTGTTCTACGTCATGCCCCTCATGTCGAATGGGACTTCTTGTTTCTTTCTGGTTCGCGCAAAACTTTATGCCCTCGAAGATTACCTAACCTACTATCACGATGATGACTGTAAACAGATACAGAACAATCAACCCCTTAACCAGCAAATATCACATTCCCAGTCAACAAGATCTACAAGGCCAATAGGCAATAGATCCTAGCTTACAATGGCCCCACCTAAATTAATACTAATCGACGATTTACAAGTTTCACCGTTGAATTGATATAGAACGATCACTGTCCATCCTTGGCGCCGATGTCAACAACCCACCACCCCCCTCCCCCCTGGGCGCCGATGAATACATGTACCTGTTATGGGAACTCTAGATAAGCCTAATCGTCGACTCGGAGAGTCTCGTTCGTATGACTAACGCTGGATTTCAACCGATCCTAGATCCCGTAAACAGGAATTTCGCTTCACGAACCTAGAATCATCAAGCACCGAGCGTGGAGTTGTTAGAATGGCTAAAGCTTCTGCATAGTCTAATCATCATGAGTAATCGTCAGCGGCGATACTGCTACCAATGATCTCTTTTCCCTTTCACGTACGGAGTAGTCCGATGTTTACCAGACAGCACCAGCGGATAGGCAGCACACGTGCTGTTGCGTAGTCACATCTAAAGGACGACGTAGATACTGCGATTGAAAGATTATCTAGTAATAAATATATAATATAAACAAGTGAAAGCTACCCAAACTCGCTGTTGGGGTCTGATGATCGGCAAGCGTCACCCTTGACGTGGTTCATAACGTCAAATACAGCACATCCGCTAAACAATCACGGTAATCAAGCTCATAATCGCAGGGATCATCTTCAGAAACAGAGTTCAAGGCCCCCACTCTCATAAGGCAAGCATTCGAGCCCCACTCTAAACCAATCCCCTCGCTGTCATGGGTGGTGGGATCATGGTCGTAGCAGAGAAGGATGGATCTCTCGGCAAAGAGCCTCACACGCAGCGTAAGGAATGACGTGCTTAGGGCTAATTTAGTCTTTGGCTTGTAGCATGCACTTGCTAATAAAGCGGACATTTGTTCGGAAGCGTTTTTGTGCGAAGGAAGAACTTGTCCTCGTATCTGCCGATGTAATGCTGATCTAATCTAGCTTTTAGTAAAGCCAGGATTGTAGGACTATTGAACCATGTGATTTGGTGTTTTACGTCTGTTTGTGCAAGTGGGCTTTCTATGTCCTACTGGTATTATGTCTACTTTATTCGTCCTTCTCTGTAGGTTGATATTCAGCGGAGATTCGGTTACTCATCTGTGGCCATGGGCGAGAGGGAGTCGGTTACTGCTGCCTGTGAACCGTAGACAGGCTTCTGGAACACTACCTGACCCTTTTGGGAGCTATTATGAGTCATATATAAACAAATCTATTAAGTAGTAGCCTACCAGCCATACTCGATAGTGAAAGCTACTGGCTATTTGACTATGCACCTTGCCCGTGCAAGAAAGTCATACAAACTAGACCTTACTAGTACAACTGCCAGTCAGCACTAAATATAACGCGAACCTACTTCAATGTTCTTTAGGAGAACAAGTTCAGTTGCTTGGTATTCAATCACCACCCGAACGTACTGTTCGGTCTCGATATATCGCCCATAAAGTCTGACAATGTCATATCGATGTCCTGCCTTATTGTGTTTATCCCTATTAATGCAGCGTTTGATGGAATTGTTGAACAAAACTCGACCGATTCAGGGCGACGTCGTGACAGGCATCATGTTCGTTATGGACATGGATGTCTATCCAATTTTTTTTTTATCAACAGGTCTCCAACAATGATGAAGGAGCTGCGGAGCAGGACTTTTATTTCGGCCGCGGCTGGCTTTAGGTAGCTGTCCGGGGTAACCTTCAGACGGCCCCGGGGCATCAGTCTTTGTTTAGTGAAATAACGGCACTCGAAGATGCATCACATCGATATAAAAAGATGCTGATCACGTGTGATGCGTACGTACAACAAAGGGTCAAGATAGTGCTAATCTATATCCGGTATGAGGTCCGTCAAACTTGAGGGGATAGAAGACGTAGTACCGACAGCGAGAAAATATGTATTAAGCATAAATCCTTCTATAATATATGCCGACTGACCGTTTGGTGTAACGGAGATTGAGCACAAGATCGACATGTGCATACATGCTCCTCTATCCGAATTAGGATAATGAACTATAGCGGGGCGCGGTATGAAAGGGTATCGGCTATGGTTCCATAAGTGGAAAGAGACCATGTACATCCTTGAGCGATAATACGTAGTACTAGCTAAGGGAATAACAAGTAACTCGTAAATGAGAAGTCCACCGCCAGTTTAGCAGGTCCGATTGGGTTTAAATATGCGAAATGAGTTTCCCGACCCACCAGCTGTATGGCCGCCAACGTCGTGGCCACAATGTAGGGTAGCAGTTGCTTTGTATGCGAATAATGACAAGCTCTGCAATTGCCGCTCGAGGATAGGCATCTGAGCGAGCGCTCCTTTACCGATGATGGCCGAGTCTAAAGTTCCTTGTCAGTGCATGTTTGGGCCCAGGACCGACTCGGCCTATGATGACTTTGATGACGGAAATGGCAAATCTAGCCTTCATTTCGCTAGGTTCGCGACAAGCCATCTTACGTGTACGGCGGAGGATCGCATGCATGACCTCTTCGCTACTAGAGCTTGGGCCAACCACAGGGTGGGTCACCGGTGGTTGTCCAGTCATAAGAGATTTGTCCTGCCATGCTGCTAGCGAAAATTCTGGAAAAACCCCCCAGGCCCAAGGCAATGGATGAGCCTATCTCGCTTTGTTCCATACGAGTCGGCAAACAAAGGGCAAATCTTCGTAGCTCCTCGCGTGGAAAGCACTACCCCATGATAGGCACTCAATCTGACCGGCCAACCATGGAACAAAGCGCATGTGTATGTCGTTAACTTGAAGTATCGATCCAATCATTGGTGGATGCGAAGACCAAGAATACTTGTTACTGGAAACGGAAAAAGAAGGGCTCGCCGCTCGATACCCGGTTGAGACTAGTGTCGGTGGAGTGGATCTCGGCGCCGGGCCCTTGTCCCAACATGGCATGACGATGAGATCCAATAATCCACCATCACCGCGTGCAATTGCGGCGGAGGTACAAGTTGATTCATTCGGACGGGCCTCTCCCCCCCACTCTTAGTATCAGCACTCCTGGAGCATTTTCTCGTTTAAGTTGTTCCCCAAAAGAGTAACCCGAGGACTGCTCCATGGCACCTATAGTAAGATGTCCCGGACGGAACCCTGTAGGCACTCGGAGGAGGAGAGTCTTCGGGCGCCTGAGCGACTACCAATCTTCTGTTCTCAGCGGTAGTCTTGCGATATCTTGATTGGTCCCGAGCGTTTCTATTCGTCTAGTTAGCAAGGGCGCGAGCGTAATCGATCGTCGAAAATGAGTCTCGATTCATCGAGACCTCTTTCCTACTTAGGGATATTGTAGATAGCCTTGCATGTATTCGTTCAATGGCGTCGTACGTAGAAAGCCAACGAACAACAGCTTTGCCAAGGGAGGATCTCGTAAAGCAAAAAATTATAGACCCACTCGGAGTAATCAACCTCTCCATTAACACTAGTCTGGCTCAGGTACAATAAATACCTGGTGCAACATCCAAAGCTCTGCGGGGTTATATTTCTTTGGGTCTCGTGAAGATGCACCGACTCAAGGACGTCAAGAAAATCGGTCGAACGGCATTGCGGTGAATAGCTTTATGACGAACGGCTCCCGCTCTTCTCAACCGTTCAAGTTGCTCTGGAGAAATGCCTGCGCGGCGGAATCACAGAGGATCATCTCGGATTTACTGTGGTGAATGCAAGTGTCGACGGATTGGGGTATGTTTCGAAGTTTACATGGTTTCTTTAGCCGGCGTGCCTGAGGCGTCTTTGTCTTACTTCAAACGCCTACTAATCTGTTATGTATAGGACAGGTCCCAGTCTTCTCATTTATTTGTCCTATCGCGATACATGTGCTCGAGGACCAAAGCTCGTCTATATACATCGTATTCCTTATCTTTTACCGAAACATCGTCACCAACTGCCAGCCACTGTCTTGCCTCTCAATACAGAATCATGATGGAAGACATCAATACTGTCTCTACACCTAAAGAGCTCAACATGGAAGAATTAGAGCTCATGGTCCAATGGTGTACGGCAACGTATCGCTCTATCTCCCGGGATGACACGGTTGGATGGATATGGCGTGTCGTCGTGCCTCGAGAGGCGATGCACTACCCCTTCCTAATGCATGGCATTCTCGCACTGTCGGCGCTCCACCTCGCATTCAATAACAGCGGTACTACAAAGGAAAGCTACTTGATGATAGCACGGTCTTACCGGGGCCAGGCCCGGGTCGGCCTGGAAAAGGTGAAGGGTAAACTGAACGACTCCAATTCAAAAGCAGTGTTTGCTCTATACCATATATTAATCGTGTCTGCCTTCGCTCTTCCTCTCACCATAGAACCGCATCAAGATCAAACCCCCTTAGACGAGCTTTGCGAAGTATTCCGACTCACCAAAGCATTAGGGGATTCCATACCAGCGATCATCGACCGGGTCAAAATAGGGGAAATGAAGGAATTAGTTGAATCCAGCGATCCGCCACCGCGCATGCCCGACACTTCACGGCTCGCTATAATGGCGCTCAACAGAATGAATGCGGCCTTGGCCCGGCAGGACCCGGGGCATGAGAGTGATGTTTATAGCCCGACCATTAAGTACTTGGGAGAATCGCTGGACAAGCTTGCAAGAGGCGGAGAGATCATGATTGTCGCATTTCAGTGGATCTTTCAGATTCCACCGCGATTCGTTGACTTGCTTAGAGAACGACAGCCGTTCGCTCTAATTGTCGTCGGTCATTTTGCCGTGATTCTTCACTCCTTAAGAGAACATTGGTGGATGGGTGAATGGGGAGCTAGACTAATTAGGCAAATTGGTCAACAACTCGATACGGAATCGAAGCAGTCTATGGACTGGGTTCTCGATGCTACGGGATGCTATATTCCTCCGCGATGAGACCATGGTCTACACGCTTCTAATGCATTGTCATGGAAGCCAGTCAAAGGAGACACCCGGCCATTTTGAACTACGCTTCTCAACTAATGGCATATTGACAACGAGTCATGCATAGGGTAGCTGACGCCCTTCACATTTGAGCGATAATATTTCGGTATTTCTTAAGAAAGCAAGGGACCAATCGAAGACAATCAGGCTTAGCGGCGCACGGAGTACAGAATCGGATGAATTCGTTTACCAAGGCTCAATTGGAGATAGTTGCCCTTACCAGGCAACGGATCACAGCAGGCCTGAGATCAGGCTATTATTTGTATCGTGCACGTATGTATATCAGGATGGAATGACCTTAGTTAATCAATGTTCAGATCATTTGACCCGAATAAAGGCGAGAGTTCCATCGTGATAAGACTATGAAATTTTATTGGAGCGGCCATTCAAGCATCATAAGCATGGACGACTAGTACGCTGTAGATCTTATCCAGAACTTCCATTCGGTCGACTGGATGCAGATGTCCTGCACAGGTCAAGTTAGCGCGGGCAAGTACCGATAAGACTCATTGCAGTCATTGGTGCATCAAATTGAAACCTATAAATAAGCACCGTATTAAACCACTGAGATTTGGCTGATTTCTTCTGGCTTCCTAACACTCCTCCGGTTCAAAACAAACATGGGTATCCATTAAATTTAATAAGAGGTAAGAAAAGGAAGGGGAATAAGAGGCGAGAGACGAGACAAACAAGACATTGAAACGAGACGGCACAAGAAAGATCATCGGCGACACTTCTCTCCGAGCCACAAGTCAAAAATCATGCACTGCCAGCAGCGCTCCGCTCCTAACGTGTCACGATCGATGCATTCGCGAAAGCCAATTCAATGTCTCACCGATCAGTATAACGAAGGCTGAACTGAGAAAACAGGATACCACTTGAGACAAAAGGACGCGACTTGAGACATGCCATTTATAAATACAGTTTCTCAACTCGACGATGACTCGCTGCGCTTTTCGGCGACACGCTCAGCATCCTTCAATCGGTCTCTGGACGCAGTGCGAATTCGACGCAATTGTTCCTCTTGCTCGCGAGCCTTCTTCTCTTCTTCGGGAGATGGAATATACGCATTTGCAGCACCACCTGTATACATCGGAGTCACGATCAGCATGCTAGCCAATACAGCCAAGGTCCCGTCGACAACATACCCCGTCCAGTATGATGAGGAGCCTCCTCGACACGCAATGGCGGCGCCTCTACATCCTGACTCTCGCGCGCAATCTCCGGGCGCTGGGGATCGTTTACGACCATATTTCCCGAGCCGCCGCGACCGGTGGTATAAATGTCTTGTTTAATCGTGGGTGTGACTAGATCCTTTGGGGTAGTATGGCTTTCACCGGAGAAAATATTGCCTGCGCCTTGTCAAAACGAGTTCAAAAATTCACATGACTCCACTGGTCTACGTACCTGCGCCTCCACGGCCGTGAGATACGTAGCGACTCATGGTTGCGAGAATCTGATCGGGGGAACGTGAATAACCGGAGGTATAAAGGGCGTTGGCGGGGAAGGGTTGCGATCGGGAGTACGTAGTGGGATTGCGCAGTGGGCTTACGGGTAATGGGAGGGTCTCAGATGGGACTTCAGATAATTAAATGGACCAAGAAAATAGGAACCAGCTGAATGGAGGTAAACAGGAACTAACACGCAGTGGCGAAGGGGAAAAATTCTGTACGTTGATCGGGGCCAAGAAGCAGCCCCTCTAGAACCCAAAAAGAACTTATGATGAAAGCCGTTGCTCTTGGCGCGTGATGGCGGTTTTTTTGCAACGTTTGCGGAATGATGTGATTTTTGGTCTCTTATCTAATCAGACGCCCTTCCTCATTTGGTCTTTGGACAGGGCTACTGGTGTTCACCTGATCTGAGATCGTTTTGCTGTGAACTCCGGACATTACCGTAGTAAAGGTGCTCGGGGTCACATTCTCCACGTCCCTGGCCACTTGGTGGATCCACTGTGCAGGGCGATTGAGTGGATTTACTCCGTATCCATTCCATTATCCATTGGCAATATCGCTACGCCTCTTCTACTTCGGCAATTGTGCATTTTGTCATAGCGTACGAAAATCACTGCGATCATAGATGCATTGGCTTTATACAGTGAAAGTATGCAATATGTTGCTAATGAACTATTAGATACCTGGGTAGTATATTTTATTCTTCCTGTTCATACAGCCATGGCTAGCTCTTTCCGTTGGCCCGCAATGGCCTTGCCCTACCTAGCAAGATACCATAGTACTACTACTTGCCTCAGACTCACCAAAGTCTTACTACCACTGCAAGAATTCTCCATATACCGTCGCTCCTGCTCATCTGAGCAAACCAAAGACAATACACTCTGAAGCAAGCTCTACAAGGCTCCTTCCTCTTCAAATGACAAACTACAATGCCCTACAAAATGGAAGCTCATCTCCCAACTCCCAAAACTCTTCAACTTATCCCATCGCTCACCATACATCCCATTCATACCACTCATACGTCTAGTTCCATTAAATAGTTGAATCCATTCTCTTATCATCAGTCTCTCTTTCACAATTGCCTTCTATCACCCTTGACCAATGTGTTTTGACGTACTCGGAAATATCATAACCGACATTATCGGCATAATTTTACTGAATATTTCACTCTTCCTGAATCTCCTCGCATTACCGGGTGCATTCTGGCGGACACTACACGACTGGAATCAGCGTATCCGAAGAGGCATTCGGCATTTTCTGATGCCCAGAATGAATGCTAACGGTGATATCTACAATCCTGCTATCATTAACCGCCCGTCCCAGGAGTCGAGGCGTCGGAGAAGACGTAATGGACTAGTTAACGGGACTCGGGATCAGACTACTGGGGACAGCAGTTCATTCGTCGTTACTCACTATGATGATGATGATGATGATGACTCGCATGGGACTGGGCAAAGTGTGGATGAGCCTTTGGCAGCTAGTGGTGATGAGACGATCACACCCGAGCAACAGCGAGCAGAGCAAGGGCCACAAGAGCAAGGATCTCACCATCCTGTACAGCAACACCAACAGCTTGGACAGCAACAGTCAGGACAGCAAGAGCCAGAGTCCCAAGGGCATGAGATGCAACAGCTAGGACCACAACAGCAGTCATCAGAGCTTCCACCACGTGAGCCCATGCCGCGTGAGAGAGTTATACCGCAGCAAGACCCAGGAGAACCTGGTGAGCCCCTGCAAACCATTGATTTACGTGACTAAGCTCATCTCATAGCCTCCATTTTAGCACCTATGGCAGGTAGGGGGCAACCTGGAAGGAATCGTGTTACGTTTTCCTTTGGACCAAATGGAATACAGCGTGAGTGCGAGTATGTGCGATGGTGATGAAAGATAGTAAAGCTGATGAACACAGCTCGAGGATATACGTCTCGTAGGCCAACCGGCTCCAACCCTGCGTCGCCTGCGAATCAGCAAGCCCAATCAACACAAGGAAACCCCGATATGCCCGGTACATTCCCGGTTGGATCAGAGGATGAGGGAAGGGAACATTGAAGTGGCATTGTTATCGTGGTTATCGAGTATGGGGTTTGTCCAAATTGGACTCGAATTACGTGCTGTTGCTTGTATCACTCTCTGAATCGTGAGGTAAGTCACTTCTACCAAATTGACCTTTATGTGCGTTAATTCATTGCAGGGTTTTGTATTATTCAAGGATGTCTTGAGCCGGTTCAATGTCTTTCTTTACCTTGGTTATTGTTTGCCTGCATTATTTACATAGACAGTAGAGTTACTGGGGTCTGTATTACCATAGCTGCAATATGCTCTTTTGTTATGTTGGAGTCAAACACTAAAGAATGCAATGCACCTTATTGAGTGTTAAGTTTCCATCTCACTATCATGCTATGGCTCTTGATCATTGTAATCGTCAGGGATAACAAATAATACAAATCTAAAGGATGCAAGTATGTAATTCATAAGTATGTACAATCATAAAACCTCATTGACATAATACCCTCTCATAAGCATATAGATCCACATAAAAGCTCGAGGAGCTTCCCATCTTCAACAATATCATTCAAACCCGTTCCTCATCTCCACAGTACTGGGCATCGTCACTGCGGCCAATAAGTATCAACCATATGTCCACCATACGGCACCGCCTCATACTCAGAATACGCCTTCTCAAACTCCATACTCCAAACCCCATGCGCGCCGCGAACCGAGTACTCCCCCTTCCGCCATTTCTTCTCGTCCTCTTTATACGACGCCGCCCCAACATGCTGCATCTGCGGCGGCGAAATCGCCAACCGATCAAACCCATGTTCATTCGCCAGCCGTTCCAGCGTAGAATCCACCGGCTTCGGCTTCGTTGCATCCTCCATGTTCTTCATATACTCTAGAATAGCAGGAGTCTTCTCCCGAGGAAAAACCAGCGCCTGCGAACAACACCCATGTCGATTCATCAGATGCACCCCCGGCCGCATGGGTCTCTGTACTGTCACCCGCCCAGAGGCAAAATACAACATGATGACCGCCGGCACGGCGCCGAAACAAACAAGCCCCAGAAAGGTGTTCGAGAGGATCTCCTGGGCGGGGCGCACGGTCCTTCTCAGAGTAAGACAGAGTGCGGCGACGGCGACGGTAGCTGCAAGACTCCAGAGGAGATAGACCTTCCAGTTCTCGGCGTTCCAGCCGAGGAACTTCTCAGTGTAGAAGAGACGGAAGTAGAGCCAGTCGGGGTTTATGATGCCGCGACGGACCCATTCCTCGATGCTGCGGAGGGTTTGAGTGGTGGTTGGGAACCAGTTGCGCTGGGCGACGACGTCATCTTCCAGCATGAGGAAGTAGGGGGCGTCAGTGGTGTCGTAGCAGGAGCGGAGGGAGAGGGCGTAGTCGATGAGGGATTTCTCCGGGGTGAATTTTTTATTTCCTTCTAGGGTGCGGAGGTAGGATGTGGTGTAGGAGATGTTTTGCGTCTCGTAGGTTAGGATGCGGTTGACTGTGTTGTGTACCCAGGGGTGGTTGTAGTCTGGGTGGTCTGTGGGTGTGGTGAGGGCGAAGAGGAGGTGGATGGAGATTTGGGAGCGCTGGTGTTGGCTTAGGCTGTCGATGAGGGAGGCGATGGTTGAGTCTATATTTTGGGCGAGGGGCCGTTTGACGGTCACAATGCCCACGCAGAGGTCTACATGTTCCTTTGTTGACGGTTGGTTATGGGGGTCTGTGGGTGTGATGGTTGTTTGGTTGTAGCGCGAGAGGTACTGTAGGGATTCTTGGATTCGGGTGAGGCTGTATGTGGGACGGTAGCCTTCGTGTGGCTGGAAGAAATATGAGCCTGGGTCGCGGGCGGAGTTGGCGCGACAGATGAAAAAGAGGATGAAGTAGAAGATGGCGAAGGTGACTAGGGAAAGCCTCTGCTTTCTGTTAAGGAGACGACGCATTGGGACATCATTCTCGTGAGATATGTCCAAATCCACGGGAATAATATCGATAAGAGTAGGGCAACTGAGATCCGGTAGTAAAGTATGTACCTGGTCCCCTGGGACTTGGGGCGGGTTAAAAAGGTTTAGATCGGAGTCCGTCCGTCGTGAGAGACAAGGAAAAACCCAAGATCAAAGTAAGAAACGGGGCAGGCGCATGGGGGTGCTTACAATAATCATGGGAATTTTTCCTTGAAGGATATTCCAGACGAGAAAAGGGACTAGACTTGTCGGATCTTGACCCGATTCGGACAAGAAAAGTGGACGCTAAATGTCTTGGGTCCAGAAACAAGCAACGGGGCTGTGGAGTGTCAGTCGAGTCGTCACTCCTATCAAGCTCATGCTGCAGGTGGAGCAACCTTTTTTCAGTCCCGTGTTACTATCTTAAGTGGTGTCTTCACTAAGCAATTACACAGCATCAGCCCTGTTGGGTTTCACTGGATTATCTGTTGCAATTGGTGGGAAGGTCAACTGGCAGGGACCATTTTCCATTTCAGTTGATTGCCCAACTGAGACATTCTGATCGAATTGATGCAAGATCGTCCCCCTCCATAACACCATTTTCCCGTTTTAGGGCTTTTCACGCGCTCAATAATGTGTCGGTCGCGTCGGGATTCCGCGACAATCTGTCATCGGCATTCCAGTTGAGGCATGGCAGGAGGCTGTACTTTTCGGACGAAACTCTAAAACATATACGAAGTGCTCCTCATGTCAAGCGTGGTCCTTTGGTCGCGAGATTACACACGGTGTACATTGGCTACCAATTTAAAATAACGCGATGGGAGACACAAGTAGCGGGATTGACAGGCTATGGACCAAAAAGCATGTGTGTGTATAGACTTAATAGCCTCGGTCCGATATAAGTTATGAATTTTAGTGGGTTGAAGAACAGGGGTCTAGAAAAGATAAGAGAGGTGGAGAGGGACGGAGAAAAAAAGGGACTCCCTCCCCAAAAAGAGGGGAGGAAAAAGATGTTGACGAGAGTGGGATTTGAACCCACGCCCCTTTCGAGACTGGAACCTTACTCCAGCTGAGAGATTATTAGTTGATTTGTTCGTAAAGATAAGCATTTAATAGTGGTACTAACCGCCTTAGACCGCTCGGCCATCTCGCCGTAGTTGAGTTTCTACTTTCAGATATTGCTATGTCATCCCAAAACATACAATGGAAAACAGCAAAAGGAAAACAATACCGCAGAATCTTCCACCAGTCAGCTCCAAACTCAGTCACGGCTATCTCAGGGTGACTGGGTATAAATTTTATTCTATAGCTTGCATTTAATATCATGGGTAACTGGGTAACTCTTACACTGAACCCGGTTTTCACCCAGATACAAAATAACCTGAGCTCTTTCTTCCATCGTGGTATTTATAGGTCGGTGGTACATTATATATAAAGTTAGACATCTGCAGTATTATCGAAGAATTAGCATAGCCCTTCTGAACACCGTGTATATATACTAATCGGCGTACCTAGTGAGGGCTACATAACTCTCCTGCAATGAGCTTGATGGACTATAGACGTAAGTCAGATGCACCATGAGCATGGCAAACAGTATGCATCATGCATAGAGGGCAAGGGGCGCTAGGAGGGCTCTCCGATGATAGATACTAGAGGTGGAAAACGCTGCGATATTGGAAAGTAGTCATCCATAGATACGATACTTCGAGGAAAGTGTATGTCACGAGCTGACTCCATGAAGATGAGAGAAACAAGAATATGGAAACAAAGCAGAAACCTAGACCAGCGAAGCTAACCGCCCGTTGTCCTGAAACCATGTAACTGGCATTTGTACGCATTTCAAACCCCAAAGAGAGGTTAACTGTTATCGATTAGGTATTTACACAAGATGGAAGTATGGACCTTTATGCCCCTCGCCATATGAACAAATTTGGAGCCAATCTGTGAAATTGTCCCTCACCCAGGCATTATAGTTGAAGTTCCCCCCACAGGTATCATGCAGACAGTTCATTCTCTTTTGGTGTTCATCATAGTCCGCATACTCGAGTCTGGTCCATGCATCACATAAACACTTGATATCTTCTCTCTTTGTATTATTCTTAGCTACCTCACCACCGCAGCTTTGGTTCCCGATAACAACATATCACTGATAATCGTGTTCGCAAGACTGCATGAGTACGTTCTCCATTGTATTGATTTAATGTTCTTGGTAATCTGGGTTGATTCTGGCATAAGGCTAGTCTTCCTCCCTGTAGGGCATGCATTGCGCACCTGAGCCAGGATAATGTGATGGTTTAATTCCTCTTTCTTTCTTTACCTCCTTAACCCCCCTCCTCCCTCCCTGTCCCTCTCATAGGCGTTTCCAACAATACTCATAGACACGTTTCCTATTGGCCTACTCCTGCATTAACAATTCAGATGTGTGTTTACTGGTGTAGGGTATTCCCGTATATAGTGTGTCGATAATTTGACTGGCCGGGGTGCTAATGGCTAAGCTTTTCAGCAATTTAAGCGATGCAACATAATATGGGACAGTTCCCATTGCAAAGAGAGGCGAAGCCCCATGATTCATTTTATCTTTACCAAATGCCAGACTGAAACTGTGAAAAGCCCAGCACGCCCGAAAAAGCTCGCCACGGACGAAGGCAGAAGGGTAATAGCAAATAGGCTACAGGGAGAGCAAAGATGAGAGGACTTTCAGCAGTTACACGGAATTATCTTCGGCTGCACAGGATAATGCATCACTGCGAGCCTGGAATGCCTCCATGGGCACGATGATTGGCATGTTTGAAGAAGATGATATGTCTTCGTAGAGCAAGACTTTGACTGAGAGCAAGTACAAGGCTCACATTGGCAACTTGTTTGAGGGCAAGTTCATGTACACGATGAAGGGATCTGCAGCAAGGGAAATCCAAGTGAGGGTGAGCGAACGTATGCAATAAACCTTGGCGAGGACAGCTCTGAGGAGTGTAAACTACAGTATCTCGCATAATGTCCTCTCCCCAGATAACTACAATGGCATCACCAGCGGCCAAGTTATGGACGGCACTTACTGCACGAGTGAAGCACCCGGTGGTGATCATAAGAATAAGGAGTGATCTGTCCCGATTGGCAAAGGTGCCCTAGGCAAAGCAACCGACGCCTGTGGCATCGAAAATATTAAGACCCCGAGATTAAGATTATCGTGTCTATGGTGCAGATTTGTAAACAGAACTCGCTCCACGTATTATGGCAGAGAAAAAAGAGCCCAGTAAGTCTCATATCCTTTTTATCTTTACGCAGTATACTGGTATAATCTAGTAATATTTAGTACTTAGTTTTCTCTACTGTCTAATATTAGTTCACCCTTTTTCTTCTCTTATCTACTTATTTCAAAGTAAATATTCACTTCAATTATGTATTGGCCTTAAACTAAGAAACAATATCCGGTTACCTAGTAAATATATGATTATTTTAAGAATATAGAATAATCTACGAGACGACTCACTAGTAAGAAAATCCCGAGGACCGGCTTCTCCGCATTTAATTTTGCGGGGGATCGGACTTTTGACTCCACCCCCATGAACTACGCAGTTACCGAGCATGCCTCGGAAGAAGCCTCTCTATCAGTAATCACGCCTATTGCGCACCACACCGATTATTATATCCTGTATTGAACATAACAGATGAGGGGTTCCTAACCACTCAATATAAACAACACCACGCCCCACATAAAGTATATATATATATAAAAAAAAAAAAAAGGAATGGCAGCAGATACACCAACAAATCCATCCAACATTGACACAAAGTACACCAAGATGTCCTCAAACACACCATCCATTGTGATCCCTCCTTCCTACGAGAAGCTTCCGACGACACATATCAAGGTATCTCATTACCCGGCAGGGGCTGAAACCGCAACACCCGTTGTAGTGGTCATATTGAACCGTCCGGAGAAGCGCAATGCCTTTACCGGGCCCATGGCGGAGGATCTGGAGAGGGTTTTTGCCATGTTTGACTTGGATGAGCGGGTTAAGGCAGTTGTCTTGACTGGTGCCGGAAATACGTTCTGTGCTGGTGCGGATTTGGAAATTGGATTCCCGGAGGGACGTGATGAGAGGCCGGTGGATCATAGAGATAGGTAAGTTTGCATATTGCCCTAGTAGGATTGTCTTTTCGATTGAATGATACATGCTGAAATTGATACAGTGGCGGCCGAGTAGCCCTCGCAATCCACCGCTGCAGCAAACCAACCATTGCCGCAATGCAAGGCTCTGCCGTCGGCGTGGGCATGACCATGACTCTACCTGCTGTAATCAGGTAAGCAATTCCATCACCTACTAACTAACTACACACCAGACAAACCCTACAAAGCAATACTAACAGAAGTCCTCTTACAGGGTCGCCCATGCAACCAGCAAATACGGCTTCGTCTTTGCCCGCAGAGGCATCACCATGGAATCCTGCTCAGCATACTTCCTCCCCCGACTAATCGGCTACAGCAAGGCTCTCTACCTGGTGTCCACGGGAAGTGTTCTTCCCTCCACGTCTCCGCATTTCGGGGGCTTGTTTGCCGAGACACTCCCCGAGCAATCGGAGGTCCTGCCGCGGGCGTTGGCGCTGGCGACCGACATGGCGGAGAATACGAGCACGATGGCGAACGGACTGAATCGGGCGCTTATCTGGCGGGGGCCTGAGTCGGCAGAGGAGGCGCATTTGTTGGATTCGCCGATTCTTTATCATATGTTTGGGTCTAGGTATGTTTGTTTTGTCTTTTCTTTTCTTTTCTTTTCTTTTCTTTTTTGTTGTGTTTTGCTTGATTTTGAGACTTATTTGGGTTTTGATAGGGATAACAAGGAAGGTGTTGTGTCTTTCTTTGAAAAGCGGAAGCCGAATTTCAAGGATACGCTGGTGGATAATGGACCGGCGATTTATCCTTGGTGGTCTGAGGCGGATATTAGCAGGAAGCCGAAGATTGTGAAGGGGGATTCTAAGTTGTAGAACGGAAGCAAAGAGTATCTCTTGTCTTTGAAGCTGCGTCTTCGGCACCAGGGTCCAGAGTGGACTGAATTGGCTATACTCGGGAAGTAGTTCCCGACTGGCCATACAATGTCAATAAACAAGCATAATGAACCCATACAGGTTAAATTTAGTAAAGGAAGTAATCGCTCAGATACAGATCGACATTGTCAGAATACTCATACAGGAAAGGGGTGCAGGAACCACAAACAAAGGAAATAAGGACCGGAATGTAAAATGCCATAAAAGAAACCCAGGCTACGGGCTTCTATGTTAATTGTTCGCCATCACAAATGCAAGAATGACTGTATTTAGATGATAAAGTTGCGCCTCTTGCGGTTATACACACGCTGATCCTTCAGCCACTGGCGGTATCCCTGCACGCTACCGATTTTCTCGCCGTAGTAATCAGGGACGGGGTTCGCGATGGAGTTCGAAGAGGGATCAACGCGGAAGCGCTTGATTCGGTCATAGAACTCCTTCTCTTTCTGTGATGGGATTCGGGTTAGTAACAATGTGACCAACCAAGCAGATCGATCGTAGACCGAGAAGGAGAGAACTCACGATCATGAAAGCCTGTTTATACCGCCGATTAACCAACCCCCACGCTGCATTACCAACAAAGGGCCCAATAAGCCATCCCACAGCACCACAAGCCGCGGTAGCCATTCCCAGAACAACGAAGGGGTCCAGACCCATCACCTGCGCGCCCAAGGCTTCAAGATCCTGGCTGGAAAGAACCTGCACACCAATGACAGTACTAGCCATCGAGGACACAACCGAGGAAGCGAGCGAATAGCGACGACGAGAGGCGCGGAGCTGGAAGAACTCGTTCCAGGACAGCTTGGCGGCTTCCTTGCGAGTTGCCTCGGAGACTGTGGAGTTCGCCCGCATTGATGCAACACGGTAAGTTGGCATTTGGACCTGTGGACGAGCGCATGGCGCCTTGAAGCTGGTCTTGATTTGTGCGGAGGTACTGGCCGGTCGTGCCTGGCAGAGGGTCTGGTACAATGCCGTTGAATTGGCTGGGAATGCAACCGAGGGGAGGGCTTTGGGAGAAATGCGTCCGAACATCATTGCGGTGCGCACTGGGACGCTGATCGAAGTTGCGTGCATTTTGGAGGATGTTGTAGGCAAAATGCAGAGGTGATTGTCGATGTTGATGCGGAGTTGAGTTCGGGTTTGGCTAATGTAACGGATGGAGCTTTAATCGGATTATGTAAGCGGCATGGTTTCCTCATGGGGTATGAGGTCATTTTTTTTACGTTATTATGTGAAGATCCTGTAGAGAGTTTTTCAGTAAACAATGCATATTAGAATACTGCGATTGTATTTATTTAGGTAGTGAACGGCCCTGGTGGAGCTGATAATGCGGCTTTCTTTTTTCCTTTTCGGGCTTCCAGGACCTAATGGTAGCTCTTGCATATGCCTGGGCCTCAATTGAACTAATATATGCTTCGTTCACCACCTTTAACGTTGTATAATTGATCTATATTGAGAGTCACAAGGCATAGAGTGTAGCTGGAACTAGAGAACAAGATCATTATTCACGGTCCACCATCGTCGTATGCATACTTATATGTACATGGGTCGTACCATAACTACTGGGGTTCTAGTTGACCATGGCAGTGTCTGGAAGATGCATGCTTGTCCACAAGCTTGATAGGCAACATTATAATTTCGCCCGTGGCTCCGTCGACTTTCTTGCCTGATCCCTTAGTAGTCGTCGAAGTATTTTTCCGGATGAGCTTTTCGGGATTTCTTTCGTGAACACAACGCCTCCCCGAAGTTGTTTATGGCGCGCCATATTTGACTTGACGTGGGCCTTTGCTTCCTCCTCAGAAATGCTTCTATTGTTCTCTACCACGATATATGCTCGGGGAAGCTCGTTCCCCGGTGCTGATGGGTCTGGCACTCCAATGACAGCAGCATCTGCTACGCATTCATGGCTAAGGAGACAAGCCTCTACCTCTACTGGGGAGACCTGAAGTCCTTTGTACTTGATAAGTTCCTGGTAGTATATTAGCTTGTCACTGCAGCGTAGATATGCAGTAAGACATGAACTTACCTTCTTTCTATCCACCATGTAGATCTTGCCGTCCTTCCAGACGCCAATATCACCTGTTCGGAACCATCCATTGTCTGCGAAAGCCGCAGCAGTAGCTTCTGGGTTCTCGAAGTAACCCTTGGTGACCATGAGCCCTTTAACCAAGATCTCTCCCTCCATGCCTTGCTCAACATCCTTATCTTGCTCATCCACAATGCGAAGTCTCGTGTTTGGAAGCAAAGGACTGATACTCCCCGTGCTATCAGCCTGGCCCCAAGGCATCGTAGTTACGCTCCCAGTAGACTCAGTCATTCCCCAGCGTTGACTGATTGAACAACCCAGTTTCTCCTCCGCGCGTCGCTGGACCTCCGTAGGTAACGGTGCAGCCCCCGATTCCGCTCGGATCAAGCTATTAAAATGATCCGTAACTCGAGGACTCTCCGCAACAGCAAGATAGACCGGCGGCGCAGTGGCCAGAAACGTAACCTGGTACATTTTACAATAGTCCATGAACTGGTCAATGTTGAACTTTGGCATCCAGTACACAGTGCCCCCCGCAACGGCAGGAGTAATAAAATACCCCTGACAGCCTGCAATATGCGCAGTAGGCAGATGACCAATAGTTCGATAAGGGGCTTCAAGATGTGGTTTTCCCTTTCTGGACTCGCGAAGGACTAATTGCGGGATAATCGCCTCAGAAACAAGGTTCATGTGAGACAGCATAACGCCTTTCGGGGCCCCGGTAGTACCGCTTGAAAACAAGAGGCAGATGAGTCTTGTTTCTAGCTCGGTTCGATCTGTGACTCGTTCCCAGTTCAGCTCTTTAGTATTCTCGAGATAGTTTCTCTCAGGGTCAACAGTATCACGTAGTAGATGTCTGTGAGTTGAGCTCTTCAGAATCAGAACTCTTTCCGCGGGAATACCGCATGCAATCGCCGCTTTAAGAGCTTTCGCTTTATTGTCCGCACTAGCGATGATCAATTGGCTTCTTGACTGTTGGATCTGTCGAGATAGTTCTGATTGTGTAAAGGCCGTCGATGCTGCGGTGTATACACCTCCAGCGGCGATGATGGCGTAGAACACCGCTGGAAGAAGTACTTGGTTCGATGAGATACAGAGAACTGTGTCTTTTCCGGCGCCATTGTTTCCGATCCCAAAATCGGTGCGGAACACATGTGCGAGGCGCTTGGTGATGGTTCGGGCTTGGGCTTTGGTGATGTTGTTTGTTGGATCTGCAGCTTCGGCGTGGAGAACAGTGGTTTCCGTGGTAAATGAGAGAGGGGAATCTGGGGGTGGTGTTAGTTGTATAGTATCTAGATGATGGTACGGGGGGTTTATGTACCAAATAGTAAGGAGAGGAGGTCAATGTTCGGAATATCGTAGTCTTTCGCCGGGAGGTATTGCATGCTGGAGGTGAGCCACTACACAGATTAGACTCTTTTTGAATGGATTTAGTAATTGCTTGAGCCATGGCCTGTTAACGAACTGTTTATAAAGTTTATTTATATAACTAGTGATTTAGAGTCTCGGCTATAGAAAATGCGGGGAAACCCGAGGTTGGGGTTGATGCGCTGAGGGGAACAACACAACTTTCGAACTGTTTTATTTCTCTAAAACAACATGTATAATAAATCTATCGACCTATAAATACGAATGCTCTCTCTCTCTATATATATATAGAAGTAAAGTATAGAGTTCTGTTGCTGATGCCATTCGCTGAAGATGTTGAAGACAGAGAGTTCTAAATCTGACTGAGAAGGACCGCGCGGATTAAAGGCTGCCATTCTGAGAGATAGCGCCAGGGCGAGAATGCGGCTTAGACTGGGTCCCATAGCCATTCACGCGGCCGTAAAGCCACTTCAGGGTGCCGGTACTCAGAGCCATGACGACGGCGCTGAGGGCAAACAGTCCGATGCGGCCTTCAAAAGGAAGTTGCTCGAAGATTGGATAAGGGTACCTGGAGAGATTAGCGCTCGGCTAGCAGAATGCGTAAAGTAGTGTAACAAACCATCCATTATACGAGAAGCAACGTTCGATCCAGAACCAGTATCCAAAGGCAATGGTGCTGGACAAGCTGAGGGCGGGTAGGATACTAATCGTCCATGGTGGGGAAAGCAGAAAGAGATCGATCAGAAGGACAATAGACGGGATGGCATGGAAACTAATATCTTCACGGGAGACTGTATCAGTAGTGATCGTAACACCCGAGTATTTAACATCTGGACCTACCTGCGTTCAAAGGTATGACAGCCCAATCAGGTACCACCAAACGCTCATCGATCTAGTACAAGTTAACTGGCGAATTGAAACTGAGAGATTGGAAAGCCATATCGAGCACTGACCACGCGGAGACCCCAATACAGAATGCTGATCAGAACCTCCAAAGGTGCGCTGCATATCGACAGGAGGTTCTTGATCAAAAACAGTCGCGCGGATAAGGTTACGTCCGCTAGCAGACCAATCGCGAAGGTAAGCGTGGACAGGGATAACCCGATGACCGTCAGGTACTGAAAATGCCAGCCATATGCCTCATTGCTACCAAATGTTAACTGACAGGGATGTTTAAGGCCATGGGACTGGTAGCACCTACGCGTGGTTGGGATTTTCATGCATACTGAACGCAAGGATTAGCCTGAGTGACGACGATGACGTAGCAGCATCTCAACCGCGACCAATGGAGGCCGACAATCGAACATGATCCTATAAATAACTGAGAGACTCTGAACCTACTATTTAAAAGACCATACAAAACTGGAAAGTCCCAGTAACTAAAAGGAGGGTAAGTTAGCCAAGGGAGAAGAAGTCCAAGATTACCAAGCTAGTACATACATGAACCAAGGCAGAGAAGCCGCGAGAAGGACTGTGTATCCGCTGTAATGGGTGTTTCTTGAGAAGAGACTGGGCTGTAAAAGAAGTAAAAGCCATGGTTGAGTTTGCGGATAAGATAATCACCACCACCAATAATCGATAAACCACAAGAACTTCAAAATAAATTAACTCTGAGAGTCAATCTTAATTAGATGGTTCACTGACAATACCGACATGGATCTCTGGGAGGCGGCGGTGGCCGAGGATCCCGCCGCTAAACTGAAAGGGAGGGCCCCGGAGAAATAGATCACCCGTGTTCCGACCGGAGACACCAGCTTATCACCATTACGTATGGGTAACTCTGCCGCTATCACCTGCTCCACCGCCCACGATTCCGCCCCGGTTAATACGCAACTGCGATTGATTGAGACGGCCGATAGGTCGCCACCAATCTAAAGTGGTTATCTGCATCGTCTTTGGATATCCGATGCTCCACTGGCCAGTATCTCCTCCGCTTTTTCTCGTGTTTTCTTAGTCTCGCCCATATTCCGCCTGGTTTCACCAGCCGAACTTAAACGAGGCCCTTGTCTGTTGCAACAATCGATTGCTACTACTCCCTACTAACTACCACCGCACTAACAAACAGAGTCAGCCGTAACGGGGGACTTTCCCTTCACGCTTCCCGGTTGATTCTTCACACCGAAAGATTCTAGAAAGATAATCTCCAATTCGCCGCATTTGCTACCAGTAAAAGGAGTTTGCGGGCGCTTTCCCACACCTCGATGACCACGAATACTAGGTGTGGGTGCCTCGTTGATTATCGCTTTCTGTCCTCTTGGATTAAACCGAAACGCCCTACAAGGCGAAAAAGGAATATTTCCTCAGAGATCCTATCGGCGCCGTGAGCTTACATCTGGTCTGCATGGCGATCTTACTGAGCAGAGTGTGTCGGCACTATCTCAAGTCCCGGACTATTACTTCTTCTGGCCGTTATATCTTTTATTCCTCATCTTTTTATTTGGCCAATAATTATTGAAATCCAATGCCTCGCCCGAGAAGGCCTGGCGCTCCGGAGCCAAAACGAAGGTCCCGTAAAGGATGCTGGTGCGTACGAATACTGACGACGTGATAACTTCACGGTGTGTATATGAATTAGCTACTAAATCCCCAGGCTAGGCCATGTAAAGCACGCAAAGTGAAATGGTTTGTGTTCATCCTTTACGTTCTTTTTTCTTTTTTTTTTTTTTTAGCTAGTTCACTAATATTTTAGATGTAGCGGAGAAGAAAAGCCGTCCTGTTTGAATTGTCGACGTCAAAATGAACCATGTGACTACAGTATTAGACTGAACTGGGGAGGTAGGACGCGAAGAAGATCTTCCGTAGACTCTCCAAGCTCCCAGTCTAGCGGTCAGTCCGGACAATTCATACTAGCCTTCTCGCCATCAGATATGATGCAGCCTGACTCCACGCTGTTAGCTTCGCCCTACAAAGATACTGGTTCCTTGGGAGGAGACACTGCAGGGGACCATGTCGCAGAGAGTCTGTTTTGGGAAGCTGGGTATACAGGGGAAATGGCAATAGGAACGTCTTATCCTAGAGGGCTATATGATATCCATGAATCTTCCGCTATCCCTGACCAGTCTCTTAATCCTTCCACACGTACAACTGGCAAGAGCTCAGTAGATATGAGTCCACCGTCACCGGGGAAGGACGCAGCTGCCTCGTGGTCAGGCTTGTCCCCTAACATGACCACAGTGGTGTCCAGAGAGGCGGCTCCCAGTTACCCGTCGTCAATCACACATTCCCTGGACGATTTCTCTTACCCGTCGCCGGCTGATACGGGCTCCAGTATTGGTTCTTTTGCCCCTTTCACCTTTTCGCCAGCTACCATGTCGCAGCCCAACTCGTTCCTTCGACATGCTGCAGACGTTCCCGAACAGCCTTTGAGCCATTCATCGCCCGGACAAGGCGGTACACCAGATCAGGGGTATCCTCACTCACAGTATTCATCTCCTACCGATGTCGTTAGTGCCTATGCCCCTTACCAGTCTCAGAGTCCCTCAGACCCTCACGAGGGTGTGTCCCCTCTTTCTAAGAATCCACAGCTTCTTGCATCATCTAGTGTGGTCCATGATACCGAATCGATTCCAGCGGGCGTGGCTAGTAACTCGGAGGACTTCTTCAACAAAATCATGAATAGCCCTGTATTATCTGAAGATCATCCGCAGGTCCATACCAGCGAGCCACTGGCCACTGGCCATCCTAAGCTCTCGAGTATGGACCATGAGGCTGATGTGCCCGGAGGGCTTTCGAGTGCAGAAAGGAAGTGGCATGCTTATCTCACCAGCGTTACAGATAATTATGGTTTGGACTGTGGCCGTCCGGATCTAGATTTGAATAAGAATGACGACCATTCGGCCATTGACATCAATTACGCCCTGGATTTAATCAACTCACAAAGTGAATCGTCTGCGGCGTCTAACGATCGTCCTGGCAATTCCTCGTCCGCGGAGCTAAAACCAATTAGTTTAGATGGCGCGAAGTTTGCTTATTACGCATCACCTGTACCGATCAATATCCCGCGTTATTTATCGCCGTTGCCACCAACTCTAGTGCAAACGCCTATCAATCTGATGTACTTCCATCATTTTATCAACCATACAGCGAGAATGCTAGTTCCGCACGACTGTAGCGATAATCCATTTGTTTCTGTTCTACCATCAAGTGAGTCACGGACGTCTGCTTTCTATTCTTGTTGATCATTCTACCCTGTGCCAGTATGCTGACCTAACAGTGGCTATTGGGGATTCGAACCTACTGAATCTTATGTTAGCGTACTCCGCTAGTCACCGTGCGAGATATCTGGAGCATCCAGAACCTGCTACTCGTATCGCGCACTTGGTCAGCAATGTCTTTCCTGCATTGCGCTTAGCACTGGAAGATCCGCATGAGAAAGTTACTGATAACCATCTTGCCACGGCCATCATGCTTCTCTCCCTGAAGATCATATCACCCAGTACCTTCGAAGTGCCAATTCCTTGGCAAAGCCATCTTAAACTTGCCCGGGAACTCTTCCTCGCACGTCAAGAACAAATGACGTACCCCGGAAATCGCATTGGCCCATTCCTCGCTCGCTGGTTAGGGTATCTCGACATTATGGGAACCCTCTCTTGCCGACACACGGAACCACCGTTGTCTGAATACTACTCGCTTATAAGCACATGCTGCTCAGCTGAGGGACTGGATGAATACTGCGTTGACTGTTTCTCTGGTTTCACCCCCCGAACGGGTCTGTTTTTGACCAGGCTGGCGAAATTGGTCCATCAGTGTGACAACGAACGATTTGATGAGATGGGAATATGGATTTCCGGTTGGAGGCCTTCGGCCAGTATCATTCTTGAAGCGCAAGAATTAATCAACGAGCTTGAACTGCTCCGTACCCGCGCTCACGCTAGCTCAAGGCATTTCCGGGAGTCAGGAGCTACAGACATCATCGCTAGTGATAAAACATTTTATTACGCAGGTTTATTACATCTCCACCGACGCGTCTTGGGCACATCTCCGTTTTCCACACCAGTCAAGGAGGCTCTGGATGGGCTTAGAGAGGCCCTCGCACAAATAAGATTCGGGGCATCTGCTGAGGTCGGAACCCTCTTTTGCTTGTTCACTGCGGGTTGTGAAGCTCTTGACCCTGGACAGAGAATGGAAATCCAGGAGCGATTCGAAGTTCTAGAGAAAACTGGCATGAAACAGGTTAGTCGCTTTAGGTCCCTTGTTAGAGTACGGTGCTGACCAACATTTCCGTAGATCCAACATGCTCGCAAATTAATGCAGCGTTGCTGGGATGAGAATATGCCATGGATTGCCTTGGCTCGAGGGGAGTTTCTTGGATAGATACAATGAATGTGAAACCATTGTGGCTTTTATCCTCATCGGAGTAGATGGCAACGGTGTGTGGTTTACATTAATAAGTTGAACAGAAACCTAAGAGGACAACAGTAAAAAACGCGTATTAGTGTCAAATGGTGGTGAACTATTAGATTCAAATCTGAAAGAGGATGTAGTAAGGGAAGCTGTTTAAGTAAATAACCCCTTTATATTGGGCTCATAAGCATTCTGTGTGATGAGCTGATAGATCATGTCCTAGAACTACTTGTGAGGTGGACTGATATCTGAACCGACACTTTGATCCAGATCTCACCATAGCAACACAACACAGCCCGGACCAAGGTCTACAAAAGAACCCCGGTATCATTTGGAACTAGCGTTTCACGAGCAACAGAGACCTGAGATAATTCTATAAAGTGATATAAACAAACATTCTGACTGTAGACAACATCCTCACCGCCTTGGAGTATGTGTGAACAGCCCTGCACTGAATTGCCCAAAATGGAAGGTTGCCCTTGTCTCATCTTCAGTGCTTTCAGTGCTACTGCCATTCTACTCTTCACGTTGCTACCCATTCTCCTCACGCTCTACGTGCTCCAACACCGGTTCCTGCACCGGATTGAGGTCCTCATGACTCCCATGGCAGACTCGGTGACTCCCGAAGCATGTCAGGGCATAGAGGGGACCAGCCATCCTGACAAGGCAACGCCTGACGCGCAGGAAGTTACTGTGTCTCCTACTCCAGAGTCGCGTCGAAATTCGAACTTGATGGATATCCGATTGGAGGACATCCAGGTTCCGGCTCTTCTGCCACGAATCACCAAGAAGATACCGGGGCCCGTCACCACCAGCGCCATTGTCAAACTGGCCGAGGAGCTTCACCTGGGAGGGCCTACTCCATTGCTGGATGGTGGATTGGACCACCTGCAAATTCCTACGTTGGAGCTCAAGCGTGTAAGCTGTTTCTATCCATAACTACCCTCTGCACAGTGTCTGTGTAAGTTTCGATTCATGAAAATTCATGCTAACCTTCCAAAGAACTCACCCCCAGCCCAGCTTGCTAGAACCTCCGCTTTCGGCGCCGAAGGAAAATCAGAAATTGTTCCATGGGATGGTAAGATTCGCTGGGCTATAGAGGGTCCCAGTGTCTTTGATGACGAGGAAGATGAGCTTGGAGCATTCTACTTCCGTCCCAATCTCTTGTCTCGTCATCCTTTCTCGGACATTTGGATGTTTCAGTACGGACTGCGATATGTTCCAGCTAAGGACGATAGAAACGTGTATCGTACCGTCCGGATCGAAAATCTCCCGTCAACTCTAACCCTGAAGGATGTTTTGCCTGCCGTTAGTGGTGAGATTTTCTCAGCCCGTCTCACGGATACCACTCCCATCGTGGGATCTAACACCGCGATTCTCACGTTCGTTTGGCAGTCCGATGCTGCTCGTTTTGCTCAGGCTTCAAGGAATGGTATACACTTCGGTCCTACAGTGGCAAAGGTTGTCCCCGTCAACACTCCAACCTACCCCATCTCAGCTGAGTTGAAGCGATTGATCTTCAAGGAAGGCTACACACGCTGCCTCTGTGTGTCCAGTTTGCGTGAATCCCTGAAGAGTGAAGTTCGTCGTGTTATGGAGAAGTCTGTTCACTCCGAATATATCGAGAGGATTGAAGACGGTCTTGTGCTGGGGGAGACCTACATTCGGTTCCATTCGATCAAAGTGGCCGCTGCGGCGTGCGATCTACTGAAAAATCACCCGTGCTTTACCAAGTGTGCCTTTCGTTTCCTGAAGAAAGCCTCAGACATGCGTAGCACTGTTGCCGGAGAACGCACCTTTGGAACCAAAGTGCAGGAAAAGCGCCCTCGCATCGGGATTTGGGATTAAGTTGCAGTCTTGAATATTCATCTTGAATATTCTTCGTACAACGTGTACATTCCGCCATTCTACCATGCACTGTATTTATTATCTTCTTACATGTTTTATTTCAAGCGGCAACATAATAACAAATAGTTAATGCATGGTCAATTTATGTTCAATTTATCTCGAGATCCCCGCAACTTTTACAGAGCGGTGGAAGGCAATTTTCTGGGCTGATACGGGATTCCACTTCTACATAATTCAGAGCTTAGTACTTCAACTGGCCGATTGATGTACTTTGTATTGATGGCTGATCAATATTTTTTAAATTTTATTCTACGATGAGCATCCCCCTCGACATCAGTCGCAGTCCACGAAAGAATCTGGAAAAATAGACCGGATAGCATACATAAGAGCCGAGGCTCACCAGATCAAACTATGCTTGATTGCTGACAAGATTGGAAGAAACAGTTACTCATCGAGTCACTATCGATGTTAAGCACATACTTGGCGACACAGCAGTTATACGTTCCGGATATTGTAAGAGTACTTTGGCACGTTTATCAGCAAAGTTGTTTATTAGGGTATGATCCTCTGTTATATCTGCGCAATAGCCGATAAAAGTATCAGAACGTATTGCACCATTTTTCTGCAGTTGTAAATGTGGAGACAACTCCTTGTATCCATACCTTGATCATAATTGGTTGAATAATATTGTGATATCTCCTGCATCGCACATGATCTTGTCACAATCACGTCAACAAACAGAGCTGAAGTAGTGATAGTAGTTATCTCTTCCATGGCGTGTGATCCTTTCTGGGATTAATTGCGCCAAATACTATTGGTTTGCTAAATATAGTCACTCAGCTTGATGCGGGGGGATATCCCGAATTAGCTAGCTTTGAAATAGGTCTTCAGCTCTGATCTAAATGTCCATGAACTAATAGTACTGCCTAAACAGTAGCTGCATAATAGCCATCCTTATCGTGGACTAGTTCTTACATACTAGCTGAAGTGGGGTCTGCATTCATAGTAGAAGTAAACAGAAATATGATATATGTATGCACCGTGAGCGATGCTCCATTAATCAACTTCTACCGAGGTGGGTGGCAATGATCTGAGATTATTTATAAGGAAGTCAGTGATTGCCGGCCCAGCTAGCTCATAGGCAGAAGGCGCCTTCAGATCACAGATCTTTGTTGGTCTTTCTACAATGGCATTTTCCCTAGCAGGGCACAGCTCCGCGTACTATGGCTTCCCTCCGTCATCCACCAAAGCATTCCAGGTTATGCAGATTAAACACTTGGTCAAGGAATATCTGGAAAGTATCCAGTTCGGCGCAAACACGCCGTACTTTAAGGACGAGGCCCTAGAGGAGACGGTTTGGGGCTATTTCCACAGCTTGAACATGGGCGAGAAGATTGAGAGATCATTGCAGAAGATGCTCAAAATTACCGTAACGTTTGTCCATCAGGCTTACACATCGCTTCCATTCGAGATCAAAATTCAGTGCTCCATTCAGGGGTTGTACATGTTTCTTGTTGATGATGCGACGGAGGAGTTTACGGAGGACTTGCAACAATTTGGACAGAAGTATGTCTTCTTATCTACTCTTCCTTTTTCACTGTTCATATACTCTTATATTGATGACTTTGGTAAGTTTCCTCTTAAACAAAGGTCACCGGAATCCTATCTTCAGCAACTTTGATGCACATCTACGTAGTCTAAGCCGCCACTACGGGCCGTACTGCCATTCGGTGATTATCAAATCCATGTTCGACTACATCAATGGACGTGTTATTGAACACAAAATGGAGCAGTCGGGGTTTAAATTCTCCCCAAACACTCGCTTGATGCCCATGTTCCTGCGCACCAAGACCGGTGGTGCTGAGATCCTCTTCCATATGCTTTGGCCGAAGAGCCTGTTTCCAGAAGAGCAATATCTCATGCAGTACTTCCCTGTTATACAGGAGATGGTGTTGTTTATTGACTTCACTAATGACATTCTCTCGTATTACAAAGAATGCTTCATTAATGAGGAGAAAGGAAATTTTGTGTCAAACTTTGGACAAGCACACGGAATGGACCGCATGGATGTCTTGAGACAGTTGGTGGAATATACTCCACAAGTACGTCCTATATCTTGATTTTCTTGAAACAGGTCTAATGAAGTTTCGCTTTAGGTACTTGCCGCTGTGTATAGAGCATTGCAGGATAATGAGGTTCTGCGGAAGCCAATAGAGCAGTTCGTCACCGGCTGGGTCAGGTTGATGACAGCCCATAGACGCTACCACCTGGTGGACCTATTTGCAGACGAGCAGTATTTGCCGCCCTACGAGAATGACGCATGATTATTGTGCCTCCAACTATATCTTGCTGTATAGAAATCAATTTAGTCTTAGCAACCTGTAATTGCCCAAACCTACCTCAGCTATTTCGATATATTATCCTTTCAAGAACCTATTCAACCACCCCTTTTCACAGACCGTTTCTATCGTCAATAATCTTGATCTCCCACTGTAGCTTCTGAGCCTACGCTTTCTCATATTACCCAGTATACCCTTTCCATACCCAGTCCTCGAAACCACACCTAACATTCTCCCCACTAACATCATCCCACCTCCGATAAGACGAGCATAGAACCCGACGCTGCGTACTCGTATCGGAAAACTGGCCAATTTCCGTTCGGAACCGTATTTAATTGAGGAACTCAAGTAGGTCAATATACCCATAAGTTGCCCGAATTGCTCCCGTAGTAGAACAAATATATATTCGAGGGCGCTTTGAGTTTTGAGTGATCGGTCATGGTTGAGGTTTGATTATTGTGAGGATTGAGTATTAAGTATATGATCTGGTTCTCTTTTGATGATTAAAACAATATCTTGGAGTTCATATCCTTGTTTCAGAAATTTTATGTACTAGTGATAATTTATCCCAATACCACTCGACCAAAACAATCATATGGCGTCACGGTCGTGCCCATATCAGCTGTAGATTAGATCTGATAAAGCAACCCTGAAAGACCCACCAACTAGTAACTCTAACCGATTTAAATCTCCGCCCCGCCGTCCCGCCAAACCACCTCCACCATTTAATCTCAATGTCAATCTGATCTCCAACACCACCACCACAAAAACCCAAACATGCCAATCATACAATGACCCAACCGCCACCCCCGACAAACCTGCCAAACCCAACGACCCCAAAAATGCGCTCCCAACTATCCCCCACCCTCCTAACAACCCTCTTCACCTCCCTCACCCGTCCCACCACAAAATGGACCCTCCACCGCACCCTCAAAAGCGACAACCCCCTCGACATAAACGGCGACCTCCACGGCACAGCAACCTTCACGCCCCTCCCCACCTCTAAACCAAATACAAACCCAAGCACCAATGCACAAAACCCACCATCACCAACAAAGGACCTCCTCTACCACGAAGAAGGCGAAATGCCCGCCCCACCAGGTCTCCGCGCGAACCTCGGCGTCGGGGTAGGCCTGCGCTTCACGAAGAAATATATCTGGCGGTTAAGCGAGGCAGGGACTATCAGTGTTTGGTTTGCGAAGGTGGGGGGCGGCGAGGATGAGCCGGATTATTTATTCCATGAGTTTGAGTTCCGTGAGGAGGGTCAGAGTCAGGGTGAGGGTGATAAGGAGGGGGAGACGTTTGTGGATGCGCCGATGCCTCCGTTGGTGGATGGGGAGGATACGGTGGTTTTTAGGGCGAGGGGGAATCATCTGTGTATTAATGATATGTATCGCACTGCTTATGCTTTTCGGGTGAGGGGAGAGGATGGGGAGGTGGTTAGTTGGGCTAGTCGGCATGTTGTGAAGGGGCCGAAGAAGGATCAGGATATTGTTAATTTTTATCGGGTGGGTTGAGGGGATGTTTGGGATAGAGGGTAGATTTGTGGGCGGCCTCTGCGGTTGCGGGTTGAGGGTAGGGTTCATGTGGATACTAGACTGCCGCATGTAAATAATATACGTTGTGATAAGAGTAGTAGGGACTCGAAGTATTGGTATGCTTTGTTTTCATTTCTAATTGCTAACTTTTTACAGACTATCATGCCCCGTTGCTCTTCTCCATAACGGTCTTCAAGATAATCTCACAGTTAGGCTTCTTGGCCCAAGGGTCAACGCTCTGTTCAATTCCATCAAGTGTGACATTGACCATCTTGGCACCTGGGGCATACAAAGTCCAGACATCTGTCCTATTATCCTGCTTTAGATTTCCTGTAGTAAACTTTAGGACCTCGGACTGAAATTGCCTGGCAAGAGAAACGTTCTCCACAGGCAATCCAACTCCCTCTCTATAGAAATAGTCTATAACCGTCAGTATGCTTGCCACATAAGGTAATCAGATAATAGAAGAACATACAGGTCAAATCCAATCCATGAGTAGCCGGCGGCACCGAAAACAAATACCGTTGAGTTCTGTTCCCATAAGCCTTTGCAACAGCTCTCGCATTGCAGGCGAAAACCACGTCGGTTGTCCAAGTGTTCGCAACCAGTTGTAGCTGCGAATCTGGGTAGGGATACATGTCCCGGATGTGCTGAACGGTAGAATTACTTGCTCCCGGTACCAGGCGTCGGACCAATGTGGCAAAGTCTTTGTACGTGCTGACTTCTGAAGTCATCCCAAATCCTTCTGCTGCCATGTTTCCAGACATTACCGCTTGAACATTCTTGTGGTAATGGCCTTGTTGGAGCATGACGGGGACTGCATCAAGAAGGTATTTCCCGTCGGGGAACGGCCCGATACCAATCCCAGGACCAAAGGTGCCTCCTCCCGAGCCGCCAGGGAGATCTAGAACTTTTTTATTCGTGGCGGCCAAGGCGGATGGTGTTGCATTCCTAAGACAGGCGAGCGACGAGCAGTTCGCAGCTTGGAGTGCTCGGTCATAGACCTCCTGGCGACGCTCTGTTACGTTCCTTCTCGGCATGAGAGCAGGGGATGACAGAAATGCCTTTTCCAGTCAGTGAAAAGTATCTATCTTCGCAACATGGAGAAAGAAAGCCTACCTTCTGGAAAGGAAGTGTACCGTTCCCACCATTCCCTACGAGCATCATGGCAATCATAGCAGCTCCCGCGCTCTGTCCCCCGACAGTGATATTGTCAGGATCACCACCGAACCGAGAGACATACTTCTTCGTCCACTCCAACGCAGCAATACCATCATGCAGCCCCACATTGGCATCCATATCTTCATGCGCAGAGGATACCCACCCGTACAACCCCATCCTGTAAACACGATCAGCCACGCTCACATAAGTAAGCACCGGAAGGGAAACAAACCGATAATTACTCGCCACAAAGATAAACCGATTCTCCCCTCCTTTAATCAAATCCATCAGACCAAAACCATCCCCGAACAAATCCTTACTTCCAAATGCGAACGCACTCCCGTGCAGCCAGTGTAGAACCGGCACATTGTCCCCCTCACGCACACCCTCCGGCACCCACACATTCAGAAAAAGACAATCCTCCTGCCCCCAGGTGGTGCCGTTGATTCCCGGAAAAGGAGCCTGCGAATTCACACTGCTGACACAATCACTTGTTGCGAGTCGATCTCGACCATCCTGGGTGCCGTCTTCGTGGGGCGGTGGAGTGACTGGTTTACGGAAGCGGTGAGCTCCGGTGGGTGGCTGCGCAAAGCGGATGTTGTTGTAGAGACCGATTTTGGTGCCGGATTTGGTGGTGTTGATGAAGGTTGGGGTATGAGTTGCATAGCCTAAGTCTATCTGGGGGAAGGTTTGGGCGGTGATGGTAGGGAGAAGGCAGGATATTGTGCTTAGAAATAGAAGTATATCTGAATACATTGTAGACTTATACGTATGTTTGGTGTTGGTTCTTCTGGAGGTGTGTATTGATGGAGTACTGGAATGTCCATAGTATTAAATTGGATTCGCCTGTTTTATACCTAAGTTCTCCATGGAAACTTCCCGATAAGGTTGGTTTCGTACTCGCTAGACTTGAACCGAGTGGATCCCCTCGTATAAAGGCGCATACTAGGTTCGGTTGATCGACATCAGTTCATGCTTATTCGACAAGCTGACATTAGCTTTGAGAATAAATGTGAAGTTCGTATCGGGGCCACATGTCCATGGTTTGCATTGTAGTTCAACAACTTCTGAACCAAATAAAAGGTATCCTTATCAATCGAGCGGGGCACCATGACACCTACGTACCTCGTATTATGGAACACATGCTCATCCCATATACGCTCAGCTAGCCTGAAATATCCAATAAATTCTGGGCATACGCAATGGTACTGAAGAATTCGACAATGTTGACGAGTAACCTTGCTGCAATGACCATGTTCGTTCCTTATTCTATTAAGGGTACGTGAAGTGCTAAGTAGCTGCCGGTTTAGTAACTACAGCTTTACCCTCTCCCTCCGATTCTTCTTACTTATCTTCTTTTCGTTTTTTTGGTTCTGCTTTCGCGTAGAAATCCCAGCCCATAGTACTCAACCTAGTGAACAAGAGGTGTAGCCAATCCCTGGAAAGATGACATCTTCCCCTCATTTTCCCAAGAAGCGGGGCAACCACTTCAGTGGATATATAAAGTAAAAGTAAGGCAAGGACCCCTTTCAGGCCATTTACCCTCTTGTAAACCGTCCAACTAACTGTAAAAGAAATATTGAAATGCCCCGAGTGGCTATTGTCACCGGTTCAGCGCGTGGGATGTAAGTAACACCCTCCCAGTATCTGTTCTAGTAGATTTATTGTTGAACATATCCCAGTGGAAAGGCGATTGCCCTCCGTCTTGCAAGAGATGGCTATTCAGTTTGCATTAACGATATCCCCGGTGCAAAGGATGAAATCGCCGCAGTCGTTGATGAAATCAATGCCACGAGCACCCAAGAAGTGAAATCTTCTTCTCGTCCCCGGGCGATCGGTATAGCCGCTGATGTGACCTCATCATCCGCGGTGGAAGAGATGGTCCGAGAGACAGTGGAAAAGCTGGGTCCCTTGACCCTGATGGTTGCGAACGCGGGCATCGCTCAAATCAAACAACTTCTCAACGTCACTGAAGCTGATATCGACGCGGTATTCTCGGTGAACTTCAAGGGTGTCTTCAACTGCTACACCCACGCGGCCCGCCAGATGATCGCACAGGGCGATCCACAATCTGCTGCTGGGGTCGGAGTGTACAAGATCGTAGGGGCCTCGTCTATCGTCGGATTCAGAGCGTTTGGGGCGCTAGGGATTTATTCGGCCAGTAAGTGGGCGGTTCGGGGATTGACGCAGGCGATGGCGACGGAGATGGCACCACACAAGATTACAGTCAATGCATATGCGCCAGGGGTGGTAGGAACGGCCATGTGGGATAAAATTGACGAGGAGTTGGGCGCGATTGAAGGCCGAGCGAAGGGGGAAACGCAAGAGGTTTATTCGAATAAGGCGGCTCTGGGGCGAACGAGTGAGCCGGAGGATGTGGCTGGGTTGGTTGGAGGGTTCCTGGCGAGCCAGGACTCAGATTTTGTGACAGGGCAGACGATGGTGGTTGATGGTGGCATAGTTTTTTCCTAGATCCCTTTTGTATTGTTATGACTTGTCAAAGTGACAGCTTATTATCGCTTCTGAAAATCAACACTTTTCTGTGTCCTACGGGGCTCAAACCCCAAGCAGTTATTATCTTGCAGGCAATCAGCGCACCATACTGGGAGGGCAAATAGATACAATCATTAAAACAATATTACAACAGCTGATGTATGCATGATAAGCCAATAAACCAGAGCAACCAACCTTTATACGTCCTTTCCAAACTCCGACCTCGTGATAATGGCTTTTCAGTATGAAAAGCTTGATGCAAAACAAAAACATATTCGACTGCTCACCACCCTCCCTCATGAAAACCGAAATGACCCCGTGAAATGTTCTCTCAAGAGTGTATCACTCGGCATAAAACCAAAGTTCGAGGCTCTTTCGTATGTATTGGGGAGCAGCACTTGCAAAATTCAACCGTTCGATTTATGGATCCTGTCTTCCTCCCCCTCTCCCACCAAATAATTGTGACAGACTACAAGACCTATGCCTGAGGGGGCATAAACGCGATATCTATTAATTAGTCAGATCATAGAATATAGGTATAATGTTATAGATATTTAAAAATTCAACATACAGTAGACCTAATATAATATATAATTTTTACAAATATATTATTTACTAAGACTGTTAATATACCACTCTTGAAGTATGATGGCTGATAGAAGATTGTGTAAGACGTATCCAGGGTCATATATCCCACAAGGGCAATAGATCACATAAATCTGAATCTGTCATTCAGATTGCTCTGGGCTGCACATATATAGCTTCCCGTCGTTACAGAAGTCATTTCTGCGAGTGGCTCAAGCTTCAACCGCTCGAAAAGTATCTTGTGCTAAATGCCATATCAAACATAAGGATTTGTATCATATTGTGCATATATAAGGGCCCTTTACGACTCGATATCATAATTATCAAAATTTTCTCAGGAATGATCCCAGTCACTTCGGACACAGTTTAACCTTAAATTCCTGTCAAGTGATCAGAAGTTGGCCGTTTCCTCCACGTTTAGATCTAGCATACGCCGCATGTGACAAAGTCAACAATTTGACTACTCGAAATGTTGCATTAGATCCGAACTTCTTTCACCCACCTCTTGTGCTTTCCTCCATTTTCTATATTATACTGCCGGTCGATGAATTGTTTGATGAAGTTTTATTTGGCCGTCTTCAGGTTGACCTCTTCGCGCTGGTTTGCTCTTGGTAATCCTTGTCATCCGAATTGCCTCTCTCTTAACCCTGTCGCGGGGTGATTGGGGCCGCAAAACACCGAAAGAAAACCGACAGCAATGGGTGAGAACGGTGTTGAAATACCGCTAACAGTATGAATCCATCCCCTATCATCGAGTGTCTCGCGATTCTCCCTGCGGACGTCAAACTCCATAAAATGCGACCACAGAAAGAAATCCATGACCTGTCACAAGTCGACCATAAGCCTGTAACGTATCACAGCTCTCCCAAATCCCCGCCCAGCACCTCCTGGGGATTTCAAAACATCGGGAAGGACATGTTCACAGGAGCTAGAACCTCCACTGGCTCATCAAAATAGTAAGAACCACATATGGCGTCACCGCTATCACCAGGACGACACAGAACAAGCAAAAGATTTGGCGCTTGACGTTGCGTGACCACCAACGCTGGGTGCCGTCGGGGCGGATAGTATTGCGTGGATCAAATTCTAACCCTCGGGGCTCGGTTGACTCAAAGGTGGCTTCCTCATCGTAAGGGGTATCTGAGTAGGAGGAAGGTTGCGTTTCTGAATATGGTGGGGGAGGGGGAAGGTCCTGGGTTGCGTTAGAGCGAATTATGTGGGATGGGGTGGGGGCGGGTTTACTTTTAGTTGGATCATGGTGGTCGATCGGTTCTTGGGGGGCAGAGGTTCCGAGGAAAAGGTTCTAGGGGTTGGTGCCGAAGGGAGGAAGGTGATTATATACTCTGGGGTGGATATTTTAAGATTTGTTTGACTATGCAGGGGTTGTGTTCGTATTACGGCAGAGTCAGCCTCACAGCGGCGATTGGGGCTGTGGTGTTTCGCGTCAGGGCACCGAAAATGTAACATAACCAGGTAGAATCATGATGGAACCCGTTGGTATTGTGGGAGATCTTAGATAATACTAAAGTACTAAGTCATCTTGCAGTATGTGCTAGGTAAGCTCTCTTGTGATACTATGCAGGAAATAGCTCCATGGAGACTTCATATAAGGTATAGTTCAGAATAAGAATGTCAAGATTATCAGAGATGTATTATCATTGCGAATAATCGTAGAACCTAAAATTAGTATCACTAAGCAGAGATCGCAACTTCCGGCATCCGAGCAGTGAAAGAACATTGACAAGCAAGACCCACCCTTTGGGGGGACGGGAACTTCCGTCACTCCAAGCTTTACTCCGGAGTAAGCCTTATGGCCATTGGCCTCAGGATAAAGAAAGACCCGACACGTCCGTACATTCCGGGGTACACAGCACGTGCTCAAGTTACAACCCCTTTTAATAAAACAAAAAAAGACGCTAAGCACTGTCGGCAATTCTATACACGCTAAGTTGACTAGAGAGTCCAGAAAACTTCACCAAATCATCCACCCACGTGGGCAACTTGAGCCAACACGATCGGTCTACAGCAATATGGCATTAATCGCGTATAGCGATACGAGCACGGGAAATGGCCGTCCTTCACATATCATAGTGGACATCATGGCTTTTCGGACAACAACAACAATGGCCACCCACGTGCCTATTCACCCAGAAGCGACTGGTGATCCAGGCCCTAGTGAAGATTTAGATCAAATAAAGCAGCGATTATATGTGTTTGCTCAATAATAACCCTTCGGAACTACCGACATCTATGTCTAGCAACGACTCTAACGTGGCGTCTATAAAGCCAGCTTGCCTTGACATGTTTGGGAATGGTTCACAATTGCGCCGACTATCGTTTCCTTGGGGTTTGGTCGAGTGAACGCATCCTCCCGACGTTTCACCATGAAGGACATGCTTTTGGCACTCCCGCTGATTACCGTCTCTTGGGTGGGTGTTACGGCGGCTAGTTCAGATAGAGCCACTGGCACAACACAACCGAATTGGTTCCAGACATCCCCTGAGAGTTACCAAGGTGGGTTATGGACTCAGGCAATGGTTCTTATAGAGCCTTCGGTTAAGTAATCCCAGGTCCAACTGCCACCGGCTCTGCACCTTTCCTCGCCGAAACGAACCCAGCATTCTCCAGCCATGGGACTTATATTGCCAATGACCCTTTGGTGACAGACCAACCTATCTCGGGAGCGCAAGGGCGCAATATATTCCACCATGCAGGCAATTTAAGGTAGGTAATTGAAAAGGAAATGTCGCCTAGTGATACAAAAACATCAAAATCTCACGGTGCAATATAGTCCATATTTCTCCTCGGAAGATGGCTTCGGGGTCGACGAATATCCCCTTCCTGCTGGGGCAAACATCACCCAAATGCATATGATTCATCGACACGGTTCTCGTTACCCTTCTTCGTCAGAGGGGTTTCCGTCCTGGGCTGAGGGGATCAAGAACTCTACGACTGCCGGTAACCGCTTCAAGGGCGCTCTATCATTCCTCAATGACTGGAGCTATGGTCTTGGGGCTGAGATCCTTGTTCCGAAGGGTCGCCAGGAGCTGTTTGATAGCGGTGTCCTTAATTACTACAACTATGGGCATCTTTACAATGAGAGCCTTGGTCATAAGCTAGTGGCACGCACCACAACGCAGGATCGCATGCTGAAATCTGCAGAGAACTTCCTTGCTGGTTTCTTCGGCCTGGATTGGACTGACAAGGCCAACCTACTAGCAATAATTGAAAATGTGGGGTTCAATAACTCTCTTGTTGGAACATATTCCTGCACCAATGCTATGACCGTCATGGCCAACACATCAATCTATGAACCAATGAACCAATGGATCAATGTATATCTCAAGAACCGTACTACGGTGCTGAAAGAGCTTTCCGGGTCCTATAACTGGACCGCTACTGATTCACATAATGCTCAGGCTCTCTGCGTATACGAGACCATTAGTTTTGGCTACAGTCAATTCTGCGAGCTCTTTACATATAATGAATTTGAGCAGTTCAGCTATGCGTATGATCTCATGTTTACCGCCATGGTTGGGTTTCAGAATCCAGCCGGACGTGCCCAAGGAATCGCGTGGGTAGAGGAATTCCTTGCCCGAGTGGACGGCCATGTCCTGCAGACAACCGGCACAAATGCCAACATGACTCTGGCTACGAACCCAGTTACGTTTCCGGTGGATCAAAACCTCTACCTTGACTTCACACATGATGCCGATATCTTCGCGACTCTCACAGCATTCGGCTTCAGACAATTTGCTCAGTTTTTGCCTCCCACAGGACCTCCGAAAAACCAGCAATTTTCTACTAGCAAAGTTGTTCCCTTCGGTGGCCGCACAAACATTGAGATTATACGGGCGCCTCATAAGGTATCAACGGAGCGATCCCGAAATGAAACCCGGAGTGTCTACGCGAAAGACACGAAAGACACATATTATGTTCATTTCCTTCAAAATCAGCGAACACTCCCTCTTCATGCCAGCTTTCCTGAGTGTGAATATCGCGACGATGGATGGTGTGAGCTTGACACGTTCATGAAGGTACAAAGAAAAAGCTTGGAGCGGTCCCAGTTCGAGTATGCGTGCTTCGGAAATTGGAGTACTCCACCCTATGGGGATGTTACAGACGGGGTGCCTCCGCGGTCCTGACGGTGTCTTCCATTGACCTTTCATGTTGTATACTGTATTATAAAGACTATAAGAGATGACCGCGGGTTAGAGTTGAAAAAGACCACGCAGATAGAAATAAGATGAGACAACTATACGATCGAAGTGTCGGGCTGATATACTCCGTCTCGGTAGAACAAGAATCATATCACGTCTGACTCATGGGTGATTCACGCATGTCAAACAGATATCGGAAAGTGTTTATTTAGTACAACATTTGGTGCCATATGAAGAGACATCATGTCATCCGCCTGGTTGGCCAATGGCCGTACCCTGATAATGGGTAGGACTCCTAGCCAGCCCATCATAGACGGTTGCCTCAGGCAACGATCACCCCGCCTGCAAGGTGGACTGCCTCGCTTCTTGAGGCATTAGCCCTTTGCCGTACATTCATCTTTGGCAAGCACAGCACAGCCTCGGAGGCAACAATTGGCCCATCCTTTAATTAATCAATCACAATCTTACCACAAGCCTGATCCTTTCATAATACGGTCCGACCCCACCTGGCAGGCTTCAGTCTTCGCGTGCTACAACAAGTCAACAATGTCTAGCAAAGCTGAGCTTTCCGGAGGCAACTTTACGTCCACACATCATTCTACGACCTACGACTACATTTCGCCACTTAAGCTAGATTTAAGCGGTAAACATGTTCTGATCACTGGCGCCGCTTGGGGAGACGGCGTAGGATATGCCACAGCTACGGCTTTTGCGCGTGCAGGAGCGTCTGCGATAGCCGTAGCTGACCTACATGGCGTGTCCAGCGATCTAGTCGTGCAACTAAAGTCGGCTGCAGTACAAGCCGGTCGTCCTGAGCCTATGGTTTTAAGCTGCATGGTTGATATCACAAGGCGAGATAGTGTTCAAGCAATGCATAGCACAGTGTCGCAGGGGTTTTGTGGGCGTTTGGATATTGTCGTGAACAACGCAGCCCATATGGAACCATACGAGCCATTCCTTGATTCAGACCCGGATGTGTACTGGCGAACATATGAAGTTAACGTTCATGGACTATTCAACATGGCGCGCGCATTTCTCCCCATGCAACTGTCAAGCCGTTCTAACACTAATAATAGTTCATACATAATGATCAATGTAGCCTCTTCAGGCGCATTAAACGCTCGGTCTGGGAGCGGGAGTTACCGAAGTTCAAAGCTTGCGATCTTAAGGTGGACTGAGACCTTACAGTTGGAATATGGCGAAAAAGGACTTTTAACATTTTGTGTGAATCCAGGCGCGATTAAGACAAAGATTAGTGAGGGCGTATTGCCGGGCATGGTGCGGGATGGATTTCCTGACTCCCCAGATATAGCTGGCGATACAATTGCATGGTTGGCTGCCGAGCGCAGGGAGTGGCTAAGGGGAAGATACGTGAGCTGTCCATGGGATATGGAGGAGCTCATGAAGAACAAGGACGAAATCGTGGAGAAAGACAAGCTTAAGATGAGAATGGTCTTTTAAGCCACTGATGCTTATATTATTAATATTTTTTCGCCAACGGTTGAGATCTCCTAGGGTATAATAATTATAGCAGAGGCAGCTGATTGGTTGTCGCCTCGTATTGGGCCGAAAACTGGTTGCCTACCATTATCAGTATTGACATCTTCACAATTCACGACGACATGGAAATTGGACTTGACACAGCTTGAAAACGCAAGACATTCAATCAACACAAGGATGGAGCATACATTTCAGTTGGCACGTTTCCAGGCGAGCGTTCCGTCGCACCACTCATCCATTCCTAGAATCCAGATAGAGCCACACCGCATTAAACGACCCCATACGAAATCGCGCCATGGCTGCTTCAACTGCAAGGCCCGAAGAGTCAAAGTATATAAATCCTGTGTCAATGTATTCTGAAGACTGTGGGACTGATGTATCTACAAGTGTCAAGAAACGCAGCCTCACCCCTGTGCCAACTGCATCGGCCGGAACATGCTGTGTATATACCCTTCAAAAGACCAATCACTGCGTCGTCGACATGCCAGTCCACTTGGTGGCCGCTATAGACGACAGCTGCCAAGGAGCCATGCCTCTTCATCAAGCTACGCTACAACACCATCATCTTCAACAGAGTCAGCAGTGGCATTGAGCTCACACCAGTCTGTAGTGCCTCACACCTTCACTGCGGACGACTTACGGTTCTTTCATCATTTCTTGATAGTTGCATATCCGCATCTCCCATTTGGAAGTGAGCACCTATGGAAGACGAGTCTTCCGGCTTCTGCGCACGAGGTTAGCTTTCCTACCCAGTGGACTGCCTTTGTAGAATAGAGCGAAACTAATCCGACAACAATAGTGCCCACATCTAATGCACGCAATCCTATGTCTAGGAGCCACGCATCTCTCCTTAGTCACCCCAGATGGAAGTAGATATACAACTCTAGCTGTCATCCACCGAGGCCAGGCGCTGAGAACGCTAGGCAACGAGCTAGTCAAAGGAGATCAATGCGGCAAAACCGAGCTGGATCTCATGCTCGCAACAGTATACGCGCTCACATTCCAGGCCAACTACATGGCTGACGGATTATTTGATTTCGCCATCATGGTCCGAGGCTGCGGTATCATAACACGGCGGATCCTGAACAAATACAAAGGAAGCGATATGTTCACATTGCTCACATCAGATGTTATCATTACCGATATCGTGCCGCAACTTCCTCACACGCCATATGCTGATACCGAGGATCTGAACAGATCCATCGAGACATTGGAAAACATCGAACCATTGTTAGTGAGTAATGGTCACCGCAATGCCTACCGAGCTTTATTGGATACGTATCACGCATTGAAATCTTCGGCGCGCGACGGCTTTGTTGCTTTTACGGGATTCTATGATGACTGGGGGAGAATGAGTAATCGGGAGTTCATGGAGTTTCTGGATCCGGGGAATTATGTCTCGCGTCTTTTGTTTTTGCATTATGTGGTGGTGTCGATTATGTTGCGGCCGGTGTTTCGGGTTCTGAGGAAACCGAGATTGTTGGTCTGTCTGAAGGATGAGCTGCCGCTTTTGCAGAGGGGTGTTTATATTTATGAGTGCTTGCCTTGTGAGGTACGTGGGTTGGTAGAGTGGCAGTTTCGCTTTATTACCTTGGATCGGACTTCGATTGAAGATCCAGGCTTGAGCTCCTCTGTGATGGAGGACACATCTGAATTGAATTCGGTATAGATTGCAAGATAGTTATACTAGATTGACACAACGTTCACTATCAAAACGAATATAGGTCAACGTCAAACAAAAGAAACCCACTAAACAGAAAAAATGAAAGGCTCTAAGATATCAAAAACGAACAGCACGCAATCTAACAGCATCGTCACCATCTACATCACCATCTAAACCTAAAAAAAAAAAAGAAACTACTTCGACCTCGCACCAAGTCCAACCGGAAGCCACCTAGCCGGATGATACCAACCCAGAACCATCATTGCAATCAACATCGGCACGGCCTCAAGGACATACAACGGCCATTCATGAGTCCAGGTATAGGTATCCATACCCATACAGAACTCAATAACCCGATAGATCAACCGAATCTGACACACAACGATACCGTTAGTACCCTTCCCAGAACCAAGAAAAAGTATAGGAAAATAAGAAAAAGCAATATACTAACCGTAATAAATCCCCCAGCCACATAAATTCCATTCAAAACCGACCTCACCCCAGACTCAACCTCCCCAGCAGCCGAAGACCTCCGATCAAACCAAACCACGACCACAAGAAAAAAACCAAAAGTAACAAGCTGTAACACCAACCCGGCAATAAGCACCCCAACACCAATATCCTTCTCCTTCCCTACCCAATCATTCGAAGAAGCAATCCCGCTCCCAGCCGCCTGCGTCAGAAAACTAACGACATCCGACGTAACAAACACCCGGGGGATCCAAGACGGCGAGAACCTCCCGAACAGCAGCACTGGCTTCTTCGTCTCGGTGTTGGGGCTAGGAGCAGCACAACTGCCGGCGGACCGGATCAATCGCCCGATCAGGATGTAGAGGCTTGCGCAGACGAGGACGGGGGCTATCACGATCAAAGTTGCGGAGGTGGCGTAGAGGCCGATATTGTCTTGTTGTTTTACGCTGGCGGCTCGGATGGCGTAGGCGGCGACTTCTGTTGCGGCGCCGATGGCGATGGGGATGAAGTAGCTTACTTTGTGGTAGTGGCCTGTGTAGGGAGCGATGAGGGATAGGTAGGTGTGGTAAGTTAAGGGGAGGGTGTAGAGGATTGTGAAGAGGATTGAGGCGGCTAGGGATGGGTTGTAGAAGTAGATTGAGGTGCCCATTTTTTTTTTTGGGATAGAAAAGATATAGTAAATGTAGTTCAAGGTTTCCTCTCTTGAAGTCCAAGTATATTCTGATAATTTTACTCTCGTAACTTATGGAGTCCTTTATATACCAATTCTTCATAGTATACAAGACATTCATACATCTAAACCAATTCACCCAACCCACCAATAGAGACATCGGAACAAGACTCCCAAGCTTCATGATAGGTGGACCTCGTATTCGCACCTCGCATTTTCCTTGCTCTAAGCCTTGCTAAACTCAACCAACCATTCTAATAGGTCCATTGGATCGTTGCCTGAAGCTACGCATCTGTTAGTTATACCAGCCAAGGACCTACCGATAAATAAGCTCTCGGTGCGAACGGGCGTGGAACGAATCCGGGTCTTGGCGAGATTACTGTATTGAGTAAAGTGGGACTGCTTACAAAGTGACGTTTCCACTTGTATGAAAAGGTTGACACGTTGAAAGGTTGTAAGTATTACATACGTAGACCACATGACCATGTCTGGGCTCACTAAGGTAACCTCATATCTCCACTCCTACACTCCCACATATTCATCACAAGAAGCAACCCTGAATTACAGAGTATCATGGTGGAGAGCACTGGGGATTCAGCACCAGGTGCTGTATCTACTTACCAGAATTCCCTTAGAACCAGCTCTGCAGGAGTACATATATGTACTTGCATGTACCGTGTTGTTGATTGTAACAGCCACCTCTGGTATCCACATTGACCATCTCTACTTCTTGCGACCCGAAGGATCGGTCTGAGCGGCTTTGCGTACCACTCCTTTCACCAACTGAATTGCCCTCTCCGCCAGTCCCGCGGATTGTGGTGATGAGAGATCGGGGCATTGACGTACCTCGTATCATGACGATGCAACATCTCTCCGGCCACATTGGTTATAAAATGACTCCCATTGTTTGTGTACAGCTCCTCGGGGCCGTCCGAGAATTGGTTGCAATCTACCCTTCGAACATCCGCATGGGTGGTATATGCAGTACCGCCGGTATGAAGAAAGTCCCTTACCTGCGATTCTCTCGAAATATTAGAGTTGAATCTCAAAGAACAGCAACTTTTATCAGGAAATGAAGAGCTTAATTGCTTGCTGAAGATCTAAAGAACTAAGACTAGAGGACCACTTATGCCATGTAGAACACGAGGCTATCTAGGAGAAACAAATCAATTAAATAGCCCGCTGAGGACCGACAAGATCGACGAAACAACACAAGACTTGTAACAGTAGGCAACAAAAGCGTCCTTGAGTATATACGCCACCAGAAAATAGATTGTATCAAGCCAAATAGTAATACAATATAACTAAGTGAAGTTTAATCTGGATTTTAACCCCAACTTTAGATCGTGAACCTGAGCCTTTTCGAGGTTCATCTCATCTCAATGATATCCCTACATTGCTAGCCATTTGGGGGCCAAATGCAAAGGTTCGTGGCATGTATTTGTCTTACTCTTCACTTAGGCTATGGATTCAATTGACCCCACTTATGGGATTGAGAAGGCGCTATTGTAAGATGTTGTATTGTCTGATCAGAACTCATTGACATATAGCCAGTAGGGCTCATGGGGGTGAAAAGCCTCGCTGGGATAGTAGTACACAGTACAGTACCCAACGGACGATCGGCATTGTGATGATCTTTTATTGGCCATTACTGACCTTTACTATATCTGACCCAAGCACAGCCTCACCAAGGGATTAAATATGTTAGGCCTCCACTGCGTTTCCCAGACCATTGCACATCATCTCTCATGTATCCGGGCCGCTTTCCCAAGCAACACCATGGAGCTGGACGATGAATCCCACAAAATGATCGATCTACTCGAAAGTATAAAACCGTCTGATCAAAGCGACAACGAAAGCGAGTCGCAATTCCCCGTAAAAGTCCACAGATCCTTTCGAACGCGAATAACCGAGTGGTATTCTGGATGGAGATTCACTCTTGCATTGGCCTCATTTGCGAGCATCATCGTTCTGGCATTCAATCTCGGTTTTGTCATATGGGCTGCTGCGCACCATAAAGTCAAGGAAAACCGGGGCGCTCTGCATGACGGGAATTGTGAGAAGGTGCAACATATGAGTACGGGCTTGCATTTCGCCATCAATATCCTCAGTACGAGCCTATTGGGTGCAAGCAACTACTGCATGGTCTGTGGAGGCCCTATCGCTTCTCCATGCACGGCTTGGTTTGCTGAGTATCTCTATAGCAATGTTTATCCGCACCGACCAGGAAAGATATAGACCGTGCCCATGGTAAGGGCAGATGGCTCGACATAGGTGTGCCCAGTATCCGAAATCTGCGACAGGGATCCCGAAAACGCGCTATTTTGTGGTTGTGCTTGGTTCTGTCGTCTCTGCCACTCCATCTAGTGTAAGGCTGCCCCCGGTGACTGGTCTTTTCAATTCTCAAAGGTACTAATCCACATCCCCAGGTACAACTCGACCATATTCGCCATTACCTCGGCCAATTCCTACTGGGTATTTACTGCACCAGAGGGTTTTGTAAAACAGGATATGCAGAATATCACTTCTGACAATGGAGACACTACCAATGACGCCTTGAGCCGCCTGCGTGCCGAAGCGCAGAATGGAACCCTTCAGCGCCTCGATATCTCTCAGTGTGTTAATGCATATGCAACAGACTTCCAGACCACCTATGGGAGCTTGATACTTGTGACAAACGATACTGATCAACCAGATCAGTACCAGTCAGTCGCACAGCAAACCACCTTTTTGCCGGAAGAGAACCTCCGAACTTCCGCTTCAGACCCGTATAAGTGGATCTGCTCAGCCCAAGCAGAGGCAAAAGATCATACTTGTAGTCAGCTTCTTTCAGATGTAAAGGACCAAGCTTCCAAGAACGATTGGTACGTGGACCGTTACCGAGTCGCATACTGTCTTGCGGAGCGGCCACCACAACGTTGCAAGCTAGAATACAGCCTCCCATTAGCGATCACCGTGATCGTCTTCAACTTGGTTAAGGCCATCATAATTGGATACACCGCTGCAAGTGCCACGAAAAAGCCTATCCTGACGACAGGAGATGCGGTCGTTTCTTTCATGCTGAAACCCGACGAGTTTACACGGGGTCAATGCCTCCTCACCAGAGAATCCGTGAAGACGCGCCGCTGCCGACCGAGCTACAAATCATCCATGTTCAATAGCACGCCAAAGCGATGGCACGCAGCTGTCTCAGGCAGGCGTTACCTCCTTGGACTCGTCTCGTAGGTGCTTCCCTTATTACCCTTCTGCATCTCTCCCTAGTATGTACTGACCCGAAGGATCCAGATATGCCGTCGCCATCGTCATCTGCACCGGCCTTCTTATATTCGGAGTTCTGAGTATGAGGGACAAATCGAACACCTGGACGATGGGTCTTGGTGCGATCAACGCTCAGACCCTAATCACAGGGACCAGATGGGTGACATCGCTCATTTCCAACGTGCTCGTCGCCAACACGCCCCAACTACTCTTCTCCATCATCTACTTCACCTTCAACGCCATCTTCACCGCCATGACCCTTGCCGCGGAATGGAGCCGATACGCCAACCACCGCAAGGGTCTGCGTGTCTCCGGTCCCCCCGAAGTCGCTCAACGCAGCAGCTACTTCCTCTCCCTCCCCTACCGCTTCGCCGTCCCCGCGTTGACCTTTTCCGCCCTTCTCCACTGGCTCCTCTCGCAGAGCCTGTTCGTGGTTGGGATTGAATCGTACACCGGCAACCTACAACGGGACCCCGCGCGGGATTTTATTACATGCGGATACTCTCCCCCGGCTATCTTGAGTGCGATTCTTGTGGGGGTGGTGATGGTGGCCTGGCTGGTCGGGTTCAGTTTCAGGCGATTGGAGTCCGGGATGCCCGTTGCGGGAAGTTGTAGTCTAGCTATTGCAGCGGCTTGTCATCCCACATTGAGTATTCAAGGGGATAAGTATGTGGAGGAGGAAGGGAAGTTGGGAGCGGAGCAGATGAGGTTGCAGTGGGGGGTTACCTATGTCGATGCGGACGGGGAGGGACATTGTAGCTTCTCGAGTGAGAAGGTGGGAGTACCGGAAGATGGGAAAATCTACCGGTGATGTTACGAAACATGACGATGATGATGATGATGATGAATTAATGTATTTATATGATGTTATGAAGTAGACATGCACTAATTGAGTCTTTGTTCTCGTATTGTTGCGCCTCGACTCATACATTCTTTGCTTGGAGAACAAAAGATCTGAAACATATTCCTAACGGCCATGAAACCCATTGTTTTTGGGTTCAACTGCTGCTATGCCAAGTTATAGTACGATTTACAACTACTATTGTCGAGGGCCAAAGAATACGTATGCTGTCCAAGTCCATTGACTTGTAGATTAGCAAGAATATTATCCCGAGTCAAGAAGTGCAAAATTATAATAAAATTGAGTTTTCATTATAGAGCTTTCGGCTGTGTTCGGCATTTATTCGGGTTAATTACGCCATTTTTGTTTACCCTATTTTCTTAAGAAATATATATTTCGCACGGGTACCCTACCTAGATTAGTAATAAGAATACGTAGTAAAAAAAAGGTTAAATTCGGCCATTGTAAAACCTAGAAGATTAAGAGGTAACACTGAGACGCAATAGTACAATTTAATATTGCCCGGATAAAAAGTGCACCGATAGTCACCGTTGTAACTCCAGCGGCAGATGAAACTCGCACGAGAGCCGGCGAACCAGTGTCAAGCTTGGAGCCCGGTGACACATTCCCCCCCCCAGCGATATCCCTTGCGTGACGGATCAAGAGGTTTATCGAAGATCAGGAACCATGTGAGGACGATCCGTGGATCCCAAGAGGGTTAAGGTTACTCGACAGGCACGAGCCAAAAATAAAAATCCAAGACAACCTGATAATAGATATACTTAGTATACACTACCCATGCACCTGTTCAGAATTGAAGGCGCTAGGCCTAGTGTTGGTGTGTCTCAAAGATTCAGTATAATTTCCGCACTACCCCCGCTTCTTGATTGATTTCATTTGCCCGGTGTTTTCTGATGGGGGTCGGTGCTTTTTGGTCTTTTGCTAATTTCCCTCGGCTAAGCGTGTGGAGCCACGGGATTATTGGGAGATAGTTGCATGGGATGGGTCATTGTGACATGGCCAACGGCGACGCATCCGGCAGCGCCACGACGCAAGCGGTTGGTTGTAACCCAAGAACTTGGCGGAGAGTCTGAACATTCCTGGGATCAGAGTTGTAGAATGAGCTGTCAATTGATGTCAGTGATCATGAGGAGCTTAGGATTTTTTTTGGGTGTGAGGTAAGGGGAGTGGATCTTTTTGCTTATCTTCTTCCCATTTCCCGGTTTCCGTTCGATTGGGTTCTCAAGGGATTATCCACGATAGATATGTATGTATGTATGTATGTATGTATGTATGTATATGTAGGTGTAGAACATATAGTCGACAGGAGGAAATAATAGCCAGAAGTATGATATGATTCTGGGGTATTACTAGTTTGTTCCAATACTTTTGTAGAATCCGAAGAAAAAGTCAAAAAAGCAGTGATTTGGGCGTCCTCAGGCCGCAAGCGGAATAGCTCGGTGGAGTGATTTTTTTGTCTGGACTCTTTTTCCCTTTCCTTCTGGACCCTCTTTTACTCTACCTCCATACCTCACTTTCCCTTTTCCCTTTCTTCATCTCGCCCTTCCATTCCTTCTTCCTCCTTCTCCTCCTCCACCTCCACTTTTCTTCATACCGCACCTTCGTTTATTCATTCCCCCCCCCCTCTCTCATGACCACTTACTTCTCCGGGAGGTGACTTCATAGTAATATAACTCCTGTGTCCTTCGTTCTCTCACCGTCTGAATCCTTCCGAATCCCCCGCTCTCTCTTCCTTCGACTTTCGCTTCCTTCGACTTTCGCTTCTTTCCTATATAGATATGGTGGGCCGCCTGTTCCTGTGAGGTTTACGTCTACTCCGACGGTGTCCACTACAATTCTTCCACTCGTCACCGTCACCATGGCACTTTGGCCATTGGCCTGGACTGCCAATGTCCCGTCAACATCGCGACTCTTCCACCTCCTCCTGATTACTCTCGTTCTTTCGCTTTCCGCCCGTGCCGCTGATGACACCACTTTGATACCTACTGCCGCATCGGATAGCTTCCCGTCGTGCGCCCTGAGTTGCTCCATTCTGCAACAAGCCCAGACTGGCTGTGTACCTCCGACGGCCCAATCGAGCGACCGCTCGACCTATGTCTCTTGCTTTTGCCAGTCGTCGTTGATCTCTCAACTCCATAACTCCGCGGACGGGACATGCGCCGACACCTGCACCAGCGCCGACGACCGCACAAAATTGCAGACATGGTATAACGACTTTTGCTCATCCGGAGGCCAAAACAAGGGTACTGCTGCATCAGAAAGCAGTGCCGCGGCGTCGCCCTCAACATCAACATCCGCGTCTACCGCCAAATCGCAAAATACCTATCCCGCTCCAAAATCCTGGTATGCAACTGGCGAAATCTATTTCCCGCGCCCTTTGTCACTTTATTGCTGACTTTTCTAGGTGGTCGACACATTACCAATGGGTTATCATGGTAATTGTTCTTGCCGTTGGATTCACTGCAATTGCGATTGTGGGAGTGTGGCTCAAGCGCCGCCACGATGCGAAATATCCCAACCTGTACCACGCGGGGAGCGGTAGCAACAGCGGCAGCAACAGCGGGCTTCTCTATAACCGCGGCCAAAACACCAGTCCCGGCCCAAAACAGCCGGGCCAATTTATGCCGGCTCCAAGCCCAGTGAACCATGATGAATATGCTAACACAGATTCCGTGGCCAGTAGCTCTCGCACCGAAGTTGCCGCTCCTGGACCTCGTCTATCACGTCTCCAAAGGACCCCGCAGCCCGCGGATGTAGGCGATATTGAAACTCGCGAAGTAACTCGGTGATGGTTGGGTCGACCCTGTTTTACCATATCCACTCTTTCCCTAGCAGAGCGTACTCGAACACGGCATCTAGTGCATTCTCCAACCGGGCAGTTGCATAGAGCCAAACTCCCAGGCACAATGTAGTGCCTCCAATCCGTCTATACCAACATTTTTCGTCGATGCTCGCTCCTGCTACTCTCGCATATGTATCCGGCGTTTTTGCGTGTTCGGCTGGCTTTTCCCTTTTCTTCCTTTCTTTCCACTACCTGGGACCAATCTCGTACAAAGTTTCCGTACATGATACCATATGGTGTGTGCATGTCTTCTGAGCTGCGTTGCATGGCTTTGGCAGAACATAGTAATTTTCTTTTTTCCTCCGTGGAGGCTGGGTCAGCTTTCTTTCGTCGCTTATATTTGCCTGGACATGTTTTTCTTTCTTCATGATGTCTCCTCCGTCTCACCCAGCATGAGATCAATGAATTGCTTGCCTGGATGTGACATGTTGCCGGCTGACCGTGTAAATTAGGTATAGGTGCCCGCAGTACAGGACCCTTAATGTAATTTTGCTAGATCCCACAAGATATCTTACATGGTTCCAACAACCAGTTTTATAGGTTAATCTGAGATATATAATTTCTTCGGCACAAAAAAGCAAGACAATACCACGCTACCATGCGAAAGCAACAAAAGAAAATACCCAAAAATCAAGACACAGTGATGCTCACAATCTTGATATCCTGCTCGGGCTTCTCCTTAAACGTCTTCGTATTCTCGATCTTATGGACAACATCTAACCCCTGCACGGCTCGCCCGAAAACGGTATGTTTGTTATCCAACCATGGCGTCTTCTCCGTCGTAATAAAGAACTGACTACCATTGGTATTTGGTCCAGCATTAGCCATGGACAAAGTATACGGTTTGTCATGCTTCAAACTGGAAAATTCGTCCTCGAACTCCCCGCCCCAAATCGATTCGCCGCCTGTACCGTCGCCCAACGGGTCTCCACCCTGGATCATGAACTTGCGGATCACACGGTGGAAAATGGTATTGTTATAGTAGCCATTGCGGGCATGGGTGACGAAGTTCTCGACAGCCTTGGGCGCGGCAGACGGGAACAGCCGGAGATGGATATCGCCCATGGTAGTGTGCAGGATGGCGGACGTGCCAAGGTCGTTTGATTTCTTCTCGGCGGATTCGCGGCCGGTGGTTGCTTGGGTGGGTTTCTCGTTCTGGACGTCGCGAGAGGATTTGGAGATCTCGGTTTCGTTGGTGAAGAGGTAGAAGCGGACTTTGGCGAATCCTGTGCTGACTAGGATGGGGTCGCGCTCTTCGGCCTCTTGGAGGAGGGGGTTGGAGCTTGCGGCCATGGAAACTGTTACTAGACCCTTTTTCTGCGGTTGGCCTTGGTACATTGCTAGGTTCAGGGAGCGGAAGGGCTCGTCTTTGCCGTAGACGCGCACGACGCGGTTGGTGTAGGTGTTTATGCATTTTGTGCCGTAGAGGGAGCCGTAGAGGATGAAGTGGCCGGATTCGTCGAAGATGACGTTGATTTTGGGTTGGGTGACGGGGTTTTCGAGCTCGCGTTCGACGGCGAGCCGGCGGCCGAATTCAAGCTCGTCCAGTTGGTGGATTGCTGTGCCGGCTTGTTGCATGTCGGTTATTGTGGAGAGGGATTCATCGTATTTGCGGTAGAGCTTGCCTGTGGCGAAGTCGAAGACTCGGACCTGGCGGTCTGGGAAGGAGAAGGCGGCGAATTGTTCGCCGGAAGGGGAGATGGTTAGGGAGGTTGGGGTGGATTTGGACTTTTTGAATTCGAAGAGGTTGGTGGATGACTTTAGTTCGAAGACGTTGTCGGGCTTTTCAAATGAGGAATCTCCCGCTCGCCAGTACTCGACCATGCCGGACTCGTCAGCGGAGATGACGCAGTCGTAGGCATCGTTGAAAGCGATTGCGGCTACCGGGTTCCGGTGGATTGACTTCACAGTGTGGAGGGGGTTGGGGTTCTCGCCTCGGCCGTCGAAGATTTGAATGGTGCTGCTGCCTTCGTCGGTCACTGCCAGCAGTGGTAATGAAGCGCCTCGCCGATGGACCCAGCAGACACAGCGGGGAGTGTATTCGAGTGTGAGCATGGAGAGCAAGTCTACACCCGGCAATTAGTTTGCTGTAGCTATAATCTGATATTGACGTGATACTGGCATACCGAAAGTAATGACATCAAACAGCTTTACTGTCTTGTCGGCCCCAATTGTCGCAAAGCTCCTGCCGTCCGCGCTGACACTGACGCCCCTCACCTCGCCATTATGGGCACGGAACTCCTTCACGAACTCAACACCGACCGCCATCTTCTTCCAGAATTTCACAAAACCATCAATAGACGATGTAATCAGGAAGTCTGTGTGTGGTGTCATTGTCACAAAGGACAATTGGTCCTTGTGCATGAGCGATTTCGAGTAACGCGGCGACGCGGGCAGCGCATTCACGTAGACTTTCTCAAAGGGGAGCTTGCGCCGTTTCTTCTTCGGCGCATCTGCGGACGGAAGGGCTGGACCGAAGTCATCGTCGGAGGAAGAGTCGTTACCTTGAGTTAATTAAGATTAGTATCTTGTGCTGGTTTGCTTCTCAATTCGAGGGTGAGCCCACCATCATCCTCATTGCCATCCACCGCGGAGTGCGGTCTTTTGTTGGGTAAAGGCTGCGACTTCTCGTCCTCTGCCGCCATTCCGAGAGAAATAAATATGAATTGAGAGAGTTATTTGTGGAAAGGAATGGAAGTTGAATGCTGGTTGGAGGAGAGAAGCAGCAGTTGCAGGCGGTCTGCGGCAGCTTTTAAGCTCGGGCCACATCGCGAACTTTTCTGGACGTCCCGCAGTACTCAGTCATTATTGAACTGTCCGCCAAAATTATCTCCCCCCCCCCCCCCCAACAAAATCAACCCCCCTGAACGAGCTGCCAGTCTTCCCCCACGACGGTAGCTATCTTTCACATTAATTACTATTCATAATGGTCAGTTGATCATGCTGTCTTTTATTAACTTCTGTTATATATTGTCTCTCATGCTGACCGCTCCTAGGCGTCCGCCAACCCTACGCAGATCTTTGCGGACGATGTCATCGAAGAGAAGGGCGAGAATGCCCGTCTCTCCGCCTTCGTTGGCGCCATCGCCGTCGGTGACCTGGTGAAGAGCACTTTGGGCCCTAAGGGAATGGACAAGATCCTCCAGTCAGCGTACGTGGGATTGGATTCGGAGATGCGGGGCTGTTGTGGTGGACATGTTACTAATAGCTATCCAGGTCGACCGGCGAGATCCTCGTAACGAATGACGGTGCTACGATCCTGAAGGCTATCGCTCTCGATAACGCTGCAGCCAAGGTTTTGGTCAACATCTCGAAAGTCCAGGATGACGAAGTCGGTGATGGCACAACGTCCGTGACCGTGTTGGCGGCCGAGCTGCTGCGTGAGGCTGAGAAGCTGGTGAACCGCAAAATCCACCCCCAGACTATCATCGAAGGTTATCGGATAGCCAGCCGGGCCGCTCTTGATGCTCTTGAGAAGGCTGCTGTCGACCGCAGTGCCGACATGGAGTCTTTCCGTAAAGACCTCCACTCCATCGCTCGTACGACCCTCAGCTCGAAGGTCCTGTCCCAGGATCGTGATCACTTCGCCACCCTTGCTTGCGACGCAGTTCTCCGTCTCAAGGGCTCAACCGACCTGAGCCACATTCAGATCATCAAGAAGGCCGGTGGAAAGCTCAGTGATTCCTACCTGGACGAGGGTTTCATTCTTGACAAGAAGATCGGTGTCAACCAGCCCAAGCGTCTGGAAAACGTCAATATTTTGGTCGCCAACACAGCCATGGACACAGACAAGGTTAAAATCTTCGGTGCCCGGGTCAAGGTCGAGTCGACTGGTAAACTGGCGGAACTGGAGAAGGCAGAGCGTGAGAAGATGAAGGCTAAGGTGGACCGGATCAAGGCACATGGTATCAACTGTTTCGTCAACCGTCAGTTGATCTATAACTGGCCCGAACAGCTGTTCACCGAGGCCGGCATTATGTCCATCGAACACGCAGACTTCGACGGTGTCGAGCGCCTGGCTCTGGTCACTGGTGGTGAGATTGCATCGACCTTCGACCACCCCGAGCAAGTTAAATTGGGTCACTGCGACGTTATTGAGGAGGTTATCATCGGTGAAGATACTCTGATCAAGTTCTCGGGCGTGGCTGCCGGTCAGGCATGCACCATTGTGCTCCGCGGTGCTACGGAGCAGCTGCTCGACGAGGCTGAGCGCTCTCTCCACGACGCCCTTGCCGTGCTTTCTCAGACCGTGAAGGATCCCCGTGTCACCCTGGGTGGTGGTTGCGCCGAGATGGTCATGTCCAAGGCTGTTGAGCAAGCCGCTCAGAACACCACGGGCAAGAAGCAGCTGGCTGTTGACTCTTTCGCATTGGCTCTCAAGCAATTGCCCACTATCCTGGCTGACAACGCCGGTCTGGACTCCAGTGACCTCGTAACCCGACTACGACAGGCCATCAACAATGGCATGACTAGCTCTGGTCTTGACTTGCTCACCCCCGGTGGTGGCATTGCTGACATGCGGGAGTTGGGCGTTGTAGAGAGTTACAAGCTGAAGAAGGCTGTGGTTTCCTCCGCATCGGAGGCAGCAGAGGTAAGGAATATGTATTTTGTTTTATTTTTAGTCACGACACAGCTAACGCCAACTCTTTGTAGCTTCTTCTGCGCGTTGACAACATCATCCGGTCTGCTCCCCGTCGACGTGAGCGTATGTAAGGTGGTATGATGATTTATTCTTGATGGCGCGATGGACTGGAAACAAGTTTGTTTGGATTCAAGTGAAACGGAGGGCAGCCACCACCGTGAGCTGTGCTGGATAAATGTTGATAACGTGCTCTGATCAGAGCGTAATAACCGTGACATAGACCCATTGATTGACATGAGACAAAAGCATTGACGAACTTGTTTGTTGTTCTACCATGGAAATTCGTCATGTACAACACGTAATTTACTATTCATCGCGGCATTGTCTCGTGAAATTATGATAACTAGGAGTTGTATGTATCTATAGGTAACAGCCGAGCGAGAGATATCTGGCTGCTGGTGGCAGGGCAGGGTGGTGGTAGAATTATAACATACCGATGGATGTGGAGCAACCAATCAACTGCAAAATGATGACATCCATGGAACTCTAGAGACCACTCTTAATTAAATAACCAAAAGGCCTTATCAACAGGTGGGAGGGCCTCGCTGGCGTTGACCCTTGTAAAGTGTAAGGAAGCGCGATTTTATATGTCGTTGGATTAAGCTAGCAGAATAATCCTTTAAAGTTTAATTTTTAAGTCAAATAACCCCTATAAACAAAGATATAGGCGAGTAAATTGAGAGAACTTGAAAAGCCAAGAGATTTCATGATACAAAGTAGGTGACCTCCAATTTTAGGGGACCTGCCCAAGTACTGTTTATAATATCTCTCAACTTCATCTCTTTATTTATTTATTATTATTATTATTTTTTTTTTTTTTGCCTTTCATGCCTTCTACCTTCCTTTCCCCAGTTCTACTATATTAACCCCTCGCTCTCTATTCCCTAAGTTTAGACCATGAATACTTTTGAGGGAGCTCTTTTCTTTACTTGTACATCTTATTCTCTTAATGGCACTCGGGCACGCCACCTCCTCTTCCTTTAAATCTCGATCAAGGATAGATCTTAGTATAGGACTTTCTAATTTCTGTTAGGTTTCCCTATACTGTCATATAAATGCAAAGGTTTTAATTTAAATTTCATATTTAGAGAACGATTGATTTCCCTCAAGTGTAATGCTTTGCAGATTACAATATTTAGGGCTAGATTTGCTGCGCTGGAAGACGATTTGCCAGAACTGTTAGAAGATAATCAAGCCTGGCCCCCCTACCCTTACGCCTTCTCATTTTCTGGTTGGAAGCTTCTACTAAGAAATACTTTACAAGGTAATCCCTGAGCCGGCCGACCCGAACCTGCCTGAATCATATAAGCACGCTCCCCAAAAATAGTATTCAACCCATGAGCCGGATGCCTCCGATCCCATTCCATATATTGGTCCTTGAAATCGAACTCACGAACCGTCATTAGAAGCGTGACTCGAATGTCGAGGAGGGCTAGCGTCTGTCCAATGCAGTCTCGGAATCCGTGCTCGAATGGCCTCCAGGCTCCGGGTGGTGGGTATAAGGGATGACCTGGGTCAACAAGCCAGCGGTCAGGGATAAAGGCGTGTGCATCTGGCCAGGTCTGGGTGTTGCGATGAATAGCACTGTGGACAATCCATATTGCAAATCCGTCTGTTGGGTAGGTGGTACTCGTTTCGGGGTCACGGAGAGAGATGTTGGAGTGGCCGTTTCGGAGCCCATTTGCCGGGGGGAAGAGGCGGAGGGTTTCCTTGATGACAGCCAGTGTGTATGGAAGTTGATTGATCAGTTCCGGGCGTTGGCGGAGTAGATTGGAAGCGTTGGAAAGATCCATGCCGAATATCTTGTCATGTTCTGCGCGAACTTTGGCTAACGCGGCCGGGTGCTTGGATAGGACGTAAAAGCAGTACATGATAGTCACAGCGGTGGAGTCATGTCCGACGAAGAGGAACAGCCGAATCTGGGTAGTGGCCCAGGCCTTAAAGTCAGGATTGAGCGTTGGCCCTGCCACTTGTCTCGTCTTCATGTACTCTGTGATGACGAGATCCATGATAGTCTTGGATGTAGACGAGCTTGTCGCGCTTTGTTGCTTCCATTCCTGATACCGCTTCTCGAGCTCGATCCCAATATAATGGTCCATTGTCCGCCCATTATACCACTGCTTGAATAGGCGCACGGGATTGACACGACTGAAGTGATTTCCTGTTTCAATTTGACACTCCCGGTCTATCGTATCCCGCATCGCAGCTGCGATTGGATGGAATTGTCGCTGGCTGATAAACCGCGTGTTCCTGTTTAACGTATTATTTGATTGCAGTGGGAGCTGAAATGCAGTCGAGAGCCTTACATTGCGACATTTCCGATGATATCCATCACATATCTGCAGGTGATCTCATCCAAGAGAAAAGTATTCCCAGTCTTTGCTAAGCCCCGAAGAACATCAACGTACACTTCCACCTCCTGGAGGATATACGGAACATAACCCATGACTGACCGCATGCTAAAGCCATGGCTAAAGAGATCTCTTCCACGTTTCCATTCTGCGCCATTCCTGTCAAAAAACGTTGGTCCACCAGTCATTGGAGTTATAAATGCTGCAAGGGCGTCTGGCTTGAGAAGATCATAGGTTTGGCAGGTTTGAACAGCAAGGTCTGGAGAGGTTACAACCAGGGTTGAGAAGCCGAATGGCCAGGTATCCATGTAAAAACACTTATCTAGTCCGGATTCGGACGCAAGGAGTGCAAAAGACATTGCTTCTTGGGCATCCTTTGGAACCTTCTTCATGAACCTTGCGAGAACCGGAAGATTTCCAAGGACAGGATTCCAGGGTAGCATGGGCTAAAAGATACGGATTGTTAGGTGGACGGTTCCTCGTTTGAGTGGTGGAGATAGGGGGCTTAGATGTGTACCATTCCTTTCTTTTTGAGGCGATAGAAGAGCAGTCGAACCTTCACCAAGGTGTAGAGGAACGAAGCTATGTAGACTAAGGCTATCGGTAGGATGATGCGGCTTGCGAGCCATTTCAATTCGATATTCGAGCTTTCCATAGCTGATACTAGCCTTCGTCTAGCGATTCAACGAACAGTGAGAGAGAAAGAGAGAGAAGGGGAGGATGTTGAGATGCTTGCAAGTTTCGAAGGGCGAAAAAAAAA